GCATGTTTTCCAGATTGTAGATAGTATAACTATAGAACAATTCCAGTTACTTAACTTGTTTCGTTAATTAGGTTGGAAAAAATAAACTCTCAAAATACTAGAAAAGCCCTTCAACTTCTCTAATAATCACGTAATCTATAATAAAAATGAATTCAGTCGTAAAATAATCGCCTATGTATTGGATATTGTGTTACAATCTAGGAACTTTGTGTATTCGGCGACCTTGTCCTTGGCTTATTGTTTACTCAGCGAGAGGCGTCTTTACTTCATAATGTTTACCAATGGCGATCTCAAAAGACAAGAGAGCTTTGCTCAAACATGTGGTTACGAAGGGCAAAACAACATATTTTATCACCAATTACCGAAAAATCATATGTGGTAAATTGCCAGTACATGTATCGGGGTATCGTGGAAGCACAGGGACTGTCGTAGCTTTTCCAGGTACCGTTGCGATCCGGGAAATCCCGATTCCCGCGTTATTTTGAATATAATCCCGGGATTCAATACGTACTGACGTATTGTTATTCTAAAACGGCTTCACTGTGCTTTTCGTAAATGTAATCATCAAAAAATTGCTGACTTGGTCGACAAATATCCTTCAAAGATTGTTCTGTACGGAAGAATCCGATCGACACACTATTGAGAAGATCAATGTTTGATGAAAAGATATAGCAGCCACAACGAAGACACCCAAATGACGATTGTGCAAGAGCTCAATGCTTTCGCTGGATGTCGAACGGTGGTTGAAAAAGAAATGCTGCTATATAAGCCAAGCAGGGAGAGATCAGAAAACATGGAAAGTTCTATGCGCATTAAAAACAATTAAATCTACGTCAGTTGAAGCCAGTATGTTCACCAGCTTTTTATTTTAGAGGGGGTGCTTCCAAATTTGAAGGATGGTAGATATTGTGTCATTAGTGATAAAACTATTCGTAACTTATAACAATAGAGCTATGCTCAAATATATGGACACGTAACGCCACCCAGTGGCAATAATTTTGATGACGTCATAGCGAAAAAAAAAAGTAATAGTCTTCTGGAGAAAAATTTTATCTTTAACCACTGAAAATATCAAAGCAATTGGGCCAGTATTTAAAAATGGAGACGGAGACAAATAACAATAACAACAAAATTTTGAAACGATCGTTATGGCCTCTAAACGTGTCCAAAAATGTGTCATCTATTTGACTGATCATCTTCAACGGCATATGACCCCATTTGATGACCCCACATACAATTTTATTTAGGTTAAGCAATAAAGTATGGTGTCACACCTGAAAATTAGGGGGGAGAGGGGTGTAAGGAAATCACTGGTTCAGGCTGAGCGTGCCTTTTCAGTTCCTGAATTTTTTCCAACAAAAACAGAAATTGCCTCGATGATGACACTCTTTATACTCTTGTTTCAATTTTTTTTTAAATATACACGACTACTTATAATATTTTGTTTTTGTGGTTTTTAAATCCTATTAATCCCGACCGCGGAATTTCAAATTTGGTCCCGAAATAACAATCCTAGTCCTGTGACAATGATCCACTTATTTAGACTAGGTTTCAACGTGAATTGAAATACCTACTGATCCAAGTCACTTCTGTAATACCAGATCAGGTCCCACGGTCGATCGTTCCCCATAAAAAAATTCGCAAAGCGCGAAATCCGCTGATATGCGGAAACGCCACAAGGTGCGCTATTATGAATTCCATAGAGCTCACAGAAATATTTGAATTAAATACAAGTAAGCCTTCTAGCGAAAAATACAATCTTCAGTCAAGAAAATTTTCAAAGCATTTAGCTGTAAAAATAATAGCTATTTTTTGATAACGATAGGAAGAAAAATGTTAACATAAAAGACAACAACATAATAATAATAACAAAACCATCCATAGTTTCACTAAGTTACTGTTTTCCGTGGTCTTATCACTTATATACAGTGTTGGGATTCAAATTGTTTGTCAGCCGGTTTCATCACATATTTTTCAGCCGTTTCTGTTACAAAAAGTCATGTTTTTTCAGTAATGCTAACCGGTTCGCTGATCTCATAAAATTCAGTGAGACGGTTCTATAGAATCGGTGCGAACCGGCTGAATCCCACCAATGCTTGTATATACAGTTGAAATTACCGTGACAAAATTACCGGTACCGTTTTATTTGGACTTATGTCCGAATTCAGTTGAAATAACGTGTCCTCAGCTCCAACTTCTGCCCAAATAACTCCGATATTGCACAGTTTTATTGAAAAATGCTTCTTTTAGGCCCGCCCGCACACAGCAACTATATTTTTATTGCAACGCAATATTCTTTCATGAACTCATAGTCACATAGTGTCTATTGAAAACCCACAATGCCGCACATACAAACTGTATTGTTTCGTGAATTCAGGCAATATTTAAAGTGAATTTATTGCTGCTCAATTTTTTTCGAGCAATAGAGCATGCCCCATTTTTATTGGTAGCGCGCGATGGTTGCGTTGCAGGAAACTCGACCTTACACACCATCCACAAATCCTGCACCGTCAATCAGTAGTTTATTTTTCACCAAAATGAAAATACAATTGATGTGAATAAAATCTAGGAAAAACATGAAAATGGCATTTCACGATGAAGGGTGACGCGAAAAAAACAATGTTGGTCAAAATGAATATTTTTGTGACTTCAAAGGGGAACGCCTCCAAAGACAACGACTCCTTAGCTGTGATTTTGTAACTTTACATTTTCTGATTTTACTACTTAGGCCTATATTCAAAGCTATCCCGGCTGTCTTCATCGACTATATTGTCATCGAGAATTCATGTGTATATTCTCTGTCCAAATATCGGGTTCAGTTCGAGAAATAGCAAGGAATTGACGTTAACGATACCGGTACAAATAATTCGAATTTAGATGACTAATTAGTATTGGTTTTACATGCGATACGTTTTTTAACAATGTTAGTGGGAAACAACGAAACAAACGCATTCAGCTCCAGTAAGTAGGATAGCGCTGCGCTACACACAAACAACAGTAACGAGAACATGTTCGTGTATTATGCTGGATGGCTGAACGCCAAAGCGTGACTTTGGGCTGACTTGTCGGGACGGCGGGACAAGGCGCTAAAAAGAGCGACTGTCCCGCCTAAAGCGGGACGTATGGTAAGCCTAGTCATACCCATCATCGTCACTCCAAAATGAAAATAACATGTTACACAAGTAAGGAAGATATCAATATACTAAATAAGTTTTTTACCGCAGGCTTAAGCCTGATATAGTTCAAATATTGTGCTGGAAAAAGACATTCTTTTCGAAGAGCTTTCTACAAATTGCCACCGCGAGAAACGAACATTCCAGTGGCGCTGTTCCGTGATGGAAAAGCATATTGCGCGAGCCGGTGCAACATGGCACACTCGCGGCCCACGCTTTTCAAATAAAAAAAAAAACGTGCTACGTAATCTCCCATAATGCAATTTCCCGCCGCCATTTTTTCTCTCGTGCGTAAAGCGCGTGTTAATCGTTGACTGGCGTCGCTTCGGGAGGGTTCTTGAAAAATTCGCGGTGAGTTGCGTGGTTTTATGTAAATAAATTGCTTTGAAGCTGATAAACTGGATATATTCTTTTAGTTTAATATTTAGTTATATGATGTATTACAATTCTTCTTATCATATTAAAAGGGTTTCTTCGTTTAGTTGGCGTTTTTGCTCCTATTCCAGGTATTTTGCCGGTTTTCAAATTATTTCTTGTCTTATCTGGTAGGCATGTCTAGTCTATCATGTTTATTTGTCATTTTCTGCGTGTTTGTTTCTTTGGTGTTTTTTTTATGATTGCCTGATTGTAGATACAGAGATAGGTAATGCAATAATGTCAAAATGACTTATTCTCCTTGATAAGGTTGTTGTGAAGTATTTTTCCACTTGTTTGTGGAACCTTTCTCCAGGTTTTGCCTATTTTTCAGAACTCTCTGTCGTCCATGTCTGTGTTTTTTCTATTAATTTTTTGGGTATTATTTCATCTGCTGTCGTGCCCGACGCCCTCGTTTCAGAGACGAAATGAGTTTTTTTTATTGTACCAAATTGGCATCTTAGAATTGAAAAAATGGGGTCTTGTGTACACAACTACATGAGACCCAAAAGCTGTGCCTTATCGAATATTAAAGTTTTATTTTGGTGTTTCTTACTTCCTTGTTTATGTCGTTTAAGCGTTTTGTCGAGGGAAAATTGCCTTTATTGTAATGTATATTTACTTATTGTTGTATAGAATGTTTTATTGAAGTAATGTGATTGTTAGAAATCTAGCTTAATCTAAGAAAGTAATGGAGGCAGCAAAAAAATGTTAAAAAGCTGCTCCATCAAATGTTATTTGCACAAAAGTCATTGGCCACAACTTATTTTTACATGAATCAAACATTCCTTCGGTCAAGACTCTTAAAAATGTCTCCCTCGTTATCAATTTATTCGTGATTTATTTCACAATGAGTGTTTCATTAGAAAATGACGTTCGCGCAGATTGAAAGTAACTTTTTACTTTAAGATGGTGACATTCTTGTATTACAGTATTACTGATTCGACACTTAGTCATCTGGTCATGGACTAGTCAACCCTGTCCATTTGCTATTTTGTATGTTGAATCAAGGTGGTGGGTTAATTACAGAGCGCATGGCTATTTGATATTTTAGTGAATTAGTTAAACACTTTATGTTTTTGCCTTTTTACGCTATAGATACCAATTGTTACGTCATTATCACAGTTTAAGCATGTATATGTAACAATTCAATTATACGGTAATGTACTGTATCGTCCCCTCCTTAGCCCGCGAATATCCTTTTGTCGCTTCTAGTTTTGGCACAGCCCCCTAAAGGTTCAGCCTTGAAGTCTGTGCCTTCAAGTCTGTGTTCAACTTCTGAACTTTGTATATTGTACCATTATAGTGCTATATAGATATATATCTTGCCGGCTTTTCACTCCGCGGGGCAAATATATGAATCTTAACCTATATGTTGCGCAATAGGCTTAACAGAACATATTTTATATTCAGCAGGACAATATTAGGGCTGTAAATTTTGTATTGTTGAGATATATCTGCTTCATTTATTCCATATTCTGTTTTTAAAACTGAAAGAAGATGCAGAACCCTATGACCTCTGCTGCCCCTACTGGACTTAACCTGAACCAGGGAATGCCTGGTGCCGCACAGGTAACTTTATTCAATATGTAAAAATAGTTATTAGAGATGTTTTTTCATAACTTTATTTTTTTGAATTTTATAATCAAGTAGATCACTTTAAAACATTCAAAATCAGTTGCGAGGGCGTAAAATTATTTCGTGGAATATTTTTGCTATAACTGTTTGTAACTATAACTCTCAACTGTGATCAACCCTGAAGTCGGGATTATCGAAATTTGCACCACATACCTTTCTTTTGTCTGGCCATAATCATTTTGCAATTCATTTTTGAACAATTTAAGATGGGTTGAATTTTACTGAACTGCTACACCTTATAACACAGTGGTTCCCAAACTAGGGTCCGCAATTTCGGAGGGTCCGCGAGACAAATCTGTAATATGGCTAATAGCTTGATAATACAAAAAGGAAGTCCTTAAATTTTCAAATACAGATTTGTCGGCTTTTGCTGCTTCGCAATCACTGCTGGAGACACTGATGCTTCACTTTCTGTTTCAATTGCGCTGCCCCATTGTCATGTCACAGAGCTTTGGCCTGTGATATCACAGAGAGAGTTCAATTCATGCCACCACAAGTTTAATAATTGCAGATCTGTAGCTGAAGCTGCCCTTTTGCACGTTTACCAAATATCGAAACAGACTTTTGTTCGTTTCACCATACGGCGCATTGATTTTTTTTTTTGTAATCCTTTAATGTTTTGTTTTAGTGTACAAGGCCGGGAAAAATAATTAAAAAAATTGCAAGGGGTCCGTCATGCAATTTTTTTCAAAAAGTTTGGGAACCACTGTTATAACACATTCTTCTACCAATGTCCTAGTATTATTTTTTGGGTTCGAAAGTTGGTTTTATTCTTGTGTTATTGTATTGTCCTGTCCATTAGGCCATCTTTTCGACTTAAAGACTAAACGTGCTCTTTTATTCCAGGACCAAAGTGGGATGAACCCAGTCCAAGCATCGATGCAGAACATGTTGATTAACAACCAACAGAATCCGATGGGAACGTTCGGTCAGATGCAGAACTCAATGAATGGAGGGGGAGTAAATGATGACGAAGCATATCCAAGAACGCTGTAAGTTTCGGGGATTTTGCATTAATTACTAACAAAATAAACTTCTAAAAACTAACAAAGTGTACCTATCTATCAACTTAATAATGCCATTTGTAGAACAAAATGATAAAAAACTGTTCATGTCAATGTAAATTTTCAGTAAAGGAATTTATTTAAAGCAATCTCATGCACATTCAAAGAATGTCTTTGTGAAGTTACTGTTAATAACCACTGAAATGCAAAGTGAATCCATGTCAAAGGATTTTGTAAACTTATAGAAAATGTTTTAGGTATTGCAATAATGTAAATAAATGGCTGAAAACCAACTAGTTATACTAACGATTCGCTGTAAAAAATAAGAAGCATATCCAAGACCGCTGTAAGTTTCAGGGAATTTGATGTTGAATATTGTCAATTTGTAAATGAGCTGCTGGGAACTACAACAAGAAAAGAGACAAATGTTAGAGCAAAGTTTGGTGCGACTAATGAAAGAGTTACTGAGACCGTGCAAACATACAAAACGATGACCATGCTTTATTGTTCAATACTTTTCGTTTTACTATAAATAAGCCTGGCAACGAGAGAGATTTCCACGCGAGAAAAAACGCTTGTCATTAATTGATAAATTAGAAACCCGAAATACAAAAATTGATGCTTGGCGCCTGAGAGGCAGAAACCGAATCCTGTTATCGGATTCCGTTGGATTCGAATCCTTCGGATTCGGTATTCCATATTGCCCATCCCTATATTCAATACTTGTTGTCCTCTTTTTACTATAAATAAGCCTGGTGACGACCACTTTCTATGCATATTATCTAGCTGCTAATATCCAAAAATACTCTTCGACAAATATGTGGGATGGGGGATTTCTGAAATTTCAAATGCTAAGATAGACCATCTAGCGCAGGTTCAGTCGGAAAAGTCTTAGGGGTCTAAAAGGTGTTCCAAGCTACGAAAAATAATTGCTATACATGATACAGAAAAAGGCTTTTTTTTTACAATTTGCACGCCCCTGTCCGTAGCCCATACTCTTTGCACTCAATGCGTATACCATATTTATATATTGATATTATTTTTCAACAGATATGTTGGAAACCTGGATTCACAAGTCACTGACAGTTTGATCATGGAGTTGTTTGGCGTCATCGGTCCTTGCACAAAGTGTAATATGATCAGAGATGTAAGTAACAATATTGTCCTATTATAGGGGAAAACAGTCATTCATTATTTGCATTAAATTTATTTATTTAAACTAGGGGTTTTGTCATTGAGATGTGCTTTTCAGAGTCAACTTCCTGATGTTTTTTCTATATCATGATCATTCTGCTTTTCTTAACAAGACTATTTCTCACATTTTAGCCGAGTGGAATGAACGACATGTATTGCTTCATTGAGTTTGCAAACCATTCCTGTGCTGCTGCGGCAATTACTGCGATGAACGGCAGAAAGATTTTGGGGAAGGTGAAATATTTTTGCGACTTTTTATTTGTTTCTGTGATCCACAATTGACAGCCAAATTATTAAAATTAATCAACACTAGGAAAAATGAGAAAAAGAATAGTAAAATCGAATTCTGAATTGCCCATCCCCAATTGTGACTTGTAGCAGTGATATCCTTGTATAAGGAAAGTTGAAAATTTTATTTTATGAATCTGTTATTGCAAGGTATTCCATCCAATCCTTGTTCCCGATGAATGAACTTATTTTGCTATTTTATTTCAGTACTGGGTGAAACTCTTTAAACCCAGAGTTTGTTTGAGTCACGGGCCATTTGAGAGTTTAGTCTGGAGTTAGTTGAAGTCAGACTCACCAACGGTTAGTTTATGGCGAGTCACCACTCGAGATGTGTTACTGACTCTAGCTTTCCCAACACTATATTACTGCTCCTACTGTAGTTTTTACGCAATCTTCAAATTGATGTTGAAGTTTATTAAAACGGCTCTGCATTCATATCATAATATTTGTTTCATACAGGAAGTGAAAGTCAACTGGGCAACCAGACCTGCAAACAAAAAAGACACAAGTAGTAAGTATACTGCATTACATGAGTTATTCAATATTTTACATGTTATTCAATATATCTAAAGACAAATATGCGTCGAAACTCAAATTCTTGTTTAGTAGAAATATGTACTACTGCTCATTGCTTTAAACCAGGATGTGCAACATTTTTTGTCAGTGGGCCATAATGACCAACGTCAGTCATCTAACTGGGCCGCACAAAATTTTTAATTTTCAATGTACACAATGACTTAAAAATTCAAAACAAATTGAACGATAAAACGAATGGAAAAATTAAAATTACAGTAATGAAGGCATCGGGCGAAACGGCGAAAGATTTAACGCAACGACAAGAGCAATAAAACAATATTTATTTTACCCATCTTAACAAACCGTCGGATTAGGATTTTATGTTTGATGGGAAAATTTAAGTATTGATTGACAAAGGCCACACTAAATAACTTTGTGGGCCGGGTAGTGGCTCTCGGGCCGCCTGTTGCACATCACTCTTGCTTTGAATGAATACCTATTCTAATGGTAACAATTTAGGTGTCTAAGGACGATTTTCCAAGTACAAGTGACACCACCCCCCCTTTTTTTAATGGATCTGAGGTTAATAATTCATCTAAGCTCAAGTCAATTCAACTATTTTGGAAATAAATGAAGTAGTTGGCTGCACACAACTCAAGGAACAATGTTTTTATAACCTTGTTTGGATACCAATATTGGTTCCATTACATTTGATCCCACGTACATTTGAACCCATGACAATTGCACCTGTATGCTATTGCACCTATGGAATTTTTTTGTTTCACGGATAGTTAAACCCATACTAACCCTAACCCATGGGTTTTAGCACCCGCATATAGATTGAACCCGTGGATATACGCATGGGTTCAAATGTACATGGGTTCAAATGTACGGTCACCACCAATATTGTGTCCTGTAAATCAATAATAGATTATTGATTAACAGATTATTGGCCCTTATTAATATCAGACTGCAGTAAATTTATGCATCAGCGTTACCAGCTTTAATTTTTTTCTCTATTGGGCTTTGCATATCTCTTGAGTTAAATCTCATCCCCAACACCTTGCCCGGTTTATAATAAATTGATGGGCAATGCTGAGCCAGAAAGATTCCCGTCCCAAAAATTATAGCTTCCCACATATTTGGCCTGTTCAGTGCGAATGAGTGTTGTATTAAAAAATCACTTGTTTGAGCGCAATATTTTTGATCACTGCTTATTGTTCCAGGCCATTTCCACATCTTTGTTGGTGATCTCTCTCCTGAAATTACTTCTGAAGATTTGAGAAGAGCTTTTAACCATTGTGGACCTATCTCGTAAGTAAATGTTCATTTTTTTAAGGTATTTGTGGTTGAGAATTGTGTTTTATTCACCTTGTAAGTTAGTGTTGTTTTGGAGTCCGTGAACCTCGATTCTGTAGGTAGGGCTAGGCATTTTCGAGTATCTGATGATTTACTAATTGAATCAGATATTTTTTAATTGAATCTCGAATACTTGGAAGATATTTAGTCCTGTTGACCGTTTTATTGTTGTGGGTCCTTCAGACACATAATTTAGTGAAAACAAGTAATGTAAACTTGAGAGCATTTATTTTGCTTAAAGTCGATTTTGAAAACTCGCGGATGGCATACACGCGCAAATTTTCTCAATTGAAAGTAATTTCTGGGGAAATATTTTATTATATTATTCATTTAATTTTGGTTATAAAAGTACTACAGTACTACACGTTTAGTATTTAAGCATATCCCATGTTTTACAATGAATAAGCGTAGTTGTGCCACCCAATAGCCATGACATGTATAATCATCTCCTTTCTAATACACAGAGACGCAAAAGTTGTTCGTGACATGCACACCAATGCTTCTAAGGGATATGGATTTGTTTCTTTCCTAAAGCATGCCGTAAGTATAATATTCACTTCAAATTTGAAAATATAGTTGCCAGATATAACTGAGCTTGGTTTTTGGCTCGTTTATTCCAATAAACTGGTTGGGGTTCGATTTTATTTGTTGCTATCGTAATTAATGTTGGCTTTTGTATCATTTTTTCGATGACACTGTTTGTACTCTATATATTTTTAATTAATGTACATGATGGCAATTATTCGCTATTTGGCATCGCATGTTAAAGATTTCTGGTGCAAACCCATGTGCCCCAAATAGGGTATAATAAATTGCGAGTACGCCCTGCTGAACAGAAAATATTCTGTTTTTTTTTGGTCAGAGCCTTAGCAAAAATCATGTAGTCGTCATTCCGAAATAGAAATATTCATACAGTAGAATGCTTGATAGGTCATTGACCATTTTTTTTTAAGGATGCCCACAATGCCATCGAAACAATGCGAGGACAAATACTTGGATGCCGACACATTAGAACCAACTGGGCAACAAGAAAACCTGGAGTTCCAGGTTCCAATTTTTTGCTTTAATAATGACTTCTGAATCTTTTTCGAATCTTTTTTTTGTAACAAATTTCAATGGATAGAATAATAAATTTGATATGAGTTAAAGATTACACATTTAGACGAGTAGGCCTACGAAGAATCTTTTCTAAATGCCAGTAGTAACACATTTTTATCATCCATTGTATTCTGAAAGCTGCTGAAAGTTCTTTTATTGTCTTGTGTTGCTGTCTTCTTTATCTCCACTTTAGGAGACCTTTTTCTCAGTCATTCTGTCTAGAACAGGACTACCTAACTATTTTTGCTAAAGGTCCGTATACAAAACTTGAAAATTCCTGGGGTCTGCTCCGGTCTGGCCCGAAAATGTATTTCATACTGTGCCTAACTATATTTTAGTAACTCTAGCTTATCAGTTGAAAAATTAAGGAAACACGAGTTGTGGAAAACTAAATAATTGCAAAATATTCTGCATCCTTTTACATATCCAAAGTTAAATGGAGACAGTCCTCCAAAATGAAAAAAATCAGACGTGGTCTGAATCCAACACTTGAAAGGTCTGGATTCGGACTCCGGTCCGCCAGTTCAGTAGCCCTGGTCAAGAATACTTTGTTTAAAGGACAAACAAAATTTAGAATTCTTCTGTATATAGTCAAACATTCTAATCATCCGGACATCCCTGTCCTGTTACATTTTGAAATGTATCACATATGTATGGTTTATTTTACACCAGAAATTGAATGAGGAATTTGAAATATTGATTATAATTACCTTTTGAATAGGGATGGGCAATGTAGAATAATTTACTATTCTAGAATATTCTAGAATAGTTAAATCGAATCCAGAATACCGAATCCTATTCTATTTTCATACTTATTCAAATAGAGGGAATTTTCCTGATTGCTGGATTTAGATGTCAAAAAATTATAAATGTATTACTATAAATGTATTATTTATTTGGAAATGTCCTTAACATTAGATTTGATACTAAACAGGCATTTCCCAGGACAATGAAATCTAAGAATATTACAATATTTTTGCTTTCAATTATTCTAAATGTATGTAATCTCTAAATACTTATATGCTAAATTACGCTTCAAACACTTTAATAGTAAGCGGTTAAACACAAAAATAGATATGAAACGTCATTAAATCATTATTAATGTTATAGAGTGTCGAGTGTACTAAAGCACACCCGCTGAGAATTAATTAGATGCAGGACCAGCGTGTGGCCACTGCAACCTATGCGACCGGTGTAAAATATTAAATTTAACCACTACTAATTAAAATCAACTTATTATTCTGTGCGATCAAGACGTGCAAAACAAGGTTCCCGTAAACGCGATGTCGTAGTTAGTTATTAGTTAACATCATCTAAAGATGAATTCAATTTCTAATATTATCGTTACATATCATTATCTACCCAGACTTGGCCCCACTCAAACTCAATACGTAACTATTTTCGCCAGATATGGCATCTTTTTTTCAAGTTTATCGGCGAATAAAATTACTACAGACACTCGATCAAACGTGCGTCTATCTTGAACGATAGAAACGGACCGAAAGATATGTAATCTTTTGGGAGTGAAATTTAAATGCGACAGGTCGTCGTGTTATGCGATATAACTTTGTATTTCGAAAACTGGTGTAATAAAAGTAATAAAATTATTCCAAAATAATATTTGATTTAAATTAATCGCAAGTAATGTCATAACATTTTACGCCTGGCTTTTGATTTACATGCATCATTTTCTGGGGAAAACTCGCCGGTCGCGGAAAATCATTTACAGTAATGTAAAATGAAGCAAGGCACGCCTGTAAACAATTGAAGATTGTTGCAATAAGATTATCGGAATATCGCCAGTAAGTCGGCACAAATAACTATTATTATTAAACCCTCGCTAGATAGCAAAGCAGGAAAACGCAAAAAGGGTGGAATAACGAGTCTTCGTCGTAAGGTGTACTTCACGACTTCTTGTTCAGAATACGCCGATTGAGATTACTGTGTTTGATGTTTACCGATTTTACGGGTTCTTTCCGAGCAGACGCAAGTCTAGTTAAAGGAGAGAGATTTCCACGCGAGAAAGAACGCTCGTCTTTAATTGATAAATTAGAAATCCGAAATACAAAAATTGACGCCCGGCGAAAACGCAAAAATGGTGCAATAACGAGTCTTCGCCATGAGATGTACTTCGCCGACTTCCTGTCCAGAATACGCCGATTGAGATTACAGTGTTTGAAGTTTACCGATTTTACGGGTTCTTTCCGAGCAGACGCAAGTCTAGTTAAACGAGAGAGATTTCCGAAATGCAAAAATCGACGCATGGCCCCTCAGAGGCGGAAACCGAATCCTGTTATCGGATCCTGTTGGATTCGAATACTTTGGGATTCGAATCCTCCGGATTCGGTATTCTATATTGCCCATCCCTACTTTTGAATAATTCCATTTTTGTGAACCTCTGACTAATATCTTGTATTTTTTCTACTCAGATCAAAAATTGGATTTCAACGTCGTTGTGAACCAGTCAAGTCAGACCAACTGCACGGTTTACGTCGGTGGGGTGCAGACTGGTCTTACGGACATGGTCATGCGTAACCAGTTCCAGGGTTACGGACAAATCCAGGAAGTGAGAGTATTTCCTGATAAAGGTTATGCTTTTGTACGCTTGAGTAGTCACAACGAAGCCGCTCGTGCGATCGTTGATCTTCACGGATCGACTATTGAAGGAAATATCGTGAAATGCTCGTGGGGAAAGGAAGGCGCCGGAACTGGAGGCTCAACATTCAATGTAAGTGTCGAGTAGGACTGTCTAAAATCGAATGTTTTTTTGATTCGAATTGAAGATTTTTCTCGAATCGAACTGAATAATCGAATAATATTGCCCAATCCTAAATCCGTCTTTATTGTGCTCGATAACCCCAATGCCAACCGGGCATTAGGAGAAACACCTTTTTTCGCAAAATGAGAGGGAGAGTACCAGCATCAAGCGTCGCTGCTTGCCCAGTGAAAAAGGTCGAGAGGCTTTTTCTGCTTTATGTAGCTAGTTCTAGCGATACGAAAATTGGTCGAAAAACGATTAGACTAATTTGCGATTCGGTTCGCTTGGACAGCCCTAGTGTCAATTCAATTCAGTTTTTTTGCTATGAGAATCTTGAAAATTTTCTCTAAGATTCGGACACAGTTATTAATAAAACTCCTTGAAGCACAAATCTTTTGGACGACATATATTAATTCAAATCCAAAACATACCTTATTTATTATGTTACATTATGGATGCTATTCCGATGTTTTTTCTAATTTATTCATCATATTTTGTAAAATTGGAGGAGCTCCAGAAGTATGTGCACCAAGATGGCGCACAACCTGAACCCTAACCTGGTACACATACCATGTGGAGGTTGTGCGCCATCTTGGTGCACATACTTCGGGCGCGCCAAATTGGAATAGATATCCTAACATTATTGATATGCAAACTTCCTCTATTTCAGCGATCGAATCCTTCTGGTGGCAACTCATGGAATTCCGCAGATATGTGGAGTCAACAACAGCAACAACAAACGCAACCACAACAATCCTTCGGGCAATGGAATGGAGCACAGTGGGGGTAAGAAAAGTTATATTTCAGTACTAGCATGAATGATGTTCATTCATCGCTTTGCTTTTCTCCAATAAATTAAGCAAATTAATAATTGTTCTACTTCTGTTTATTACTTATCGATCTCGATCGATAAGTATGTTGATAGGTATTTGTCTGTTAGACACTCTCGTATGTTACGCGATATCTCACGAAAGCGAGATCGAATCTGCTCCAGATTTTGCATGTGCATTCATCATATCTCGGACCAGAAACCTATTGATTTTGGGAGCATTATGCCATATAATTAGCGAGTTATTAATTAATCAGTGCTGGGACACAAAGTGTCACTATGGGGAAAGAGCGCTGTTTAGGGGGATCCCCTAACTTTCGATCGACAGGTCTTCGATCTCTGACCGATATTCTCGCTTAGTCTGTTTTATTTCTCAAGTTGACATGATGGCCTGATAGATAGAGCATTAGGAATATACAAGAATTTACAATATGCAGGAATAAAACCAACTTTCAATGTTAAAATTTTCAGTTTCTCAACTTGGTTAGCCTTGCAATGCAATTAATACTTCATACCAAAAAATTTATTCTTTATTATTCAGTGGATACAACCAAGGTCAGCAGCAGCAAAACACATGGGGGGGAACATGGGACAACAGCCAGACCCAAGCGGCCGCAGCAGGAATGAATCAGTGGGCAGCATGGGGTAATATGCAGCAGCCCCAACAACAAACCCCGCAACAACAGGGAGGCGATGGATGGGGTAACATGCAGCAAACTAATACGGCTGCAATGTGGGGAAATTGGTAAGTTGAGGACGTTGTTCTTTTTTTCTTATCCGTGTTGAATGGCATGACTATATCCTCGCAAATAAGCCAACCCTCTAGATCAGTGAATTTGTAATAATCGCATGTATGCCGACACTACAATCAGTAACATTTACGTATCTAGACCAGGGTGGTCCAAACCCAGGCCCACGGGCCACATGTGGCCCGCCGCTTCATTATCTATGGCCCGCGTCATATTCGGAGAGTAATCAATAAATCGCATTTCGTGTTGTTTCGTAATAAAATTAACCAGAACATTCTTTTGACATATTTTTACATCACTAATGTCACTAAATTGACTAGTGTTATGGCTAGCCGAGGCAAATAGCAAAGTTGGATGATTTGCTTGGCAGTCTAAATCATTATCTGGCTTTCTTTTTGGTCTGTAATATATGCTAACAATATAGGCACCATAAAAAACTAAGAATCGAATGTGGATTCTATTAGCCTGTGATGGCTGTGTCTGATAACTATGTGTTTGCACAATAAAAGTTTGTTTGTTTTGTATTGCACTGTTTATATATTCTTGGCACTATTGTGGCCCGTAAACAATGAAAAAAATAAATTTGTGGCCCGCGGAGCCGACAACCTTGGACCACCCTGATCTAGACAGTCCATAAGCCAAGATTCCCATTGATTGTATACTAAAAAGCTTTTACTTCCCTGTTTGTGGTTCGCTTTTGCATTCCCTAAAAGGTCATAGATACCTAATCCAACACTACAAATGGTTGCAGAAGAGAATTAGTGCAAAATGAGTTAAGTTGTATAAGCGGAACCTCCTAAATTGGCAACCCTTTTAGTTTTTAAACTCTGCTTATATGAGAGGATATAGGGATTGTAAAGTAATGCAGAATAGTTTATGTAAATATTGCCTCGATTGATTTTACATTTGGGTGTTAGTGGTTCCCGAACCGTGGGCCAATTACGGCCCTCGTAACGATTTAATATGGCCCGCCGAACTTGAGCGAAAGAGTTCAACTCTTCCATGTTTTTACCTTTTTGCGTTCTAGATACCGCCAATTTTTACGCTGTTAGTTTATGCACATGTATATTTGTAAGTAACAATCCGATTATACCGACTTCGTTTTTCTGGCCCAGCGATATCTTTTCGCTTCTAATTTTGAGGAAGGCAATTGCTATTGTTGTAAACTGCTTGTCTGAGGAAGTCTGACTTTGGCCAGACGAAGAGTTACAGAATTCTTGGTAATACCTAAAATGAAGAATAAAAAAAACATAGGTATATGACCAATTTCAAATTTATTTGAATATTCAATTCATTTTGGACTTGGTTGGCACTGTTTTCGGACCGGGGGCCAAAAGGTTGTTGCATTTTATGAACAATCTTTACAGTAAATAACAGTTACTTGAAACTAACTACCTTTCCTTGCTCTATGCCTTTGCGCAGATTGAATAGAATCTTTACAGTGTTACAAAAGTGGAAAACAATAAGACTCGTGCCAAAACTAAATTTAATCGCAATCTCAACATCTTAAGCTATTTTTGGCTAAAATATTCAAATTTGGTCTTAGTTTGGTTTTGGCAGCATCAGGAGTGCCAGATTGAATTATCTACCGAGCCGGACTTGGCCCGTAGTTTGCGCATGTCACAGGTATAATAGCACTCAACTTAAGAATATTTTGCAGTTTTCTCGATTTTCAATTTCTCATTAGTATTGACGGACATTATTCAAAGTGTATCGCCAAGTCTGGGTAGATATATACCAATAATAACTGAAAATTGAGATTTTGCAATATAAATGAATTTATCAACATATGTTATTTTACGAGTCTTGCTCACAGAAAATGAACGCGCGGACATACTTGATTATAATTCATAGTAGGTAAATTTATTTTACACCATTAATTAATGCGCCCTGCCTAATGCGGCACCCGTTGCGGCCGTATAATTTACGATGGCCTCGGTCTTCCTTGTGTGTTTTCGGCGCTCTCACATTCATAATAATTCAATGTCTTTTTTATACATATCATTTGTATTTCACAATTTAGTATTAATCAGTATTTATTTATTATTTTGATTCAGGAACCAACAACAACAGCCCCAGATGATGTCAAGTGGTTGGGGGGCAGGAGATAACCAACAGCAATCGCAAGAATCGGGGAATTTCGCCCCTCAACAGTAAAAAAATCAACAACTCACTTCAGCCAGTCGAAAAACAGTAAATAACTTTGATCTTCTGCCAAGCCTGGGCCGAATTTGAACTGTATGTTCATATTCGGCTTATGATTGGCATGTTGTAATTTTCGACTCGGTTTTGGCTTGATTCTTTTTTTTCTTGATTGACATGTACAGAAATTTGTAGTAGCATTCATTGTAGATAATAATTGTATTTTGGGGGCGAATGGGGTAATGGACGTTTGGGTCATGTTGTTAAAATTCAAATTTTTCGTTGCAGTGTGGAAATACCTGTGTTCAGATAATTAATTTTTTTTTTATTTTTCAAATAGAATTTGTGGAAGGAATAACATGAAATTTTAGAGGCTATTTTTTTAAAACCTAAAGCCATTCTTGTATGCAGCTTCACAAATGTTGCAAATAATTTGGTGAGCAATTATAAATCAAACCAATTTCAGTTTTTCAAAAAAATTGTCTCTTTTTACCCAGAAGTGCCTTCTATTACAGAGTGCGCATCGAGGACATTAAAAACTTCAATTAGAAAAAATGCAAATTATCTGAATTCTTGTACAAAAAAACTTGGTCTTAGCGAGGACGCTTAAAATACCATATAAATCTCTTGATTATTATTTAATATTGATAACTGTGTATGGTCGTACCGCTCCCTCCTGTCCATGTAGAAACAATTTCATTTCTCTTACATGGCAAAATAATAAATCTCCCTCTCTCTCTCTCTATTTCAATCCCAAATAAATGCAAGATTCTGAATTAGACCGGTTTGGAGGCAAATATGTCCTTTAACGTCCATTAACCCATTTGCCTTCTATGCTCACTTGAATCGATAGTTGTACATATTAGTTGTTACTGGCATAAAACTAGAATATTTGGAACGAATTTTTTTGTGTGGCGTAGTGTTTGTGTGTGTTTTGTCTTCTTTTTTGTGATCGGTTTTTATTTTAAATGTTTGTATTCGTCTTTTCTCTGTATGTATGTCCCTTTTTCAAACTAAAAAAAGCATTCCACGGTGTACCAACTTCGAAGTATGTATTTAAAAATGATCGTTTTAACCCCAGTTGGAGGCGGAGAGATTTAATAATAAAAATTTAGGCACGATTATGAGTGAGGAGGAAGATTGTGTTTTTTCTACTGTTTAACTATTATGGTAAATGTCTACTACTTACTTCTAAGTGTCGAGATTTTTATGCACATTTAAGGTTTTCAAATTTTCCGTTTTGAACGTTTTTGTGGCACATTTTTTTCTTAATTAAACTTTCTTAAAAGTTTTTCCCGTTATTCAATTTTGACTTATTTCTTAATATTAGTAATAATAATAATACGATTTGTAAGTTTATCAATTACGATTTTTTTCTCTAAATTAAGCAGTCTTGAGCGTCTAGCAATCATTGTCATATATCTTAAATTACCACAAATTGGAGGTTAGTTTACTATTATATAACAAAACTTACTTTTATTACATAGTTGCTTTGGTACCATCATTCATTTTTTCTTCATTTTGGTTTCTTTAAGTTTTATTAAATTCCCCTTTTTTACCAAAATTTGCTATTTCTCTTAAACTTATAAGCCAGGGAATAATTTGTTGTGAATATGTCTTTGAGATTGTGATGAGAACTGTTGGGTTGTGAGTTATCTTTTAGTTTGCACAATTGATAGTGATGTGGAATTATAGCTCTAACAGCTCAGCGGGGCAAGCAACTCTGTACTTCTGATTAAGATTTACTTCTGAGTAAATTTTTGTGACCTGCTTTCAATAAGTAAATGTTTTTTAAAACATTTGTGTCATAACTCTCCTTAAAATAGTTATATTAAAAAAAAATTGTTGATTATTTTGGTGCCATTCAAAATATTTGAAACCGTTCTTTTGTATTTCTGTAATTGAGTAGTATGGTTCTCAGTTATGTACTCATGAACTTTCCGCAAAAAAAAGCAAGGAGATTCATTAAAAATAAAATGTTTAATATCTCATGAATTTTGAGTAAACCAACGACTGCTTGCCTTGTTTCGTAATATTAAATAACAAAAAATATATCTGTAACGGAGTATTTGTACTGTACTACCTAGTGTAAGCCAATATGAGTGTTGGTAGAATGGTTTGTCTGTCACATGTTCTCAGAGACTCGAAACAACAAATTTTTCCCTGTTTAAGATTTTGCGAGCACGCGTTTTTATTCCTATCTTAATAATAATTTAAGCTTCTGCATAGTTTACTTTGAAAAAGACACTGTAGGGCGTCCGCCCTCATTTCTAGTTCTCTCGGATCAAAGTTGTCTTCGTTTTTCTCTCACTTACGATAGTCATGTGATTTCGTGCTTGAGTGACCACACGACACTTTTTTTCGAGTTATTATTGTTAGGCCTTACTTACTATTACAATTTTTCCTCCTGTTTATTAAAATTTGATTCTAAAATTTTGACTTTTTCTGTTTTGCTAATATTTCATTATTACTACTACTTTACTAGTATAAAGCGTGCGGCAATTATTTTTTGGAAAATTTTTAATCACCTCCTTGTGTGCCTAAATGACGTTATTTACCATATTTTTTCTGGTTTTTCTATTTTCATTGTTTTTTGGCTAATATTAATTTTTTTCCTTAAACTTGGTTGATTTTTCCAGTTCATTCTTATCCTTAATACTGCCATAGTAAGATGGTCATGCAAATAATTATTTTTGCTTTTTTCTGGTTAAATTTTTGGTCATTTTTACACAATTTCCTTCATTTTAAGATACTTCCTTATTATTATATTACTATATCCGCCAAAATTTTCCAACTTTTTTGGGCTTTATTGTTGTATTTAAGACTTTTACTAAATTATTTTGATTAAGTAGTTGAAAAATGCATTCTTTCCGACCTCAAAACCAACATTTTTAAATATTTCTTCTCAAAAATTACTTCTTTGATTGGTTACTTACAGCCACTCCCATGCTAAGGTACCATTATCATCCATCAAATTCTTATTGGAAAGCCAGACTGCTGTTTGCTAAGTAATGTGCAGCCATCGCAGCTGTCATAAATAGTCAGATTGCCCCTCCCTAAAAATCTCAAATTGTCTCGGTATTCTTTAGGGTCCATCGTACTGTGTGTGTCGTTCACATCTCTTTCAGAAATAAGCCATATTATCTGTTGATAAATAATTTCAATTGGGTCTAGTAATCTTAAAGATAGCTAAATTTGATTAACGCACAGCATAATCGTGATATTGCCAAATTTGACCACAAAGTACCGTTTTCCAGTTGGACTATGAAGGTACAGGTTCCTAAATTTCTAAGATAATTTCGGAAATTTGCGTCTACTAAATAAGTATTGGAGGTCTAATGTTCATTTTATTACGTCTTTGGAAGTGTTAAGTAGCCGGTCGTTAAATTCCATTTGTTTATTTCAAATTTTTATAGAACTTTATGTTACTCGCTGAAGCGTTCCCTCCCTCAAATTTCACTCCGTTGAGCTGCGAAACTCAAGGTGGAATTATAAAATCTTCTTCACTAAATAGGTATGATAATAATTGACGAATTCAACTAGTTAGCTAAAACGTTCCGGATTATATATCAATGAATAAATTATCATTTTTGTTTCCCCCAAAAAGGTTCAGAGCTGTTTTTATCTGTCTTTATCAGTAGTCTTATCATGATAGATATTTATCATCTCTAACTGTGATCTGAAAAGGGGATTTCTCACTCTTTGGAAAGGAGTTTGATTGCTTGATATCTGGTGAAAGAATAGAAGTTTGAATGGGCTGGATATGCTGCATAGTAAAAATGAAATTTGAAATTTTTTTTAAAATAATAACTACATACTGTGTTCAGGCACAGTGGTTCCCAACCTTGGAGTCTCGGAGCGCTTTTCATGGGGCAAAGAACAAAATAATTTAACAGGGACTAACTATGTTCAGGGTGATAGGAGTGAAAAATGTATGTAAAAAATAATTCATTTTATTTTTGGTCACCTCTAACCATATTAAAATCAAATCTTTGGAAAATACGGAATCATTTTACAATTTCCAAATTTAAATATGATCTGCCAAGCTATAAACTTGAAAATGATTATTTTTTATTCCGATGTAGTGTTCTCCTTGCTATTTGTGGTTTAAATGGCCGAATTATTTAGAGGTTACTGTCTGTTTTATTAAAATATAGTGAAAAAATTTGTTTCAGTGAATTTGTGATATAAATTTATCCCTTTGCTTCTAAGTAAGTACTAGTAACCTTGCTTGAAATATATCTAAGAAAAAATTAACTAACTGTGTCACTGTTCAAATTATCCAGCCCAATCATTGACTTTAATTCTTTCACCTTTATCTTGCATCTGGAGTTAGGTTTGTGTTTTCTTTTCTGTGTTTGTTTGTGTTCTCTGTGTTGTTTGTTAAAGGTTTTGTCCCCACAAGATTTAGAAGTTGTTTGAGTGAGGCTGTCCATGTTTATGATTGCTAAGTTGGAAGTAATTTAAACCAGTTCGAACCAGATTTTATCGGTTTGGCCTATTATGCTACTAATGTAGGTCCTGATATGAATTTTTTTTTTTTTGAGAATATTACATATTTCGAAATCAACTCCATCCTCACATCTAATGTCAATTACGGTTGATATCAGGACAGCAAATATCTTGTCATATTCCAGAGTGTTTTGAAATTAAGGGTTTCAGTCAAAGTCGCAATCTTTTCTTGTTATTTTCATACACTGATTGTATGATTTTACTATAAAAGCTGAATGTTGAAATTGACTAAGACGGATGCTAGCTAGATATGTTAGCGCTCCCTCCTAGATCACATCTGGTTCAACTATCAAACTTCCAAATTTGTTAGAAACGCGATCAAATTGATGAAAAAACTAAAGTTCATTTGTCTCCAATATTGCAACTAGTATTGTAGGCATTGTGAAGCTATCCACATCTCTATTGTGGTAGAATGGCAGTCTTCCTCTCACAACTTCAATTTTTTGTGGCGTTTCATGTTTTTTGGTAGCTAGCTCTTGCTGCTTTGTCTATTATAAATATATTCGTGTGGCTGTGCCTTATTTTACAATAATTTTGCATTCACATACTGTACATTCATGGTTAACGCTTTTCAGAAATCAGGGTTTTACTGCTTTTTAATGAAAATGTATCAGTTTCCAATCTATAAGCTAAAATTGGCTACTTTCTGTTATCTCTTGCGAATAGCAGTAGTTCGGCAAAATAATGATTATGTTGCCTTTATTTATAATTGGATTTGCAAAAATATCAGAATCTAAATTTAAATTGCAAAAACAAAAAGAAAGAGTGAATCTGCAACTAAAACATGCATATTCTGAATTGAGCGACTTTGTATTGTTAGTGTACACATAACCTTGTGTATAATCTTACAAACAAACCTCCCCAATTCAATTTGAAAACCATTTAAGTAGCCAATTTCAGCTTTTCGTTGGAAACCTCTTGTAGTTGGTGGTTACATGTAATAGTTATAATAATTTCGTTTTAGAATTTGCAATCCAGTTATTGTCAGACAAGCATATTATTCTATTGGTTGGTGCTATCTAAGTCGATTGGAGATATAATCTTGTGCAAGTGTGCGTACATGATTATCTGTACTAGGATTTTGTCCCAGGGTAAGCGAGGGGTGTCCCTCCGTGTCTATGCTTGGAGTTGCTCACAGGGTAATCTTTGGGTGTATATGCTCGGGAGTTAACCCCGTTGTAAACTGTAATCAAGGGGTAACCCTCCCTTTCTATGCTCGGAATTAACTCCCAGGGTAATCTAAGGTTGTCCCTCTGTGTCTATGCTCGGGAGTTTGCACCCGGGGTAAACACCAATGTCACCTCGTGTCTATGCTCGGGATTTAACTACCAGTAAAGTCTAGGGGTGTCCCCCCGTGTCGCATATAATTACGCTCAAGAGATCATTCTCATTCATTTCTGAGTGAGGCGATCTTGCCTTGATCAAATTGCCTATTCAAAATTAATGGCTAAACCATTATACTTGTATATATGTTGAATTTCACTCAGTAATTTTTGACATATAATTTCTCCACAGGGATGAAATTTTCAGAGTTAAAAAAAAAATTTTCTCAAATACCGAAACTTTATGAGACACTCCAAGTAATGCCCCCATTTTGAGACTCAAAGTGTGATTTACTGATCAGAATATGCTTGGCCATATTTGATAAAGCGTGTTTACCGTTGGTTTAACTATTCCTACAATTTTGTGCTTTTTTTTTTCCTTAATTGTTTTTGTGCGAATGGATTTGGATTAAGTATCAGAATAAAATAAAGCTTGAAATTATGTGGTCTCATTTGTTCTAACGGGGGTACTTTCATAGTGTATGTACCAGGTTAAGGTTCGTTAGACCATAATTTGATTCCGATTTTCCTTATTTTAGTTCTTTTACGAGTTCGGGGACTGACTGTTGTAGCTAAGTGAAAATACCCCCCTGCTCATACGTTTCAGTCCCTTTATACAACTTGATGTAAAGTAGGCGAACAAAATTAGTTACCTCCATATTGGTACACACACTTCTGGTGTGCCCAAACGGGAGGGAGCTCGTAGAGAAAAGGAAACCTTTGGTCTATGTGGGGAAGAGAGCTGACGCAAACACCAGAGCTAGCATTGAATTGCATCAATTAGTGAGATGCAATTCTACTATATCAATCAATCTTTATTGTCATGGAGGTCGCCAGAAACTTCGCTCAGAGATCAGTCTCCTTTATTTCTGAGTGGGTGTGTGGGACCTTGCTTTGAGCAAATCCCCTTGGAAAAATAAAATTCTAAACTAATCAGTTTATGACAAAACCATTTATATATAAAACTTCTGGTCAATGTGGGGAAGCGGCCTAAGGCAATCAAACACGAGAGTCAGCGCTGAAATGACACCAACAGCTCGTGTATTTCAATCTTTGTGCACTTATTGGACACCACTTGGACCTATGGTTATGTTGTTTCTCTCATCCTTTCTTGCTGCGGATAAATCGCTTTTCTCTCAACTACTAAACCAAATTTTCAGTGGAAAGAACGTCGCTACAAGGCTAATACATTTATTTATGTCATTTCTGTGGGATCTAAGTCTTAGATTATGAGAGATTAGTTTTTTGTGAGTGTGCTGACGTCATCAAAAAATTTCACCTCAGCGTCAGCAATCTAGTCGTGAACACTGGGTACCTGTAGGCTGCTGTGACAGACTGTCCTACTTCGTGTCCATATATTTGAGCATCGCTCTCTTGTTTAAAATAATAGAAGACAATAATTCTTTATTGTGAGTGTGTAGTAATGTGGTACATCGGGCTGATTGCCGTATTCCTGTGTGTGAGTAAACTCATCTACAGCTATCTCGTACCCAATGGTGCTTGCTACCTCTCAGCCAGCAAGATTTCTACGTTTCGGCAAGTGGTCTCGTTTTAAGCAAGTCGACTCGAGTAAGAAGCGCCATTCAATGTCAATAAATATCCTTCAATCAGTGGCCGGATTCGAAACTTTAAGAACTCTTGTATCGAACTTGCTAACGACAGATGTCTATACGTAAGCTGCATTAACATGACACGCTTTGCATAAATATAATACATAACTTACGAAATCTCAAGTATAAACTGGTTGTCTGCTCAACCCCAGTACCATTAAACGTACCTAAGCGGAGTAAACCCCAACATGATCTCCTCTCAGAGGCCAATAAGCACACAAAGGATTGTGATGCCAAATGATCGTATATTGCAAGTTGTACAATCGGATTGAAATCCAAAACAGATATATTTAAATATACACTTAAACCTTAATACAAGTTATGCAGGCAGTTGAAATCCAAGTCAGTAATGCAACAAAGAAACACCAAAACACTTTATTCTCAGCTCTCGGACGAGGGCCGAAAATCCGTACAGAGAAACCCTGCATAAACACTAAGGTCTTGCTACGATAAATCATCGTCAGGGAAATTGCCAAAATGACCTATTTTTATTAAATTCAACATGCTAATAATACAAGGGAGTCAATAACATTAAAATCCATAGTTACATTCCACATTCGCTACAATATCTAATAACGAGAACGGCGGTGATATGCATTTTTTAAGCGAGGTAAAGTATTAAGCAGATATTGCCGAAGGTTGGACATGACGAAATTTGTAATCGCGTCCTTCTCCACTGAATGCGCTTGTCAATTTTCTCCAGAACATTATGCAGGGTTTGTAATCCGAAGTTTATCCCGGGCATCGCATGAGAGGTCGTGCAGCAAATACACGAATCAAACGGTGACCGTACATTTGAACCCATGTGTATATCCGCGGGTTCAATCTATATGCGGGTGCTAAAACCCATGGGTTAGGGTTAGTATGGGTTCAAATATCCGCAAAACAAATAAAATTTTCATAGATGCAATAGTATGCAGGTGCAATTGTCGTGGGTTCAAATGTACGGGAACCGAATCAAACAAATCAACACAGGAGAAATGTTGAAGCTATGCCAAATGTGATATTCTATAATTCGGTGCTATTATAGACCATAGATCTTTTGTCCGTTGTGCTGCGGTGCATCAGACGGACAAAGCAAACAAATATATGCACGGCAAGGATGTTTGTCTTGGTGCGATGAAGAACTGGGGCGCACTCCTCCTCTGATTTCAGAAGAGTCGCCAAAACGCGTGTTAGACGTTAATGAAATAAAATGACAAAGATTATAAAATTTCACAAAATAGTGCTTATAGTAGTAATATTAATTATTACGGCGTTTTGCAAAAATAAACCCAAAAAACGAATATGGCACTTTTAGGCCAAATCGTCTGATAACTTATGTGATAAGCGAATTTCGACAATTCAGTGGCAATTCCGGATAGAAAAAAGGAGCAACAGCTTCAAAGAATGACTTTTTATTTGCAGCGAAAACTCCATCCTCGATTGCAACATCGAGAAGTTCTTGCAGGTCAGCTCGACAAATAACACATTTGATTGGTCGAATTCATCTTTTATCTTGCCGATTGATAGTGATGTAATAATTAGGCTTCCGCTTCATCAACCACGTCTGCGCGGTTGAATCTCTTTGATGAGCTAGCTCCGTTTCTCGATTCGGATGTTTGTTTTCGCGTCTTTAGGTGGTAAAACTGTTCATTTGTCCTGAAGTTTGCATGTGAATGCATTTATTTTAGACAGGGAATTGCTAGGGTTGTGTGTATTTAATTTTGTAGGATAATATATGAGTGTAGAAATGTAAATTTTCGAAGGTAAGCTAATATCAGTAGAGAGGTGGGGGCGGAAACGGCATTGGGTACGGTACCAACTTGCTATTTGGCGATCACTAGGACAGTAGCAAATTAGCAACAGCATCAACATTCAGACGGTGGCAAAAGTAAAAAAAGATTCTTAGAAATTATTATGCACTGGTGTTGGTATTTTCCATAAATAGGGGAAAGAGACATTTCGTAGTCGAAATTCCTAAAAATAATCTTCCATCTTTCACCAGTTGCGCAAGTGGCCTACTTGCATGTCAGCAATTCGCTATCCAATCCCAACAGAAAGAAAGATGTGATATGTTGTTTAGCTAAAGATTTAAGATAGTCATTAGCTAAAGATTTAAGATAGTCAATTTTACCGCAGCAGACACAGCACCTACTTTATGAAATTATCTTACTTACAGATAAAAATTCTTCATTAAAATTGAAACTACACCTTCCGAAATACCAACATTTTTATTTCAGCTTATAGCTATAAGAATCTTGAATATGAGTTCTACATTATTGGTGGGTTATGGTTAACGAAAACTAACAAACTATAAAGGTACAACTTCAGTTATGTGGGCTGCTTTGGAGAAGCTATCAGAACACGTTAAACGATACAGCACTGTTCTTGGACAAATATGGTACATTTGCGTTTTCATTTTTCGACTGATCGTCGTCTCAACAATCGGCGGAGCGGTGTATGGGGACGAGCAATCACAATTCAAATGTAGCACCCTATCTCCGGGCTGCGAAAATATGTGTTTTAACAGTTTTTCAAAAATCTCACACATGCGGTTCTGGGCTTTCCAATTACTCGGCGTCCTAGCACCCACGGTTTTCTTTCATTTTTACGCAAATAGAGTGACTGGAAAAATTGAAAAACTGAAACAGCAGTCAAAAACCTTGGATCCCAAAGCTCGACGAAATAGCGAAAGAAAATTGAAAGATGTTAAAATGAAGACCGTCTATAATGGGATCGATATTAAACAACTTCCTCTGACAAAGAAAATTCATTTGGCGTATTATCTAAGCGTGCTTCTGCGTATGTGTGTGGAAGGATTTTTCATATACCTTGCACACTTGCTTTTTCGTTTCAATAGTCCCGCAAAAACGATCAAAGGAGACTCTATCTTTAATTTCATATTATTCGAAGTTCCAGGCATGTATTTATGCTCTCAAGAAGACCACGCAGTCTACGCGTCATGCAAACAACATTTTCTTAATGGTCAGGGCTACGTACCTTGTTGGTCGTCTCGTCCATGGGAGAAAACAATTTTTATTCGATACATGAACATATTCAGCGCAGTTTGCTTTGTACTAAGCCTAATAGAGCTGATATATTTAACATTCAAAGGCCTTGTTGGAACGAATTGCAGAAAATGCAAACGAACATTATATACACAAGCGAAGAAATACAATGTGAATGAGTCGCCACAATCGCCTTCTTCCAGTCTACCATTTCAATCAGAGTTCAACGTAACAGAAGAAACGGAATTATCACGGGGAATGCGCGAAGACCATAGAGATCGAGGGGACGGGCGCTGGGTACCGAACGGCAACAGCCTCGGATTTGCGAACTCGGGATGGTTCATTGGAAGTTCCCACAAAATATCGACTCCAGAAAGGCGACCAAGAGCGCGACGGACACAGTACGTTTAGGTTTTCCATATGTGAAAACGTTATCCTACAAAGCTACAGCAGTGTTTATCCTGGGAAAGAGACATTAATTGAAAGGGATGATTTTGGTGAACTGTGGCTTGTAAAAGCAAAAAAGACATATGAGGATATCAATTGATCGGCTTGAAAATATTATTTCAAATCTTGTGGACTGAATTATGTGAATTTTTGATGCGCGGTGTAAATCTAGTCAAACATAGCTGTTCCTTTTGCTGCCATTTTCCTTGGTTTGCTTTGGAATTCAATAATTTCAAATCTTTTCGGTGCCTTTCATTCATCTTATTTTTCCACGCTGATTTTCTATTTTACTATAAGGTCTATTTAGCTGCTTAAATGAATTGATGCAGTGACTTTTTTTTTAGAAAATCAAGTGATGCTACTGTTGCTACCACAGAACTCTTGTTTTTGTGCGTTCTGTGTGAATCCGTGCCTTATGTCGAAATGAAACTGTTTTGGTGAAAAATATAAGGTCAAATATTTAAGATCGAAACCTTTTCGAGCCTTGCGTACACCCTGGATTCTAGCATATTAGCCGATGCTGCATTGCTCTTCGAGACGGACGGCAACGACAAAGTAGGAATGGTTGTCTAGCAGATATCGGTGATTGCGCCAACCTTAATTGTGGCCTGTGTGTAGTGCTTTCGCCGAATTCCAAAAATTACAAACTTTTCAACATTCATAAATGAGACTAAACTTACGTATCCTAAGTAAAGCCGTGATACCACGGGGAACATTTTTCGCGATTTTACCGCGAGACCGAACAATTTACTTTTTTCAAACAATATCAATTTTTAAGACAGTCTTGGTACATAACCATACAGGACACCCACAAAGAGATTAAATAATAATTGAAATAACTTGGATGCAGTGTACTGCTGTAGGGTATGGGATTGACTGTCACCAACCTATATTTTTAGCCTTAATTTTTACTTGGTAAGTTCTTCGTGTTTTGATCTAAACCGCAACATCATCAAAAAACCTGACGAAAAATGTGATGATATCGCTTCGTAGTGAGAACATCCTCTCTATAACGATGATGATGTAGTAGTGAGAATTGCCAAGGTGGAATCAAGTTAGACGAGATTACGAATTAACTAGGTTGTCGACCGCGATAAAAACTAGACGATGCGCTTTTTAGTTTGGCTGTCCACTTAGCGCTCTTTGACACTTCTGTTAGAAATGGTTGTTTCTCGGTACTCCCGTAGTGTGTACCAGGTTAGGCCATAATTTTATTCCGATTTTCCTCATTTTAGTTCTAGTTCGGGGACTGTCTGTGCCAGGCAAGTGAATATACCCTCTGCCCATAGGTTTCAGTCCCTTCACACAACTTTATGTAAAGTAAGCGAACAAAATTAGTTACGTCCATATTATTACACACACTTCTGGAGCGCCGTTTTTACCGTCGAAACAAGGCGGTATGCATGTCCACTTGAAAATAAGATATGATATATTGTGTCTTGAAATTGTAATACGTAGGTATAAATGACGCAACAGGGGTGATTTCCGATGCCCCAATTAAAAGACGAGTCAAATTGAACGAGGCTTCATTTTATCCCAGCCGATGAAGAGAGAGGAAAGTTCAATGTTAAAGTTGCCCGAATGTGCATCAAAAAGTGTACCAAGGAGAAAAATATATCACTCAAGAAGAGGCGTGTAGAGAGTTTTGAAAAGATATAAATGTTGCGATCACCATGTTTATTTCGACACCTTAATAGCTTGATAGTCTATAGTAGCTGGCAGTGGCGGCGCGTCAATAGGGCCAACCGGGGCAATGCCCCGGTTGTTTTTTCGGTATAATAAAAAATATTCGAAAAATACCTCAATATCGGTTGCACAGACTGTCTACACCAGGGGTTCTCAAACTTTTTGTGTTGCGGAGCCCTTGAAAAAGTTGACTATTATTCACGGAGCCCCAAAATAAATGTTAAAATAGTTACTTTCCGAATAATATTCCTGAGTAAGTTAAAAGTACTGTACTTATTTTAAATGCTAGACCTCTTTTAATAGGGTTAATACAAGTCATAAATGAATCTAAATGTCAAAGATAAATTATATATACTAAAGCTGTAAATTTGACACTTGACAAACATGTTAATAAATTAGGGGTCGTATCTTTTTCCTTTAGACATTTTTAAAAGGTCGCTAATAACATACTCGATTGCATTTTGTTACGATCGCCGATTGTTTTCGTCAGCATGGCGGTGTTTATTCTCCCTAAATCATAAATTTCCCTCGACAACAATACATGTATTGTTCCACAATGACGACGACGTAGGCTTGCACGTAATTGACAAAAATCAATTCCGTAATTACGGCCAAATCGATTACGTAATGACCCCGTAATTGCGATATTTTTTCACACATTTAAACCTATCATAACAACCAATTGAATCCACTTCATTTTCGATTGGGACATCGAGTTTGGGTTTTCATATTCCTGGCAGTACTACACGCCGGTGACAGATGACAAGAGTGAATTCAAATTAATTTTATTCTGATTGGTATCTTTTGTGCTAGCTAGATTTCCTTTATCACCTTCGCAAATTAACCGTCCCAATTTTATGCGATCAATTTTATCATTACCGACACTGGTATACGGATATTTATGAAACGATAGTTGACTTTTTTAAAATCGTATTCAAAAAAATGTCGGGTTTCCAATTTATCAATGCCATGACGAGCGTATTCTCTCGTTTGATTATACTTGCTCTTGCCTCGCGACGAAGACTTGTTATTGCACCGTTTTTAACATTATTCGACTTTACTACCTAGTCAGCATTTTATAATAATTATTGATGCCGACTTATTGACGTTATTCCGATTACCATGCTTCATTTTACATTAAATCCTGTCGCGGCCTAAATGTTGTAACATTATTTGCAACAAATTTAGATCAAATATTAATTATTTGCGCATAATTTAAATACATACTTATATGATATGGCTTTTCCGAAAATACAAAGTTATATCGCAAAAAAAATGCTAATTGTGACATTTATTTTGCACGCACGAAAAAATTAACTTATTTTTCTAACTCAAGTCGACGATCCTATCGGCCAAGATTGACACAAATTTGGTCGAGTGTCGGTGGTTTTCAAGAATCAAAATAAGTTGCCGCATTTGGTAAAGACAGTTAATCATATTTGGCCGAAATATTGCGAGGCATTGTGGAAAATATATTGAGCAAGGACAAGTCCAGACTGATATAAAACGATAAAACCGGTAACAGAACATCAAGGTTTTGTAATTGAAAATGGTTCTCGCACAGAATAAACACACTGGCTCATACTTGATATTTGATAGTAGTTAAATTGAGAATATTGAACTGTTAAAAACAAAAAAAAACGATCGTCGAAATTCTTAAAACTCGTTGCCTTGGTTAAATATAATCCAATGATCAGGACATTTTCAATTAAATACTGCGTAAAGATTGTATTTAGCTTTTTTTTTTAATCCCAATCATTGTGGTGGAGAAATCCCACTATTTAAATACGGTAACTATAGAAAATAGAATAGGATTCTGGATTCGATTTAAGTATTCTAAAACAGTGCTTCCCAACCGCCGGTCCGCGGACCGTCATCGGTCCGCAAAGGATTTTTACCGGATCGCGGGAAATCCCGTCATATTGTTGTTTCTCTGCCGTCTCAATCGCTTTACCGATGCCGAAAAGACGAAGTTGCGTTGGTTCATTACGCAATTTCGCTTCCGTCGTCATATTGCTGTTTGATAAGCGCGACATTAATTATCCCGGTGACGTATTGGCAGGAGAGAGAAAAGTGAGAAAAACGGCTGCAAATACCGAAGCTTTAACTTCATTTTAAACTTTCACTTTTTACAATCGACGGAATTGACTGCTTTGAAGAGAGCTCGTTTCAATCGCGAAAGCGCTCGACCAATAATTACGACTTTACGTAATTCGTAACTTCCCTTCCGTAACTCGAAATAATTCCGTAATTCCGTAAATCTGTAAATTACGTGCAAGCCTAACGACGAGTATTGCTTTTTGTGTCTCGTGGGGAATTATGAGTTTAATGTGAAAAACACGTTAGCATATCATAGTCATGGAGACGAAATGCTAAAAATAATAAAAAAATAAAAAGGTAAATACGCAACTCAAATGTCTTAATTGGAAAGCGCATTCTGAAATATTAAAACTAAACCTTAAAATGGAAGATAACACTATAAGTTTTGTTTCAGCAGACTCACGTCAGATTAAAAACGCTTTCATAGACATTGTAAATCACAAAATTTGGTGTTATGTTGGGTTTTCTTCGGTTATTCGTCGTAGTAACTGCGAAACCGAAACACAGTCAATTGTGTGCGCGATGTTCCTATTTTTCCATTCAGAAACTACCGACGGAGCCGCATGCAATGAAATAAATTTTAATCTTTCGTTTTTTGCCCCGACCTCATGATTTTTCAAACGGCGATATCTTGCTCGTGAGTGCGAAAAAACAAAATCAAGCTTGACAAATCCCAAGATCGCAAAAATACGATTGCAATTTGTATAGTTTATGTATTAGCCAATTCAGTATTTTGAAAAGTAATCGAATAGCTCGCGGAGCCCCTGGTTTTTTTTCACGGAGCCCTGGGGCTCCGTACGGAGCACTTTGAGAACCTATGGTCTACACCAGCCATATTCTCCCGACATGGTTCATTTTTCGCTCGCAAAGCCTTCGCCGAAGGTCGACGTGGCGACGCCGATTTTGCCCCGGTTGCTCATTGTTTATCGTATTCTCTCTTTTATCTTCCACTCGCCGCGTTTGTCTCGTTTGTTTTCTGTTTCTTTTACTAAATCATCGGGGCTAGCCCCGAAATTATGACGACACAATGCCGACGTTTCTTACAACAACGTGTTGACATATTCACGCATTCCTTCTCGTTCGTTGGTTGCTTGAAGAGTTGATAGTTTCCTCGCCTTCGTTTTTGTCGCTTGTTTCGCTATTTGAATCAGTTAGAGACCTTCAGTCCATTTGCTTTCGATTTTCCACATTCCTTTTGAGCTCCTCACTTCTTTCCGGCTTCGCATTTCTTAGCCTTAGACCTCATAATGAATGAGGTTGATGCACTACTTCGCACTCCGTTTTCGCAGCTGCCGCTGGAACAAAAATTAGAGGTACAACGTCTTGGGCCTTATCAACCAAAAAATTGTTCACTGGAACAATCCCATGACGGAGGAAAGCGTCGGCGTACATTCTGCGCAGAAACTTGGTATAAAAAACACGAATGGTTGTGTTACAGCGAGGACAAAAATGCACTTTTTTGTTTTTATTGCCTACTTTTTGCTACCGCCCGTGACTCACGTTAGTGTAAATTTGGTTTTAGAGATCTTAAGCATCTTTCCGAGCGTGCCAGGGATCATCAATCTTCTATGGAGCATCTGGACAATGCAGTAAAATACCGAACATTCGGAAATGTTAATATTGCAGCACAGTTGGATGAAGGACGCGCGGTTTCTATTCGTCGGCACAACCAAAACGTCGAGAAAAACCGCCATGTTCTCGGTCGATTGATAGATGTTTTGAAGTTCATTGGTTGTCACGAGCTGTCCCTCCGTGGGCACGATGAACGGGCTGGCTCTTCTAATAGAGGGGTATTTTTGGATATGGTGGAATACACCGCATCCCTAGATACAGTATTGAGAGATCATCTTGATGCCGCAACTGTTTCTAAGGCTATCCAAAATGATTTGCTCGACTCAATGTATAAAATTTATTTACAACATTCGGCTCTGGAAATTGAGAATTGCCAGTTCCTTTCGATTCAGTCTGACGAGACAACTGACGTCACGTGCGTTTCCCAACTGGCTGTGATTTTTCGGTTTGTGAAAGATGGTAAACCTACCGAGAGATTTCACAGCTTTGTACCAATCGTTGATCGCACGGCTTGCGGGATATCGGCTGTACTGAAAGAAGTGTTACAGCCTTACAACGCGAAGTCAAAATTGATAGCTCAAACTTATGACGGCGCGGCAGTCATGAGTGGGTCGAAACATGGTGTTCAAGTTTATATAGAAGAAGATTTTCCTCATGCGCATTTTTTACATTGTTATGCACACCGATTTAACCTCGTTAATAAAAATATGTGTCTTGATACCCCTCTCGTCCGTATATTTTTTGAAAATGTTTCGGGGTTTTCTTCATTTTTTTCCGTTTCGCCGAAGCGCTCTGACCTCCTTCGCCAGATATGTAGCCGCCGTCTCCCAGCTTGTGCACCAACACGTTGGAACTTCCAATCACGCGTGGTGCAGGGCGTGTCCGAAATTAGGTCTGAGCTCATTGAGTGTTTCAATGGCATTCAGAGCTCTCCGGTTTGGGACGAACGCTCTGTGAGGGAGGCGGCAGGTCTAAAGCGTCTGCTAGAAGATGGTGAGTTCTCATTTTTTCTCCACAATATTCTATCACGTGGATGTATTATACGGCGCATTGCAGTCAAGGCTAATGGACGGAGCGTCTGTGCAGTCGTGTATTTCAGACTTCTGCAATGCTGTATCTCGTATCCGGGAAACAATAAAATACGACGACACATGGAGTGCTTCTTTACGCCGCGGGCAAACAACGCAGCGTTTGATTTTGTCTGCAAAGGAATGCTGTGACATTCTGGTGAATCAAATAGGCGATCGTCTGCGCACTGAACACCTTGCCGCGTTCTCTTTGATGAACCCCAAAAATTGTTCAAAATTTGCACGTCAATTTCCCATCCATTTGTTGGCTACTGTCTCCAAATTTTACCCCATGATAAACGTGGGTAAATTGGAAAATGAATTGCGATGTATAGACACCAATCAAACTTTTTTGAACATCACATCAACTTGCGCGCTCTATGGGTTCCTCATAGACAACACTCTAGTAACTACCTTTGCGGCGTCTGCAAAATTTCTGGACATCATTTTGACGACGCCTATTTCTTCCTCCGACGCAGAGCGAACATTCAGCACGCTGAAGCGCATTAAAACGTATCTCAGAAACACAATGAAGCAAGCTAGATTAAATTCCTTGGCTGTTTTATCCATTCACAGAGACGTTATTTCTGGGATGCATGACTTTAATCAGCGCGTTATTGAGCATTTTGCTTCCAAGAAACCGCGGCGTGTTGCATATATGTTCAAGCAGTAGAAGTCTAGCAGCATATATATCTATGAGTGAGCGACGCATGTCCTTATCTTTGCATAACTTACCTTTCTTCATAGTAATGTTTTAAACCTTATTTTAGGTTTTGTCTGCTTTCCCGAAGTTTCTGTTAATATGTCATTGTATTTATCTGGGTAAATATTGCCTTTCCTTTTGAAAGAGGTTTCAAAATAAACTATGTCTATATTTATTAATCCCTTGACTTGGACCGGTTTTAAAGACACTTTCTTATCGTTAAAAATTGTCGCTTTTGCCGATTGGTTGTTACCGATGGAATGGTTTTTATACTCATAAAATGATGGGAGAAATTACAGCGCTCATCCTGTCCCCGTAGATGGGGGTGACTTGGTCCCGCAGTAGCTTGCCCCGGTTGTCAAAATGACCACGCGCCGCCACTGGTAGCTGGATTACCAATTGGGCAATATAAGCACGCTTTTTTAGGGCACCAAGAGAACCGCAGAGAATTTCCGTGGAGCGATCTTCAATGTTACCTCAGTGTTAGGTAATGTAATCCCAGATGACCAGCCGTCACAGACCTCATAAAATTCATGCAAATTAATTATAACTTGGCCCTCAAGTGGTATTGAATGAATGTTTCCCCGACCCTCGACTTCAGAAAAAACTCTCCCTATATAAACTTTACTATTGAAAAAAATTTATGCTTATTTTTAAAGTGTCTTCAAAAGTTGGCGCTTACAATCTGGTTTACATGTTTCAAAAACATATATATTTATTAAAACTATTATTATTACTTTTCATATATATAGGGCACCAACGTCTCAAGTGCTTAGTGCCCCTGAAAGACATGATTCGGCCCTGCCCATAGTCAGTCACGTTCGACAAAATATAAAACGCAAAATTGGGAAATAATAACCTTTTAATGTATTGGCGTTACAAAAAAAGCTAAATTGACTGAAGATTGGAAAGTTGGTATGGGCTTTGGTTCCCTTGTCTCTATTTTTTAATCTCTTCTCCCGGTTAGAAGTGTTGAAGTCAAAAGAGGTTGCAAGCAGGAGCAGTATTTTTAAGCGGAAGTCCATGCATCTGAAACTGGCTAATTAATCCCATTATCGTCGACTCGATGATCCAATACCCGACATGGAATGGTAACAAGACAAGAGGCTGTGGTTCGCCATATGAATAAGTCGTTTTATCGGCGTTCCTATCCCCTGGGATAAATATATAAATCCTATCCTAAAAACGCAAACATGGCAAAATCAGCTACTGACTAATGAGGTTTTCTCACAAAAGGCACAACTCGCAAATGGGTCAACTTCGTCGGTGTCATTTTCGCGAATAAAGTGAATTCTTGTGATGATGGATTTTTGAGCGAATGTTGGCCTGTTCTCATTTATACATTGTACTGACTGACCCAGGAAAGAAGAGAAATGACGAATCTTCTTGTGGTTGTGGCCATGTCTACATGTGAACCACGTATCCATTACTGAAAGTTTAGATATGTGGATGGAGTCAAAACTACGGTAAACTATTTCAGGAGGACAGACAGCAGTAATGTTAGTTTCAGGATAGTCAAAAAGTAAAAATTTTTTGAATGATGAATGGACATATACTGGTAACTGTCATTATTTCAGTAATTAGGAGGTGATTGACCTTACTTTTTTTTTGTATATTGACGCTTACTGCTGTACTGGTAGATTTTTCTCCAAACAAGGCTAGATAAAAGTAGTTGCCGATATCTAACAATATCTTAAACAATGGCCAAGTCATCCAAGCTACATATCTGGGGTCTGGTATAGTTTAGTACCACATCCACTTCTAGTTGGCCTGGCTCAACAATTTTTGCATATGTCAATCCTAACCACCACCTTACTACGTCACCGAAAAATAACGTCATTCCGACGTCACAGTGGCGTAATAAGGCCCACCGAAGTATGCGGATGGTCGTCCAAAACGCGCAGACGATAACCCAAAATCAAGCAAGCTATTTCTCTCGTTTTCTCGTCGCAACGATCACGATAGGAGAGAGATCGCCAGCTTTAGCAAGTTCTTATCGGCAGTTCTTATCGGCGCAGATGCCATTTCGGGCGATCGTAATTATACTTTGGCAATCCCTATGACGTGATGGTGACGTCAAAGTGACGTAATTTCTGGATGGCATAGTCAGGTGAGGGTTAAGAATAACATATGCAAAAATCGTTATGCTACGCCCACTGGAAGTACTTGTGGTACTAAACTATACTAGACCCCATAACTGCATAAGCACGCATTTACATCTATCCTGGTTGGTTGGTTGGCCGTTTCAAGAAAGGATTATTGATAGCAAGGGAGGGAACGCCAGTTTTCAGTAAATCGTTCAGGAAAATAGTGTTGGAAAAAAATTTATGTCTTGCCACAAAAGCAGCAAAACTGCATTTAAAAAAACATGGAAAATTTTTAGTCCTCGTCCTTCCTTGGCTATGCCCATGCAATCAAGCAAAAAATAGCAGTTCATTTCAATCATTCAATAGGCTTCTTCTTTCTTGAGCTGTATATTCATATATTGTATGTTGTTTTTTACAGTCTTAGAAAAATATTAAAATCAACTCATAAGTTCAAAATGTCCTCGGTCACCCCAGAGATAGTAAAACACTTGGAAGTAGCCGCACAAGCTGCGCTTGGGATTCAGTCAACCATATCGCCAGCACAGCGACAGGAAGCCGAAGATGTTTTGCTTTCTTTTCGTCATTCGAAACCGAGCTTCATAGATTGCAAAACATTGTTGGAAAGCACAACTTATGATACAGTGCAGTATCAAGCTGCAGCAGCATTGAAAGACGTGGTTCTTCGAGAATGGGGACACACTGAGGAAAATAACCGTAATTCTCAACAACAATTTGTTTTGTCTTTTGTAATGGGGCATACTGGAATATCAAGATTTGTTCGAGAAATTTTGTCCCATTTATTAGCTATCATGGTTAAGCTTTCAGCCATGAAAGATGCGAATCCGAAACTCAGAGAATCAATTTATACATTTTTAACTAATTTAATTGGATCTGGAGATCAAACTCAACAACTAATTGCATGTTCAATTATTACTGCACTCGTTACCGAGTTCTCAATAACGAATAAATCCAGTGATATGGGGATGACGTGGCAGCAACATTTAAAATGTAAAAAATCATTTGAAGATTTTGATTTGAAAACAATCTTTTCTCTTCTACTCGAAGTTTTACAACATATTAATGGCGCGGAAAATATATCTTCAAATGAAACTATAAATTTATGCCACAAATTTCTGATAATTTCGGAGCAGATTTTGTCATGGACATTTACTGCTCCGGTTAAGACACGTCGAAGCGCGCTTGTGCAGCCTGAATGTGATAAAGTTCTCTTGAAACCACATGCAGATTGGAAAAAAGTTTTACTGAATCCAACGACGATAAAATTGTTTTTTAGTTTGTCGAAAAAATGTCAATTAAATGCTGAATTATCTCGGATTGCATCATCTTGTCTTGCACAACTTGCATCTTTACATGGCCCTGTTTTAGAAAATGAAGAAACGAAATACTTTTACATTAAGTTATATATGCAAGAATTTTTACAAACTTACGGGAATGGGAATTTCCATGATTGTGAGGCTTTAGGCATTGCAAATGCATGTAAAAATATTCTTGATGCTCATAAACTTGAAATTTGGGTGAAAACACCAGAAATTTTACAAATATTTCGCCAGTTTTTGGAATGTTTGACAAAGTTAACAGGTATGGCGATGGCAGGGGCTGCTAAAGAGGAAGAAATTGATGAAGAGGACCATTTATATATGGAAGCATTTGAGACAATGTTGGACGCTTGGACTACGATAATCGAATCAATTTCCGGACCCAAAGATTTCATTATTCCATGCACTTCAAAGATATTCGAAAATTATGTTCGATGTCATATTGTACCGCCAGATGGCACTAGAGCAATAATAGATGATTCTGACCATGATTATGATGAAATGGAAGAGGATGATCGCGATCGTTTTTGCGGACAACTTATGTCAATTGCTTGTATCGCGAGAACATCACCGCTAACTTCTATGCTAGCTTGCTCAATGCTGCTTGAAAAACGAGTTTCTTTGTTGCAAGAGAATTTACTTTTAATGAAAAATCAAACTAAAGTTGATGATACTTTATTACAGAATTTATTCGAAGACTTACATTGGATCGTGTTGATTTCTGGCCACGTTCTGGCTGATGATTATGACGGCGAAACTTCTTTAATTCCGAATGAAATAATTCAGTGCAGCATTGCTCAGAGAAATCAAATTAATCAGGTGCTATCTTTACGTATACTCGGTTCTCCTCTAGAAAGCTGTGCAATTGTGGAATCCTCGCCGGGATTGGTTGATCCTGTGATAAGACTTGTATCTGCGATTCTGCGTCTTTGTGAAGTTGTATCAAACGCTATTCGATCAAATATGGTGGATAATTTGAGCCCTCAATTACTTCAAGACTTGATGTGGTTTTTAAAGACATGGTCTGGATCATATTTACTTTTCCGCGAAGACTATTATGATGAAATAAGTCCAGTATTATCCGCAGCTTTTGGGCCGGATTCAGAAGGTGGACGTTGGACCGTAAATTATGTCACAAAATTTGCATGCACTGTTTTAAATCATTGGACCTCCGAACCTAAACTTCTGGAAGACACTGCGGATTTATTGACAACATTAGTAGGAAACGATAAGAGTTGTTCAATCGTGTCATCTTCGGAAGCATTTTGGAAAAGTGCTCATGGAATCTGTTCTGGAGATGCCTCATATCGGACACATCCTTCATTTGTGAAACAACAAATAATGTCATCAATTGTAGGAGTTGGGACTTCTAATATGAATCAGTACAGAGATAAATACTGGGAACAAACTATGAACATTGTGAAAAAACGATACCATGACCTAACAACGAACCACATTTTTGGGAAAAATTCTTTGAACACTCAGGTAATTGATGAATTGAGCTCCATACTTGACCTATTGAGAGGTGTTGCAGATGCTGCGTCACCGCAGAACACAAAATTAATTTTTATGTTTTTGTCTGATTTTATTTGTGAAGGGAGTAAGCTTATGCATTCATGTAAAGGCCATCAAACTGTTATAGTTTCACTTTTGGAACTATTTGTCCAGGTCGCTCATGAACAAGTTTGTTATCTCCCAGAATCAAAATGTCATATGTTATATGACTGGACACTTCAACTTTTACGAACATTTTCTCAACTCACGACCGATTTCAAATCGAGAGACGCAGAAGAAGAATCATTCCAGGACTTATCTCTTGTTATTGAGCTCCTAACTCACATCTTAGGACGAGATTTTATTGATTTCAGCGATCCCGATTTGGAATCTAATACTGGGTTAACTTTAGACGAAGCTCAGCCTGAAGTCTCTGTTCCTGACGTCGTATTTTTCGGTTTAGGAATTATTCTGCCTCACATGAATACACAATTGCTGTCCTATCCATCTCTATGTTGCCAGTATTATAAATTAATAACATTTTTGTGTGAGATTTACCCCGAAAAAGTTGAACTATTACCGCAAGAAGTTTTAAACACTTTCCTTTTTTCCCTGCAGCTGGGCTTAAGCTCATATGGGAATGATAATTGTAAATTATGTTTGGAAGCATTATTAGGTCTTGTGGATTGTGCTCGCGAAAAATCCAACCCTAATGGTGCTTTTCAAACCGTTTTAACGCCTTTTATAAAAATGGTTTTTGATGTTATATTGGTCCATGCTGGCGATATGGAATTACTCCGTTCTGCAGGTGAAACTTTTCACTCAATGTTCTGTTTTGATCACCAAAGAATTGTTGAACTTTTTACTGCAGTCGTTGAAGCGCAACCGGACCCAGCCAATAAGCAGTGCCTATTTATGGAATTTAGTAAATTAACTCCGCCCCCAAATACAGAATTTAAAATTGATAGAAAAGATAAAATGAAATTTATTAACTTGTTAGAGGAAGTTATTTTCAATGTAAGGGGTATTTTATGTGTGAAATAATCTGAATTTTTCGATTTTTTTGATTATTAGAAAGCTTCAGACAAAAAAACAATTTGGAAAGATCAATATCTATCTAGTTGGATATAGCCCTGACGTGGGCGAACAACGGCACGCGGGCCAAATCCGGCACGTTGGGTAATTCCATCTGGCCCGCCTGATGCTGCCACAACCAAACTAAAACCAAATTTCGGTGTTTTAGCTAAAAAATAACTCACAGAATTTGTTCAGATTGCGATTAAGTTTTGGCACGAGGCTCAATGTTTCCACCTTTTCTTTTATAACACTGTTGTTCATAAAATGTAACTTTTTACGTCCTCCTGGACCAAAAATCTCGCCCGCTCCTGGTATAGCCTATCCAAGGATGTTAGGTTGAACTGACTAGGTTTTGAACCTGATATCTCTGAGCCAAAAGGCAAACAAAATGTCCTCTAATCTTTACTCTGGAAGCTCTTACTGCTAAACTTTAAAAAAGTGAAGTCTAACATGACTAGGAGCTTATTTGAGCATGCTCCAAAAACTAAAGAAAACTACAAAAAATTGCTGATTTGCTTAAAGCATGGCGTTAGACAAGGGATAGTCAATTACTTTTACTAGTGAACCAGCAGATATAATAGACTTGGTTACTGGCCCGGAATATGAAAAACTATGAATACTTTTGGGTGCTCCCGAAGTATGCGAACCAAGATGGCGGACATCGGAACGTAACATGGGTAACAGGTTAGGGTTAGGCGATACTTTTTTTCCAATTTTCCTTATTTTAGTCCTATTATCAGTTCGAAGACCAGCCAAGAGCCTCCCGTAGTATTTATACCTAAAATTATGGCCTAACCCAGTACACATATTACATTCCGATGTCCGCCATCTTGGTTCGCATACTTCGGGAGCCCCTACTTTTGTATATTAATAAGAAGCACAAAGTACTAATCGGGGTCATTGTGATGTCATTTTCATCGATATTTTCAACGAAAATTAAAAAACTATAGTCATAATGTCAGCAAAGAGTGGGCCGGCCTGCGGTGCCTTAATTTGCCCATTCCTGCCTTAGACCGATGCCCCGAATTACTTCTGAACTGTATGTTATTTATTGACATTACATAGTACCATATTATATTCATTATATTTTTTAATTATGTATTTATTTTTCAAGTGCCTTTTATTTACATACATATACCCGACTACGTTCCAACTTTTTAATCAAAAATTTAAGTCGAATTGAATTTAGAACATCCCTTCTTGAAAAAGATTGGGAAATGCACAGCCATGTTTGTGGTATTATCAGTATAATAAGTTTGAATATTGATTTTGAATCGATTTTCCGAACACTTTAAAAAATTTACAATTTGGTAATTTTTTTATCAGTGCCTTTTTCTATTGTTGTGTATTTATGGAGGAAAATTTAGGGATCTCAATCTAGTCTTTCTTATTATATCCTCGCATATAAGCCGTGTTAAAAAAAAAAATGCCAACCTAAGGGGTTGGCTGATATGCGCATAACTCTGATCGCACCTATTCTCTTCTGCAACCATTTGCTGCGATAGGTGCATACAGCGTGTTACAATTTGTAGGGTCAGATTATATACGCATTTTTATAAATTCACCGTTTTAGGGCCGTTTTTAGGGGACTTATATCGACACCTCAAAACCAAACAAGTCCACTTTTCCAAAAAATGACATTTTTCAATTGCTGATTTTCCTGGACTTAGCTCTACATTTTGGTCTATTTGCCTTATCTCTAGGTGATCTAAATCTCAAGACAGCTATGGACATAACCCTGCTTTTTTTAGGGCATTTGAGAACTAAACAGAGCTGTGTCTACTATAGTGGACCTAGCTCTGGATAACTGCATTGTAAGTTGGGGCTAAGTCCGTTTTTTGGACATAGCTCCTCTCAAAAAATATAATACAAAGCGCTAAGTCCATACCAGCCTCCATAATAACATAATAAAGGGGCCCTAAGTCCAATAAAATTGTTTCTAGTCCAGAAAATTGAGAGCCAAAAAGGGTTAAGTCCAAAAAAAAAACCCCAAAAAAAAATTGAGGCGGAGCACAAATTTTTTTATACCATCTAAATATGGCCTTCATTGTAACTTTGGTGGACCATAAAAACTAGACATCCTCGATGTAAGGTATTAGAGAAATAAAAGAAAGAAACAAAAAAAAAACGTTTTTTGCGTTTTTCTCAAAACTAGAAAAATGGACTTAGCCCAATTTGGATTTCATGCGTCGATATGCGAGGATATACAATAAGTTGGTGCAGACTTTGTATCTCACACTCAATGTAAGCAAAACTTTAAACTGCTCTATACAACCAGCCTGAAAGTATTGTTGCACTATACCCCCTGAATTAGTTAATTTTGTTCGTTTTTGTTTTATAAAGCGTAGTTTAAAATAATGAGTAATTGTTGTCGAATGAGATGTCTGAGCAGAGATTCCTCTTCGACAATTCTAGACGACGAAACGGATTTAATTCCACAGCGAAATAATTCAATTCAATTTATTAAAGATTATGAGGTTTGTTTGGCTTTTGTGTTTGAATGGGGTCAAAGGTCACATTTGGGGTAGGATAAGTATTCATATTTATCCACAGGGAGAGAGGAAAACTATCATAATTCCTATGCAATACAATCAAGGAAAATTGTGGGATATTTTGTACAAAGCCTAAAAAAGTCTTCGTCAATGCTCAAAATAGGAAAATTATCAATCTAGTAAGGGTTAGGAATGCAGGTTCCGCTGGAAATTCAAATTTCTAAATCATTCTCCAACGTGGCAGTCAGGGATGGCCATTTCCGAATACTAAACTATTCCGAATACATTCTAAAATAATGTTTTCGAATCTGGAATTCCGAATACATTCTAAAATCGAAAATACCACATTTTTGTTTTAGTTGATTAAAACCCAGTAAATTAGGAAATAAGCTTCAATAGAAATATCAGAATGAAGCCACAGACCAACAGTATATGTACACAAAGTAATTGATAGTTTATAGCTATTAATAAAAAATAATAGCAACTTGTGACACAGTCAGTTTATTAAAATTATTCACTTTGTACAAATGACCATATGAAAAGATAGCCAAGGAGTTGTCTGACGCTTTCTATCATTTGTACCATGATATTACGATAATAGGAGTCTATTGACAAGATAACTACTTGCATTCAGATAATTGTGTATATTTTCTGAGAGTAATAAAATTTATTTGCAATACAGGCAACAACAATCGAAAATCCATTATTCCTTTAAAAATTCTAATATTTAAGCCTAGAGTATTCTACTACCTACCACAGTATATTTGTATACAAATTTATGTGAACCATATTGTTATTATGTGTAACATATTGTTGTGTTTAGAGTTAGAAATAAATTAGTAGAGAATAGATGACCACCAATGCCAGCGCGCAGCCAGGATTTTCGAAATCGGAAATTCTCCTTGCCCCCTGTAACACCCACCGCGATTCCGCGCTCGTTAAAAGAGCCGTCTTGTCAGCGTAAAATGATCATTCTGTTACGTAAAATATTCAATCCATTACAACTACGAGATTCTGAAATATCTTTATATATTAATTTAATGTGTCCAACATAACTCGCGGTTGCTTCTTCTTACGTCAAAAAAAAAACATTACTATTCGGTCCACGGCAATCTGTGACCTAAAATTACGAGATAAACTGCTTGATGTATATGATTTCAATATGTATTTTTGCAATCTTGCCAACTCGTTATCGCCGTTAGGAAAATCTCAAATAATTATATAAAGTGTAGAGAATAATTCATTTCATACAATGAATATACATATAAAGTTTAGCAGTAAATTAAAAATACATATTTATCGCCGTGATTTTGCCACCTGTTATAAGAGTCGACTTTTACAACAAATAATATAACAACGAATATATATTTTTCTGTTGTGCAAAGTGATGAATTCGTGACCAACACGGACATATTTGCAATCCGCGGCCATAAAAATAAAAACGTGAGGTAAACTGTCCGATTAAATATTGTTTTTATCCGTATTTTGCGAATTCGGCAAATGTTTAGGTGTACTTGTTAACAGTGACTCCGCTCGATCGAAATTCTCAGAGTAAAATTTATTTCATCACAATAGAATTGATTGAATATACTTTAGATTAATTATACTATATACATCCTCACAACCAGGGAAAAAGTCGCTTTTCAAACCTTGTATCGTGTTAACCCGAAAATATTCGACGGCAATTTAAAGTAATGGATAATCAGGCAAATCCCGCCCTCAATTAGTGACGATATGTTTCTAAACGCCGACAAAACATAATGTGAATTATAACGAAATTTTGCGATTCCACTGCCTAGAAAAGCGTTTTTTAAATTTTCGCGGGCCTCAATAAAACTTATGTTGTTTACGGTTTTATTTTCAGTATTTTAAATTGCCGCTTTTCAACCAAAAAGTTGCGTTGTCTTTAGAAACTCGCCGCCAATGAACGTATTTACCAGATTCACAATTCCGTGCGCGTACAAAAATAAAATAAATGTTATCGTTATCCAGGAACAAATTTGTGGAAAATTTTCGTTTTAGAGAAAATAACACAATCGTAAAGGCGTTAACGGGCCTAAATAACACGTTACGCTGATGAGTGATAAAAACAATCCCGTGCAGGTTTCTATCGAGAATGTTTTCATTCAACGGAAACGTCTTGAAAGCGGCGTCGAAAATGTGTGACGTCACACAAATATCCGATATTCTTATGAACGTGAATTCCGATATTCGAATGACGAGATATTCGAATACATTCGAATACTTTATTCGAATTGGCCATCCCTGGTGGCAGTGGTGTTTTTCTCAAATCTCATATTTTTGCATTAGTGCTGGGGGCTTTATACAAAAGATTCAAATCATGTCAGAAAGTGTTAAGACTCTTCGCTGTTTAAGGATTGTCACCACCGATATGTTACTGCTTTCTCTTCATCAAGTCCATACATCTGGGAAACAAATAACTGGCTTACCATTTCATTACTTGAAATGGACTGGTAAACGACTTGTCACATGTTTGAGCTCATTCATCAACTTTCCTCCCTCCCAAAATATCCGGGGCTCCAGAAGTATATGTATATGTACCAATATGGAGGTAACTAATTTTGTTTGCCTACTTTACATCAAGTTGTGTAAAGGGACGGAAACCTATGGGCAGGAGGTATATTCACTTGGCTAACACAGGCAGTTGGCCAGCCGAACTCATAATAGAACTAAAATAAGGAAAATCGGAATAAACCTGTTACACACACACACACACTACATGAGTACAAAATATCCTTTCCACGGAATCGGACAATTTTATAAGCAACATGATATCATAACTTATATTTCAGAGTCTTGACTACGACCAATGCTTCAATGAACCTTACAGAAATCAAATAAAGAAAGAAATTCAGGTAAACAAACATTTGTGTCTCGTGGATAAAAAAAGTTATTGTTTTTCTTTTCATGAGAGATGGCCGAACAAAATCTCCATCTTCAATCTAATCTACTCTTAAGTATTTTCTGAAGTAGTATCTCCAGCGTTAATTACAGAGTCTAAATCAGGGTTGTGCAGTAGGCGACATGCCAAGCCTTTCAGTGTGGCCCTTGACAATGACAACACTCAGATTTCACCCCATTAGGGCATAAAATTTGAATCACACAGTTTATGTCGTTGCATTAAAATCTTTCGCTGTTTTCTCGGTGTCTTTATCACTGCGAGGCTAAGCGATAGCAGCATTCTCTTCTTTTGCCTATCCCGCATGGACAAACCAAATTCGATGCGCGGCACGGCTAGATGTCCGAAGTAGGTTATACGGCCCACCGACAGAAAATGTTGCATTTTTGACTCACATTTCCTTCTAGTCATATCTAAGGATTAAAAAAAATGTAACAATATTACTGAATTTACGAGTCATTAGCACACTCAAAATCAGACTGTCTGACTCTTGCAAATTGTATTTTCCATTTCAACTAGACCAGATAAAGGTAATTAGAACATCAATCATTTCTGAATATTGATGTAGCAATTTTTCATACATCATGTTTTAAGACTCATGGCAAATGGACTGGAAGTAAAAAAGAATTGTTGAGTTGGATTGTTATTTTTTTCATCGGAGTTCTTACTGCAGTGGTGAGATTTCTTGTCAAATTTTTGCTCTCTGATATATTTCAAGTCTCAGTACGGATGTTTATTGTTCACATTCGAATAGATTGCTGGCTTTATTGCACTTCAGATAGAAAGAATATTGATGAAGTCCCTATTCATTGATTATTTTTTGTCAGTTTTAAAACAACTTATATTCTTTACAATGTTGATTCGACATTTTTCAAGCTCTATGTTCATATTTGTTCATTTTTACATAGTCACATATTCAGGATTTTTTATCTAGTATTCGGATTTGTTTCGAATATTCTGAATTTATCAGTGAAGCTATCAAGTCATGATTTATAAATGAAATTTAATGTACCGGTAAGTCTTTTTCCCACAACAAAAAGCACTAAATTTACTGGTTAAAAACAGATCTGGTATCTTCTAGTCATTGTAAATGCATTTGTAAATCTTCTGTATATTTCGATAATCGATTTTATATATTTATTGCACCCTGATTAAGGTGATAGGCATGGATGTTGACCCCAAATATTTGTGAGACCCGCGGCATATTTTTGGGGCTTGTGGGTTGGAAACCCTTCTCCCGTTTGTAATGTAAAAATAAAAGCATTTTTCTATGTCATGCATAGCAATTTTTCATAGCCTGCAATCAATGTTCCCTCTAATTTTTTGTAGTATGTGTGCGCATAAATTTTGGTGTGTGCGTACTTTTTTGGAAATGACTAATATTTGTGCAAAAACCAATGAAGAAATTTTGGCGTTCTAACCGGGCAATAGGTGGGCCAACAACAAACTTTCTCAACCTGCCAACCGAGCACATTGTTACATTACATCGAAATACGTCTGTGCGCAGTAAATCTATGCGTGTGCGCCAGTGACGCAACCAGCGGGGGGGTTACGGGGGTCGTGTCCCCCCCGTTTGAATTTTTTTTATTTTTTATTATTGTTCTATGTTAAAACAACGTCGTTCTACGGTCATAACAATCCGGTGAAAACTACTTTTTTCCAGTGCTTTATCACCTCGACGTAATTTAACACCGCCCGACTTCAATCATAACTTTTTGCTGATAGTTACGTAATAATCGCTAACCCCGCGTATATGTTTGTATTCGAAAATGAGATATGTTATCTCAAAAAAGTAGAAATCGCGCGCTGTCGATGCGAATTGAAAGCGACAATAGCATAATGCTATCTCTCTCTCTCTTGTGACGAATTACTCTCGTGCTTCATCATCTTGACGCAATGTAACGCCGCCCGTCTTCATGTTATAATAATGCAGTAGAAACTATGAAAATCTGGATACGAAAATTATTTTCGGAAAAATATTGCTTCGAATAACCTAAGATTTTCTACATATGAAAGGCCGAAAACCGAAAACGCCGTAAACATCCTACCGCCCCCGTCCACGTTCTGATTTAAAAACATTCCACAATTATTTCATTTTTTATCGCAATCGAAAGCAGCCATGTGTTGCACGGCAATAACTAACAGTCGTCGTGAAAGGTTTTCAATAAACTCTGACTTGAAATGCTTATAAGACGTCGGGGACGTTTTTGGTTGAAAATTTTTTACATTTGTTATCGTATATTTCAATTTAGTCAAATTTTTTAATTTCTTGCAATCTATAAAATAGCTTCTAAATATTATTTGGTTTCTATCGGAGATTTTATCGTTATCCCGAGTCCTGACGTCGTTGATAACAATATCGTTCATTTTAAGTTGGAGGTATTGGTTTATAATCAAAAAATTATAACACATAACATGAAAAATTTAAATCAATGCTGACTCAAAAAGTAAAACACGTTTTTCCATCTTCATTCTCCATTATTGGCGGACGGAAATTTGGGAATCGGGTTTAACTAATTTGATTATGATGACGATGGTAAACAAAAGTACACAAACATACCATGCCGTTCTTAGTTTTTAGTCGTTATTTCTCTGTTCTGTCCTTTCTTCTTTCTATGTGCATATTAAGATTAAAAAACGTGTTTTATTATTGAATTCTGCGCTGATTTGAATATTTCATGTCGGCTGTTATGTATTTTTGTTTGTAAATGAATACCGCTAACTTTAACTGAACTGATGTTGTTATCAATGCCGGATGCCGACGAAATCCGCGATAGATATTAAATACTATTTAAGAGCTATTTTATACGCGTTAAATTAGAAGAAATGAAAAAATTTCCTGTCATGTTCGGTCACTATCGAAACTGAGGATGAAAACAACTAATTAAGACACAATTTGTCGAGGACGCCTAAACCATCTCGACTAAGTTAAAATACCCGATAAGAAAATATTTTCAATCAAAAACGTCCTCGAAGTCTTATAAGTTCTTCAAGTCGGCGTTTATCGAAATTCTTTCATTTCAGCTGTAATATATTGCCGAACCACACATGGACGACGACGCCTAGGTTATGTGCGCCATATTTGGGATTATTGTAAACACGAAAAAACAGTATTTGAAGTTTGCGATATTTGAATTTAAATTCGATTTGGACATCCCTGCATTATGTCTTCCGGTGAGCTTCAGTTTAGTTTAGAATTTTTCCGGGGTTAGGGTCGGGAAAAGGTCCATTCGCAAGAAGTGCATTTTGTTTTTAGTCTTGACGAATTCACCCAACGAGCAAGGCGCGGCACGAGGGAAACACTGGAATTTATTCAAGCCGTGTTTCACTATCCACGAGGCGCAAAGCGAGGAAAACGTTGAAAATAATTAACAGCTTTTCGTTAGCAATTCGCTGGAATGTAATGAACGGCGTTTTGCTACCCACGAGGTGCAAGACATAGCGAAGCGCCGTTAATGAACGAGTGCAAGGTAAGCGAAAGGCTGGGATTTAATCGATGGCGTTTCCCTTTTAACCATGAGCAATTTATCGTGGTCAGCGGGGCGACACCTAGTGGCGTTGCGACTTACTTCGTGGTTGCACTGTGTAAATTCCGGTCGGACCCCCCCGTTGAAAACGGCCTGGTTGCGCCACTGGTGTGCGCGGCCTCTGAAAGCTGTGTGCGGGCGCACACCTTAGGGGGAACACTGGTTGCAATGCTTTTTATAACCCTCAGCTCAAGATTATTGAAAAATCACAGTTTCCGGCTGCTAGCTCTAATCGTATAACTTGGCAATTAGAAAATTTCAGACCCCCTTCCTTTGAAAATTCCTGGCTTCGTCTATGTGTAAGACCAACATACCTGGGACGAGTGTCCCAACGATTAGGTCACGCCTATGTGAATAGTGTCAGGTCTTTAATAATAATACCACTATGTAATTTCATTTTTTGGTTGTTTATTTTTTCATTTACAAGACTTCAAGCTGAATATTCTGTTAATATATTTTTCATATTCGTTTCTCCAGGTTGCATTTTTCATTGATTATTTTGTTAAATTATTGAGTGAATGGAAACTGGACACAGTCAACAGCAGTAAGTGTTGCTTTTCTGATTATGTTTGTTGGGAAGTTTTTTAAGCGTCTCTTCTTGCACATTTGCTCCTATTGGGTCCACAAGGGATCTATCTAAGACAGGTGTTCTCAAACTTTTGGTGTTATGGAGCCCTTGAAGAGGTTGACTTTTATTTACGGAGTCCCACACCACAATAAATTCATGAAAATAAAAACCAAAATGACACTGAAGAATATTCCTGAGTAAATTAAAATTACCTGGAACTTAATGTCATGTCATATCCAAATTACAGCCTTGTTGCCACATTTTAACGTTACTGTTGGCAAATTTTATAAATGCGATTTTGCTTCTTTGGACATTTACAAGATTAACTACCAGTAGGTCAGTATTTTAATAGGTAAACTTGCTTGTTCACCTAGCTCCTAGGTTTCCCTCGTGGAGCCCTGGAACTCAGTATCGAGCACTTTTAGAACTTATGAAGAGGCTTATCTAGAAATCTTGTTATTCGAGCAAAATTTTCCCTGTATCTATACCCATTGTGACGGGCTATTCAAGGATTTACTACTCAATTATTTTTCACATAAGTGCGTTTTTTGCCTCAACTTTGTTCTGATTCAACTATGAATATGAATCATAGAATACCTAACTTCTTGAACAATATAAATATTCTTCAAAACTGTTATATATTTCCTTTTTTGGGCCATTCCAAGCAAAAGTTAAATTCCATCATTTTTTTTAAAAGTGTAGTGAAAGTAATTTTTTTGTATTTCTCATATCAAAAGACATTGGAATTTTTTTGGACTGCATTCATTTCACCGAAAAAGTTAAAATTTCACCCAGGTTTTTGATGGTTTATAAAAAATGGCCTGAGATGTAGAAATTTTGGTATAATTGAGATATTTTGTGATGATTCGTGACACAAAGTGTTTGATTGTGTGTTACAGTTATTTCATATGAAATAGACGCACTGGACTTAAGTTAATAAAGTTTAAATGTTTGCAGTGCTGTAGGACATTTCTTCACCCATTTAACGATTTATTACCAGAATTTTAAGAGATGATAGAGGCCGCTGTTCCTAAGTGGAAAAATGTCCTGTAGTGTCACGTCCTGTAGTGTCACATACAATATGCACACTATTGGCATGGATTTACAGTGTTACATTAAGTAACTTGAGCAACACATAGATGGGTCCTTCAGCTACTGCACCAGAAAATATTATGGGCTCCTGCTGTATCATCGCAAAAATTTACAGCACAACACAACGTACTGTTAATGCATGGTGGATTTGCCGTCCTGTAGTGTCACACTATATTTTACTTTATTTTTTATATCTACTAAGTAAGTCTTGGGTGTAACTTGTGTTCCATTTTTTCCATATTCAATAAAGCAACTGATTGGACAATGAAACAAAACATGTAGCTGAAAATGTAAAAATATATTTCATCTGACAAAATGCAAAATTTCTGGAATTGTCCTGTAGTGTCACTTGGAATAGCCCTTTCGCATTCTGTACTGAATCATGCTAATGGCTTCCTATTCTTCATTATGGACATTTTTATTTTCAGGACTTCATACATGTGAAGGTACCGGTTGTGTTGCCATATGTCTTTGTTTATTGCTTGCTTTCAACATATCATTTGTGATTATTGCCGCATCTTTTGTTGTTTTTGGAGAGGTAAGAATTGATATTTCTGGCAACAGTTATCTTTTAGACTCCCTATATAATTCCATTAATCCAAATTTCACAAACTGAAATTTTATCAAATTGATTTCCCTGAAAATTATTGTGCTTGGCACAAGACATAAAATGATTAAATCTTTTAAATTTAATGGTGAGAAACCATTATAACTAGCTAATTCAGACATTGATGATTTCCTCTGAATAAATTGTTTCCCAAACACTGTTGCCATACTTCTATTACTAATTATGCGGATATTTCATAAAATTATCTTTCTTATCAGCCTTTAGCTGCAGGATCTGGCATCCCAGAAATCAAATGTTATTTAAACGGAGTAAAAGTTCGGAATGTTGTGAGATTCCGAACTTTGGTTTCAAAAGCTATCGGAGTTTTATTCAGTGTTTCTGGAGGTAAGTGCTGACTAGACAGGAAGGGTTTCAGACTTTCAGCCATACTAAAATAGTACATCCTGAGGTATTAGTGGCTGCTCATACGAAGCCTTGTTTAGAGTAGATAGATAGAAGTTTATTCATCATCCAGTCATAAGCCAACAAATCAAACACAAACAGCAACATTCAATAAGTAAAAGAAGAATAAATCAACTAACAACGGGATTGATAGGAGGTTGGAAGGACCATATGCGTCACTAAATCGAAACAACTCTCCTGGCATAAAAAAGGTTGACAGATTACATTTTTCCTGTTTTTTCCCAGAATTTTCCTGTTTTCCTCATTACCTATGATAAAAAAAAAGTTGATTGAAAATTAGAGTCAGTGGGGTGATGGTTGAGAGTCGGAAGCCTCCTTTTGAAGTGTAAAAAAAAGCATTTTTCTGTATCATAGCAATTTTTTATAGCTTGAAACGCGTTTTAGTCCCTCGAAACCTACGCTTTTCGACCTCCGGCCAGAACCCTCTAGCTCAGGGTTTCGTATTATTCAGGACGACCCCAAAGACAACTTTCAAGTGTCTAGTGCGACCCCAGGTCAATATATATATTTTTCATGGAACTTTAGTGAAGCTTCTTTCACTGGACTTTTGAGTTTGGTCATGTGGTGGTATTAAGTAAAATAATCTAAAACCAAACAGTGATGTCACGATGAACACCTATATTTTCTATAGCTTAAGCATAGAGGGATGCCTATGGGCCTGTTTTACAGTAAGCCATGGTACAAACTGCTAAATTTAACATGGCTTTCAAATCTTAGATGTTTTGTACATCCATCCTCTACAATACCTCAGCGACCCCATGACCTGTTTGCGACCCTACCTATTTATCATCCTGACCCAATTTGGGGTCGCGACCCCTGGTTTTGGAACCCCTGCTCTAGCTGTTACAGTCTAACTTGGCAATTAAAAATTACAGAACCCCCCTCTTTTGAAAATTCTCGGCTACGGCTTTTCCTTCACGTTTCAGCAAGTAGCGGAAAATGTAGGGCAGGGGTTCTCAACGTTTTCTCTGTTAAGTACCCCCCGAGTCACGAAACAATCAACGCGAACCCCCAGTAATCAGACACCAAACAAAATTGTGATATATTGACTAACAATTTGCTGTAACGACTGCCACTCACAACAACGCAAGATCAGGGAAAATGTTCGCTGAGTTTCAAATGGCACTTATTTTCCTCTTGTAGTTACTTTCTTTGTTGAAGGATATTAAAAAAAGCAACACACGAAAACTTGACTGTCATCCTAGTACCCCTGGAGATCTTCTCGGGGGTTCGCGAACCCCAGGTTGAGAACCCCTGATGTAGGGGGGTATCTATGAATATTCATAATATTTCCAACTATTTTTCAGGTTTACTTGTCGGTAAAGAAGGTCCAATGATCCACAGTGGAGGTGTAATAGGAGCAGGAGTTCCGCAGTTTCAAAGTCAAACATTTAAGAAACTTAAAGTTAATATTCCTTACTTCAGATCGGATAGGTTCGATTATTCGTTCGATACTTGGGGAGATTCATATTGAAATAGTGAAAATTATGTGAAATAAGATGCGATTTTCATAGTTAAGTAAAATAGTTGGGGCATATGACGATCCTTATCTCATCGCGCACTTGGTTACTAGTCCATGTCAGGTATGGCAATTCTCAAACATGTGTTTTCTACAGACTTATGGTGGAGATATGCATAACTTTCATTACTTTTGAGTGTGTTACTTTCTTGCATTGAGCAAATTCCCTCAAAATTTTTATTTGATGTTTTTATGACATAAATATAAAACCTAACCTAGGTCTTATCATCGCTCTATCCCTGATAAAAGGATGCTGATAAAAGAACTCTAAATCGTGGATAATAATTTCTTATATAAACTTTATTTTTCAGGGATAAACGAGACTTTGTATCAGCGGGAGCGGCAGCAGGGGTGGCAGCTGCATTTGGAGCTCCTATAGGTGGAGTTTTGTTCAGTTTGGAAGAAGGAAGTTCGTTCTGGAATCAGTCATTGACTTGGAAAACTGTAAGAACTTATCGCTTTGAAATTTTCTGAATAGCTATGAAATAGTGCTTTTGTGGTTACTCCCGTAGTGTGTGTACCAGGTCAGGGTTGGGTCATATTTTTATTCCAATTTTCCATATTTAAGGTATATTACGAGTTCAGGGACTGTCTGTGTTAGCCAAGTAAATAAACCCCCTGCCCATAGGCTTTCATCCCTTTACACAACTTGATGTAAAGTAGGCGAACAAAATTGGCACACACACTTCTGGAGCACCGAATAGCCAATCGTCGCATTTTTGAAAACTATAAATAGTCTTGTAAAATAAAAAGTCAGCAATACTAAAAGTATTTCTCTGATTTCTACCCTGAACAAAGATTAGTACTGCTTTCCCAGTTTATTAACTTGAGTAAAGTGGGATGTATGGGGTTTTGAGTCCAAAATTTGTTACTCCCGTCGTGTGTGTACCAGGTTAGGGTTCGGCTATAATTTTATTCAGATTTTTCTTCTTTTAGTTTTATTACGGTTACCCAAGTGAATATACCCCCTAGGCATAGGTTTTCGTCCCTCTACATTATTCGATGTAAAGTAAGCGAACAAAATTAGTTACCTTTCCCCTAATTCAGTGGTCGGCAACCTTTTTTCCGTGACAGACCGGTAAAGCCTGACCAAAATTTTTGCGGACCACCTTGTACAGACGGAATAAGCCTATGTAATAAAGTGTATGTGTTGGGATAAATAGGTTGATATTAAATTCAGAGAATAAAGGTGGTGTTATTCAAGTAATGTGTTTTCTTACGTTCAGCCTACTGCGATTTTGTAGTTGTCAATTATAAAAACTTCACAATTCACATAGATGTAAAAATGCCTGTAAAGCTTTTTTGCAATGCCGGGGTATTCAGTTAGTAGTATTGCCCAAAAGACTGCCGAAGTACCCTATAAATCGCAAAGACTCTTTTCAACTAAATATTGTTTGAGTTGTTAATCAACTAAACATGTTATCAGGACATTGTCCGTCTTTTGTGCCACGTTTCTGAGGACCGGTAGTAACCTTTCCGCGGCCCGGTGGTTGCCGACCACTGCCCTAATTAATTGGAACTTCAGTTAGCTAGTTATTTTTGAGGTGGGGCGCGAGACTTGACAAATTCTAAAAAGGGGGCGCGGCTTGAAAAGTTTAAGAACCACTGCACTGGGCCATTGCTCCCATGAATCGCCAAACTCTCTAACTTCTGATTTTTCCTCAGTTATTCTGCACAATGGCGTCTACTTTTACATTAAACTTTTTGTTGTCTGGAGTAATGGATGGAGCTTGGGGAACTTTTGATCAGAACGGTCTGCTGACTTTTGGAAAATTTGAGGTACATATAACATTTTACTGTGATGTAGTCCTTTTCACTAACTGTTTTTATGAATCGGTTCCACTCTGAACAAGGCTCTGTAAAAGCGGTCCTGGTGGATAATAATTTACCATTTTTTTTAAAGAATTGGAATCTTTCTGGTCTTATAAATTATAATTACATTAGGGTTGAGGTCGGGGTATTGGGTCTGATATCTCTAACCTGTGATGTGAATATATTTACCGTGTCTCAAAATCCCTCAGTCTCATCCTCATTATCACTGTCAATCGACGACTGTTACTGCTGCCAATAACAATTATTCCTGGCATATCACATTTTTCTCTTCGTTTCGTATTTCTTTATGTCTTTGCCATTCATTGGTTGGGAAAGACATAATGTTCAGTTTTTGAATTTTATTCCCGTTTATTTCAGTGTGATTCTGGCGACTGTCATTTATGGACAATTGGTGATCTATTAATATTTATTGCAATGGGGTTTGTTGGTGGATTACTTGGAGCTTTGTTCAACGCTATTAATACTAAAATTACAATCTTCAGACTCAAGTATTTAGCAAGGAAAGGAAAGCTGATGAAGTGAGTAGTTTTAGGGCTATTCCAAGTGACACTACGGGACAATTCCAGAAATTTTGCATGTTGTTAGATTCAATATATTTTCACATTTTCAGCTACATGTTTTGTTTCATTATCCAATCAGTTGCTTTATTGAATATGTAAAAAATTGCACAAAAGTTACACCCAAGACTTACTTAGTAGATAAAAAAAATATAGTAAAATATAGCGTGACACTACAGGACGGCAAATCCACCATGCACTAACAGTACGTTGTGTTGTGCTGTAAATTTTTGCGATGGTACAGTAGGAGCCCATAATATTTTCTGGCGCAGTAGCTGAACTACCCCTCTATGTGCTGCTCAAGTTACTTAATGTAACACTGTAAATCCATGCCAATAATGTGCATATTGTATGTGACACTACAGGACGTGACACTACAGGACATTTTTCCACTTCGGAATAGCGGCATCTATCATCTCTCAAAATTCTGGTAATAAATCGATAAATGGGTGAAGAAATGTTCTACAGCACTGCAAACATTTAAACTTTATTAATTTAAATCCAGTGCGTCAATTCCATATGAAATAACTGTACCACACAATCAAACACTTTGTGTCAGGAATCATCACAAAATATGTCAATTATACCAAAATTTCTACATTTCAGGCCATTTTTTAAAAACCATCAAAAACCTGGGTGAAATTTTAAATTGTTCGATGAAATGAATGCAGTCCAATAAAATTCCAATGTCTTTTGATATCAAAAATAAAAAAAAATTACTTTCACTACACTTTTTAAAAAATTGATGGAATTCAACTTTTGCTTGGAATGGCCCTTTAGAGAACACAGATAAACTATGAGTCGATGTTAAACTCAGTATAAACGTTTAATTATTATAAACCCATAAACATAACCAAAGTAACTCCCAGGTCACACCAACAGTAATGAGCCCTCAAGTACAGAGAGCATATGGCTAGCTACTCCAACAGCTGGTTGGTCATGATCAGGCATCTATGACTGATGACATCACAGGTCATGCTCAGCCATCTGGAAAAATGCTAGTTGTCAGAAATACAATAAAGATATGGCTAACACACTTCATTTATACATATATACGAAGATGCGATTAAAAACAGTCAACACTGTATGGGAGTCTTTTGCTACTACTCACAACTTGGCAGTTTCAGTTGAGGCACTCGGGCTGTTGAAAAGTTCTATTGTACTCTACACTGCTACACTAAAATTCTTTATAGTCTTAGTAACTTTTGACAATTTCTTGGTCCCCATAATTTCGCTCAGAGATCAATCTACTATGTTCCTAGGTGAATGCGCACGATTTGACAAATTTCCTCCCTCCCGACTTTAGGCTGTAATGGAGTCTGACTTTTAAGTCCAGGACAAGCAAAGTTCTATTTTATATTCTGTTGCAAATTTTTGGTTAACTTAAGTAAATTGTTTAGAAATTTTGAGTTTGGCTTTCTGGCTAAGAGTAACCTAACCTATTCAACTAGCAATTGAAATAGAACCTGATATCTTAGTAAGCTTCAGTTCCTACTTGACCAGACTAAAACTCATTTCTCATGCTTAATAACATATATATTATATACATATATATAAATTAAAGTTTTTTGTTTAGAATTGTTGAAGTTATTGCAATTGGAACAGTGACAGCAATGTGTGCTTTCTTTGCTCCTATTGTGATTGGCACTTGCAAACAGGTTAGGCATCAACTTAATATATAAATGTGGAATATTCATCAAATCTTACAAGGATTTCTTAGTTTCCTTGATTCTCTGGGCTGTCATGTAACCAGGGACTACCAACTGCAATAATGTGTTCAATCTGCCAAAAGCATGTCAAATGTATCTATACCAGGGATCCTCAAACTTTTGTTGTTATGGAGCCCGTTAATAGGTTGGCTATTATTACGGAACCCCTACAATAAATTTATAATAATGAAAACAAAAAACACATTGTTACCTACCGATTAATTGTCCAGAGTAAATCAAAGTTACTTCATTTGATGACTTGGATGTACTTATCGTTGTTGAATGATATTAATGCCAAGGAAGTATTTTAATAAGTAAATGAATAGCTTACAGAGCCCCCCTATGAGAACCTATGATCTAAATATTTTTGGTGTTTCAGATATTTGGCAGATCGAAAGGATATTTATTAAACTAGAATAATTTTCTATCCCAAATACAAAGGACTGTTATTTAATTACTATATTCTAACGTACAAATTTACACAAATTATTTTGTTAGTGTTAATTTAAATTAGTTTGGATCACATTGATGTTTTCAAATAAAAATATTCCAAGTTATTCCTTAATTCAAGTTCTTATTATGTACCGAATTTCGAATCTAATTGAATATTTGAAAATAATTTGGACATCTTATGGCTTCCCCCATTTAAATGTTCGAAAATATTCTATTGTGTAACATTTTGAATTCATTTCAATTTTTTAAGGTTGCCAGTAATTCAACAATGGATCCTACATTAAGTGAAACTCAGCAATTTCTCTGCCCTAATGGAACATACAATGATATGGCAACACTGATGTACAACACTCAGGAAACAGCAATCAAGCAATTATTCCATAACTCTGGTATGTTTTGTTTATAATAGATTGATCGTATCGGAATGTCTAATTTTAGCTATGAAGGAAAGGGGTATTGGTTGTATTAAAACACCATTGTATGATAATTCGCTTCCGAAAATACAGTATTCATTATAAATCAGTGCTTCTCAACCAGTGCACTAGCGGGACGATAGCTATTCAAGTTGGGTCGCGAAGTATTTCCAAAAGTTACATACAGTTTTCGATTAGATCGTGAAATTGTCGCATTATCCTTATGTAACAATTATGAGACAGTGCAACAATTATAATTATACGTCTTTATCAGACTTGATCTGCTAATATGCCAGATCAAGTTTCGCATTAATAGTAAATTGCATGTGGATGCATTGTTTCTTATTTCATATATTAGCATCTCCTTGTGGGTGGCAATAAAATTAATAGTAAAATTAATAGTAAATTGCAAGTGGATGCATTGTTTCTTATTTCATATATTAGCATCTCCTTGTGGGTGGCAATAAAATTCGCTCGCGAAAAGGAAAAAAAAGGTTGAGGAGCACTGTTATATAGAGGGTCGTCAGCCCATTTTGAATCCTAATGTAGGTTATCCTAGGAAATATAAGTGCATTTATAGAAGATTTCTGGGGTCTCCTATTTGAGAACAATAGTTGGATTTCTTATCCCCAAAAATCTTGATGATGAGCCAATTTTTGTTAAGTTGTAATTTTGATAAATTCATATTGAATAGAGGGATATGTTTTGATATTGTTAAAATTCTGAAACTAATCTTTTTCAGGTGCCTTCACACTACAAGCTCTTGCAGTGTTCTTTGTTTTATTTTTCTTTCTCTCTTGTTGGACTTACGGCGCATCAGTTCCTAGTGGTCTGTTTGTACCTTGTATATTATGTGGAGCTGCCTATGGAAGATTTTGTGCTGAACTTTTCTATAAGTAAGTTCAATATATTTATATACAGGTTTTCCATAAAGTTCCTTTACAATTTCAATTTTGTTATGAAGTCAGTTCTCTATCTTAACATTCTTAACCAGGTTTGTTGTTCACTCCATCAGTAATTGTTTAAGCATTTTTACTTCATTTATTACATCTGTGTATGTCAAAATAAAATATGGTATCGATAACTTCCTTCTGTAATTTTGAAAAATTTCAAGACTTATGGACACCTTGTTTATTAGGTCTATGCATAGGTAACAAATAACTAGCACCGTACTTGATAAATACACAGACATGGATTTTATATCCATCTCTTCATTGTACCAAATGCACTAAGCTAAATATCCCTCTTCAGAGGAGCCATTCAAATACAGTTTCAGACCATATATCCATCCCTATTCCTTACCTAATCAGCTGTGTATATAACAGCCCAATAGCCCTTTACAGAGGAAGCCAGTGAATTAGGGATTGAGAGACATTATTTCCATTCCTATAGAAAAGTCCAATAGTTCACAAGGATGTCATTCAAATACAGTTTGGGACCATGCATCCATTAATCGGCTGTGTATATTACAGCTTAAAAGCTTTCTTCTTGGGATGATAATTCTTTGTGAAAGATTGAAATGATTATTGGGGCCATCTATCTATATAGAGTTGGGCGAGGTTTATGAACCAGGGGCCAAAAATTTTGCCCACCTAGACTGCCGGGCCGTGTAAGTGTGACGTAAAAAGTTACATTTTATGAACAATATTTACAGTGTTACAAAAGCAAATGTAGAAAAAAATAAGCCTCGTGCCAAAACTAAATTTAATCGAAATCTCAACAAATTCCTTGCGTTAATCTTCAGGTAAAACATGAAAACTTGGTTTTAGTTTGGTTGTGGCAGCATGAGACAGCCAGATTTAATTACCCAACGGGTCCGATTTGGCCCAAGGGCCTTAGTTTGCCCATGTCAGGTCCATACATGTTTCTATATTGTGACTTCCCTTGACCAGTTTTCTTTTTTCCAGTGTGTTTGGAATGAATAACATTTATCTTGGGACATTTTCATTGGTTGGTGCAGCAGCTTTTCTTGGCGGAGTTGTTCGGATGACAATAAGTTTGACTGTTATATTGATTGAATGCACAAATGAAATCACCTATGCATTGCCCATTATGATTACGTTAATGGTAAGATATTGAGGGTCGAACAACTCAAAGAGCTTTTTTATGCGCCGTATATCTTCACATATTATAAGCCGAACCCCTAAGACTGTTAATTTATAAAAAAAATCGACACCCACTTTACGAATTGTAACACGCATTTATGTGCGTATAAGCCGCCTACCTCTTAGTTTGGCAACTTTGTTGAGTTTCATACTGGGATTTTATGTGAGGATATACGTTACATGAAGCTGACTGCAGTCAATTCTAGCCGAGAATTCATTCAATTCAAATAGCAAAATTTTAACCACTTTACCAAACTATGCATAGTGGTAAGGGTCAAGGTGTTATCTTCTTATTGTTCCTTTAACTCAATCAGATATTGAATTCTATCCTGTTAACATGTTCAAATAATTAATGGATTAAATATTTTATGTTTCGCTCATTGATGAGTCCTATTCTTTAAGCGAGCAGTCGTTGATTTCAGTTTGTCATTATCTACCTAAGTTTATTTCTTCTGGGTGGCATAGTTGGCATGGGGTTTGAATCCAAAATCTCCAACTTGCAAACAAATTAAATCGAATGCAAAGAAATTAAAACCCAGCACTTCAAACACTTGGCTACTACACATTGGCTGTTCTGCCAGCCATTCATCCATCTATTTCATATGCTTTCTTTTATCCAGGTTGCCAAATGGGCAGGTGATATTTTCAATCACGGAATCTACGATATTCATGTGTTTATAAAAGGAGTTCCGTTGCTGGAATGGGATCCACCACATGGCGCTACAGTGTAAGTATTCACTGCTTATTTGTGCAATGGCAGAGCAGGAATGTCTGCCATCATTCAGATGACTATATGCTCCCAACAGGAGGCCCTCAGCAAGGTTTTGAAATTCGGGGTGATTTTACTTGAACAAAACAAAATAAATGCTGCTGTTTTTATGCTCTGATAGTCTTACGTATACAATTACTATTGAGCAACACTTCAATGCCAAATATAAAATAAACAATAAAATTTACTAGAAAGAAAATAAGTAACTGAAGATTTCATTGAAAAACAAGCGACCCAAGAAAATTTTCATGCGACAGTTTTGGGTCGCGACCCATAGGGAAACGCTGCTCTACCTCATAATTTTTATTAAAATTTATTTGAGTATCAGGTCAGGGTCTTGTTTTGCAACCATGCTATTCTATAAAAACTGTATTTCGAGAATTCTGATAATTGAAATTAATGTTTTATACCTTCAAATAACAAAGTTCAAAGGAATCAAACGTTCAAATGCATATAGAATTAGTTCAACATTGTAATTCATATCTGTGAATTCAAAATCACTCGATTTATAATATACTACAATATTCCAAGTTTCAAAAATGGTTTGGGTAAATGCAGAATAATCTTTAGGCCATAATTTTATCCATATATCCTTATTTTCCTTATTTTAATTCTATTACGAGTTCGGGGACTGTCTGTGTTAGCCAAGTAAATATATACCCTGTTGATAGGTTTCAGTCCCTTTACACAATTTGATGTAAAGTAGGCAAACAAAATTAATTACCTCCATATTTTTACTTAACTTCTGGAGCGCCAAGAATTTGCAATTAATATAAATTTTTAAAATTTGAAAAATATTTTCATTAACTTCACAGACTTCAAGCCAGCGATATTATGCAAACAAGGTTGAAATACATTTATCCTCACACAAGGATACGTTCCCTCGTTAATTTGTTACGCACGACTGCACACAATGCATTTCCTGTTATTACTATAAAGACCAAATCAAACGGGGAGGAAGAGCACTCGAAAAAAACTGAATTGAAGGAAAGAAAGCGACACGGTAGCCATGATATATTGTCTGCTAATATTGAATACCAGGTGAGCCTAATACTATTTTAGAATAAACATTTTTTATTGCTTATTCATGCCTTCAGGACATTAAAGTCAGATATCAAAACAGTGTTCCCATGAAGTAAAATAAAACAGCTCTCCAGAAGTATGTGTACCAATATCTAACCTAATTTACCTAATTTATTTTGTTCCCTTTGCTCTCCAGAAGTATGTGTACCAATATCTAACCTAATTTACCTAATTTATTTTGTTCGCCTACTTTACATCAAGTTGTGTAGAGAGACAGAAGCCTATGGAGGGTATATTCACTTGGCTAACACAGATAGTATCTGAACTCGTGATAGAATTAAAATAAGAAAAATCGGAATAAAATTATGGCCTAATCCTAACCCTAACCTGGTACACACACTATGGGAGGAGCAATCAAACAGCAGAATTTTGAGTGAAATAAATATGCCCCCTAGTCGCAGAAAAAATTTGAAAAAAATTAAAGCCTTCTGGCTCTTCCATGTTCAAGAACTAAAAATTTGAAATTGATTAACCACAATTTTGCAAAACGATTAATATATCAACTTTGGCGTTCTATTCAAAGATGCGTTTGCCGGGGGTTTAATTGTTTTTCGGCCGAATCCAGATTTTTATGATTTAAATTAGCGTCTGGGAAGAATACAGGAAACAGTGAAATGTTCGGAATTTCTGGTAGCCTGAAATGAATGATGTCTTGATAATGTCCAGCAGCCATCAATCAAGAATGGCTACTTCACCCTCACAGCTGGTTGGTAATGATCAGTCATTTGTAGCTGATGACATCACAGGTCATGCTCAGCCATCTGGGAAGATACTAGTTGCCAGAAATACAATAAAGAATCAGCGAACACACTTCATGTACAATAATTTGTTTTTCAGTTGAGCAGCCATCAATCAAGAATGTCAATTGATAGGAAACGAGCCTTCACTGTTGGATCTGCCAATACTGAGCTTGTTCAAGTCACATCTCCACTGTCTCTTCATGACGGACTTTTGAACAGAGACACATCAGAAAGGTTTGTAAAACCAGCGACACAGCCAGTGGGGGTCGAAGGTCGGAACCCTCTTTTTGTAGTTGCTTATAGCAAGGGGACTCACTCGGAAAGAGCGAGATTAATCTCTGAAAAAAATTATGGCTGGACACTGAAATGCCAAGACTACCGAAACCACATACCGGTAATAAATAATTATCATGGTGCATCGAATATTAGGAAATGACAATCAACATGAGACTCAAAGCAATTCAAGTTCATACTATAAGGAAAATGACAATTATGTTATTTTTTATTTACTTACATTGTTTCCAGTGTCCTCTTTGACGATGTAGCTTCTGACATGAGCAGCATCAACTTACAAGACAACTTGAACCCCCTGATATTTCATGGAATTATTCTTAGGTCGACACTCATTGCTTTGATTAAACAAGGAGCAGGTTATGATGAAAATAATGTGGTGAGTGATGTATACGGCAATTTTCTTTTGTATTTATCATTTGAAAGGGGATTCATTAGGAAGGCTGAAACTGATTAATATACTGATCCAGGAGTGTGCAAACTGCGGCCTGCGGCCAAATGCGGCCTGCAAGAAAAATTTATACGGCCCGCGATGAAATAACAATTTTGAGTGGTGTGCCCGGGCCCGCGTAACGAGTATTTAGTTTAGGTAATCTGCAAGCAATTTTTATCCTTCTGCGCCACAAAGCCTATACCAGTACCTGAGTGCCACTGTCATATTAGCAAAACTGGCTAGCATAGTTCTTTCCCAAAAACAACGATATATAATACAAATACGTGTTTCTCACTAACTTGGATTAAAGTCTGTGTGGCGATGAAATCATAAATAGCCGTTCTCTCAGAAGTTTGCGTTCAACCCCCAATTTCTGCAAGAAGCTATGAAAATACCGTGAGATAACTAGCAAAAATAAACAATTTTTGTACCGGTAATTACAAGAAAGTCTATATTACATAAAGGTGCGGCCCGCGGCTTCACCCAGTTACTTGAATTTGGCCCGCCAGTAAAAAAGGTTGCACACCCCTGTACCAATCTAAATACATTCTGAAATACTGTAATGTGATTTCATAAAATATGGGATATCAGATATATTCTAAATTGGTTTCTGTTCATCAAAGTATACATTGGAGTCAATTTATGTCAATTGAAAATAGAAAATTGTAATAAAATTATTATTATTTTGAGTATTATCATCATGAAATTATTTATATTGTATTAAATAAAGTGTAAGTAAGTGTTCGATTTTCTGTTACAACTAAACAATGAAGCAATACATGACAAAACAAACAAATCAGAAAAGTGGGCAAAATCTAAATAGGATTTAAGACATGCTGATGTACGTGCCCACTTACGGTACTCCAAACAGCAAAAAACACATTGACGTAAATTTAAAACAAAAAGACACGAAAGATATTTTTGGCGTAAATACTTGGGTGAGGATATGGAGTTTTACCATGGAGTGTAATTCCTATTATATCTGTACAAGGAAATAACAAGAATTGTAGACTACAACAAACAAACAAGTGGTACGCAATATAAATAAATCGTCTCGATATATGATTTGGTTTTTATAGGGTTTTCATATTTATCCTGGAGAGAAAATAGATGATAAGATTGGTCACCATTCCGTGTCAAACATGGGAATAGTTAGTCGGATCTTTTTCGTTTCAAATGCATAGACTATGTAAGAATATTCCTGTTTTCAATATTCAGTCATTTACACTGCTCTGCATACAGAAATGGTGAATGCATTGATAAAAGCAAATCCGCCCCATAAACAAAATACTTTCATTAGTTAGTGTAAGTTTTCAATTTTGGGGGGGGGGTTAGGGTGAAAAGTGACGAATAATTTTTTTTAAATATTGTTTCTTTCCAGATATCGAAACAAGCTGCAATTGACTATAAAACACTCCAGGAAGATTATCCGAGGTTTCCAGACATTCACGATTTGAATATGGATGAACTAGACCTGCAACAAGTTCTGGTAAGAGAGGATTTTATATTTGTGTGGATGGTCCGAGATGATGAGAGCTATGAAAACTGTAGTAGGATATTAAATTATTACTTATCGATTTTAATCGGTAAGTATGTTGATAGGTATTTGTCTGTATGTCTGTTTGTCTGTTAGATGCACGCGATATCTCACGAAAGCGAGATTGAATCTGCTCCAGATTTTGCATGTGCATTCATCTTATCTCGGACCAGAAGCGTATTGATTTTGGGCGAATTATGTCGTATAATTAGCGAGTTATCAATCAATTATTGATATAGTGATCTAGATTTTTGTAAAGCGAGAGAATTTTGAGACCCGCCGAGTGTGTGTGTGCGATGTGCAGTGCGCAAGTTACAAGAGCGGATGAATCGAAACTGCAGTTTCTGTTTTGGGGGATCCCCTAACTATCGATCGATAAGTCTTCGGTTTCCAACCGATATTCTCGTTTCGGTTGATAGTTGCTACATCACTCTGGACCAGACAATATGGGCAAAGTACGGCCCGTGGGCCAAATCCGGGTTATTCAATCTGGCCCACCTCATGCGGCCACAATCAAACCAAAACCAAATTTTTATGTTTTAGCTAAAAATAGCCCAAGAATTTTGGCTGAGATTGCGATTAAATTTAGTTTAGGCACGAGGCCTATTGTTTTTCACCTTTGCTTATGTAACTCTGTAAATATTGTTCATAAAATGTAACTTTTTATGTCACACTTACGTGGCCCGCCAGACTAGGTGGGCAAAATTTTTGGCCCCTGGTTCAAAAACCTTGCCCACCCGTGCTCTAGACCAACGAGGCCAACAGGGGGCCACAATGCTATGCGCAAAACTGATTTTACTTTTCAATTTAAAAAAAAATCCCCTGTTCTCCCTGTCCTAGTTTTTTTTCCTATTAAGGCTTTTTCACAGAGTGTCTTTCCTTTGTTGCGAATAAATTGTTTGAACAATAATATGATTTGGAATCTGCCAATCAAAATAACACTATAAATACCACTGGAATGATAAACAGGGGGGACATGAGTGCTAAAAGCCTTCGGATGGTTAGGAACCACTGCCCTGGACATTAGAAACATGCTTACCATCACACTTCGTGATGATTACAGTAAATTGTAAAGTAAATTTATTGTGATTAGTTCAATTCTTCGACCATAGTGCATATATTCTCTTGCTTTTGTTTGCTGACATATTCTTATTAGATGAGTTGCATAAGATAGCGGATGGAAGCTTGTTAAAAGCAAAACTAGGTAATTTCATAGAAGAACACGGAGCTCAAATGTTGAAAGTCTTTATAAAGCGGCAACAGAACATACGAATTTGAAAACCAGTGGTCTAGATCTCGCCTTCTTCTTTGCAACTTTGTTGTATTCTATTCAATTCTATTCGTTTCGCCTGACCGAGGCTTTGTAAAATGCTTGTCTGAAGAAACGTTACAGAAATACATTCGTGTTAGTGTGCAGCAAGACTCTTGGATTAAATAGAATAGTCATTTTCACTCTTGCTACAGCATCCTTGCGTTATACGCATACCGATCCACTATTGCAAATGCATATGGAGCAAGGAAAAATAATTAGTTCTACGTAACTCCAACTGTTAGCTTTGTTGTATTAATATTCCTTTTTCTTTCCAGGATGTGACGCAATACATGAACACCAGTCCATATGTTGTTTATCCAACCACCCAGTTATCTCAAGTCTTCAACTTATTCAGAACTATGGGATTGAGACATCTGCCTGTCATTAACAGCGGGGGAGAGGTAGGCTTTCATGTCATATTAGGATAACTTTTATCGAGGATTAAGGGGGGGGGGTTGTAACTGTGAACAAATTTGGAATACAGGAATGATTTTATTGACTTATTCTTATTATTAAGTTTTAAGTTGTCATACTTTGATGGCTTTCAGCTCTTATCTGTTTATTGTCGGTGGGCCTCCAGAAAATTTTTTTTTATGCCAAAAGCATAAAAGCACCAATATAAACTTGACCTATGGCAGTTCCTGGAGATAATGGCTCTGTGAGATCTCACACAGCGTAAATGTAACGTAAACTCAAACAGTGAAGAATCATGTTATCACAGTATTAACCAAAAATTCACGATCTTCGGAAATATAGCAAGCTATATCTCTTCGATTTCTCATCTTAACGATACTGGTAAGAGAGAGATCGCTGGCGTTATGAGTTTGTTTTAGTCGGCACAGATGCCATTTCGGACGATTGTGCTATACTTTGGCAAGCTCTATGACATGATTGTGACGTGGTTTTTAGACGACATAGTCAGGTGAGGTTTAGAAATATTATATGCAAAAATCATTATGCTACACCCACTAGAAGTACTTGGGCGCGTACTTCGGGAGACTCATTTTTTACTAAGGAAATTTACTCAAAGCAAGGTTATTCACACAGTCACACTCATTCAGAAAGGTTAGACTGAATTAGCGAAATCGAATCCCTGATGTTCCCAGTATTTGGGTCAAATTTAATTTTTGCTTTGTAACTTCCTTCACTCAGGTTGTTGGGGTGATCACTCGTCACGATCTGTCCCACGATTATATAGAAGAACTTATGGAATCGAGGAAAAGAAGCCCATCTATGATGTCATCAAGTGTTATTACATCATCATCAGAAAGTGGTTCGAATTCTCAGCCAACTCCAATCAATATATGATGTCATAACTTACTATAATGTTAAATCATTGTTTCTCTACCTGTATTGATAAATACCTCCCATTATCGATTCAAAAAACTCTTGAAAATTTTCAAACAATTCTCAGTTCTAGCTCACCCCAATTAATATACAATGTTATTATACTACTAAATCAGCGTTTCCCAACCTTGATTGATATATTCTTCATTACACCATTTCAGTCAGTAGTTAATTCTTCCACATACCGAAAATATGAAAGTGCACGAACAGTGAGGTAAAAAAAAGTATTTCAGCATAAAAGAAGACACGATAAACCAGTAATGAGGGTGCCGGTGGACTCTGCACCTCTACCACACACAACCCTGGAACGATGCTCGATAATCTTACAGTATCCTCGACCATCCAACAATCAATGGCGTTAAAAGTTATATTCAGGTTGCCTTTGTTAACTGTATTTGTATTGTATTTCTGGCAACTAGCATTTTCCCAGATGGCTGTGACCTGTGATGTCATCAGTCCTAGATGAAGGTTGAGTAGCCATGTGCTCTCGCCTCTCTGTACTTGAGGGTTCACCCCTGTTGTGAAGGCTTCCTCTTGAAGTGTGTTAGGAATTACTATGTTTTGGTTATGTTTATGGGAATTTACTACGATAAATATACGTTTTCACGGGGCTCCCGAAGTATGCGAACCAAGATGGCGGACATCGGAATGTAATATGTGTACTAGGTTAGGGTTAGGCCATAATTTTAGGTATAAATACTACGGGAGGCTCTTGGCTAGTCTTCGAACTGATAATAGGACTAAAATAAGGAAAATTGGAAAAAAATTATCGCCTAACCCTAACCTGTTACCCATGTTACGTTCCGATGTCTGCCATCTTGGTTCACATACTTTGGGAGCACCGTTTTCACTCGGTTAACAGCCTTGACATACTTTGTCGCCAACTTCTATCACTAATTTTCGTTTTTTTGCTATTATCTATTACTGTTAGGCTTATTCAAGGGTGTCTCTGCTCGATAACAAGTATTGGTTTTTACGTCATAACTCTCTATATATGAATGTAATGCTTGATGGTAAAATTCGATTCATTTCCCTTCTTTGACGATTTATAAGCCTTGTTCTCCCCGTTTGGAAACTTTTGAATATCTCTTAGGTATTTTGTCAAGTCACTATGCATTAATAACATTCTTTGTCGTTCAATCTTTAATGGATCATTAGCTTAAATCCCTCTCTCACTTTTGAGTAGTTTGTAATGTTTGCGTGAATATGTATTGATACCAAATAAGTCTCAGATAATGGTAATACTGAATGTAAATTTGGAGTAAAATTTTCTCCGCTACAACAAAATTCATTCTAGGTTGGGAAACGCTGGGCTAAATACTTGGCGCTCCAGAAGTATGTTTACCAATATGGAGGTAACTAATTTTGTTCGATTATTTTACAACAAGTTGTGTAACGGGATTGAAACATATGGGTATATTCTCTTGGCTGACACAGACAGTCTACAAACTCGTAATAAAACTAAGATATGGTAAATTGGATTAAAATTATGGCCTGACCTTAACCTGGTACACGTACTAATGGAGCACCAAATACTTATCCTATCACAATCATTCATAGGAAAATACTGTGTTCGCCATTATCTTGATTCTCTACTTATTCACCTATTTAGAATTTATATTTTATTACTCTTTATTTATGAGTTAATCTTTATAACTTTTTTCGGACCTCCAGAAGTATGCGCACCAAGATGGTGCACAACCTGAACATAGTATGCGTGTACCGGTTAGGATTCAGGTTGTGCGACATCTCGGTGCGCATACTTCTGGAGCAACCTTTTTTCACTTTAAATATTAACAAGACTTCTGAGTTATCCTGCACCCACTGAGTGTAAGAATACACTAACTCTAGGGTCCACAACCTTTTTCTTGCCCTGTGCCACTCAAGGCGTACCACCTGAAATTGACGATTGGACCGTAGAAAGCAACGGGAAGCAAAAAATGCCAGGCCAGCAAAAGGAAAGCTTGTACTCAGCTGACCGCATTTGAGATTTACCTGTTTGATTGATTGACTTCGAACTTGAGACTCAAATGCTTCGACTCTCGGCCCATGGTTTTGGGACTTTTACTAATTATTTATCTAGTGTTGAAGTACCGGTATATGCTCGTTTTACTGCCCGATCTTTATTAAGGGCCCGTTTGAATAGCCGCTTGTGTGAACAGAACATAAAAATAAATAAGGGCTGGTGCTTGAATACCCGCCCGATGTAAAAGCTGATTTTTCAGTAGTAGAGAACAATAAGAAATAAGAAGCGCTTTTGTCACAACGGATTACTGTCGTCAAATATTTGTCTTCGAAGACACCATAATTTTTGTGTATAATTCTACTTTAAAAATAACAAGCGCCCGTGCTTGAATAAGGGCACGATTAGTGAGTTTGGTTTAAAAAATATGGGCCCGGGCTACAAAACGAGCAAATACGGTAAACTAAATTGATTCTTTTTTCTAGCCTTTCATAAATGATGAGGATAGACATATTTATCCTGGGGAGAGAAAGGCTATTGTGAACCACAGCCTTTCTGGTTGCCAGTCCATGTCAAGTATGGGATTAGTTATTCGTCTTTATATACATTGATTGAGGGTAGAGGAAACTGTAATCGTCCAAGCAGTTGGGATTCGAACCTACACACAGGATAATTATAGGTGCAGTAGCATAGCGCGATGCGCCATACCACTGTTGATACAGTTTCAGCATAGTTATTTGCATCTAGCAAGTTCTTAGCACACTTTTTTCTAAATTATTTTGGTGTATTCGCTTGTGATCCTGCTTTAAATAATTCATTATGAACTATTATTTTGAATTTCTTGTTGTTACTTATTTTATACCGCTTTGTTGCCGTGTGTAATATTTTTCATAATTCTGTCAGTCTTTCTGTATCAGAAAGTGCCTTAATTTTGTGCCAATCAGTGCAATAATGTTTGCATATTATTCCTCCTATGCCTTTTAATATACTATTCTATCTGCTTGTGTATTCTGATGAACAATGTGTCTTTTGAAAGGATCACTGGGTAGACAGTAGTTAGGGGTGAAAGCTATTTCAACTGGCACATAAGTTTCAAATCTTATATAAGGTATTGGGGAGCTACGCCTGGTAAAAGTGATTGCCCAGATAACCTTGAAATTTCTCATTTTTCACCAATACGTCTTTTTTTCTATGTGGTAAATTTACCAAATGTTTTTTGCTATTCCAAATACTTCTCAACATTATTATCGGGTCCCAATTCAAGTCAATCTCATGACTAGTCAGTCTCTTTATTCAGATATAAGTAGCTGTTTTTTCTTATTCAAAGACATCTTTTTTCTGAGCATGTTTGCACAAGGCTTGATTATGAGACTTTGGGTGTTCCCGAAGTATGTGCACCAAGATAACGCACAACCTGATAACCTAACCTGGTACACATACTATGTTCAGGTTGTGCGCCATCTTGGTGCGAATAATTCTGGAGCGCCGAGCTTTCAGATGTTGAGCCGCTTCAAATTTTGATATTCAGATGTGAGATCAGATATGATTATCTGATATTCAAACCCATGTTGGGAGCTAGTTCCTCCATGTTAAGCCAAATATATAATCTTGTAATGGGACATTTCACCCTGCTATTAATTAGTGGTTTTTCATCACATTTTATCTAAAAGCAAATTCTAAATCAGCATCTTATACAGATGCCAAAACTAGGTTTTCAATTTAAGTATTCAAAGGTTATGTTTTCCCATTTGACAGATATCTGAATGATCATAAGATAAGGTTGATCAAAACTGACCAATTATCTTTGCGGTTGCGTATCGTGTGCAAGATTATAATGTGAGAATTATGCAGTTTATAATGGGGCAATTACGTGGTACGTGGGACACGACATTTTGGAGACACATTGGAGCTTAATCATATGTTTTTCGGAAGCATGTGATGGTGGAGGAAAACCATAAAAGGCCACGTGACCCACCCTACAGCAGTGAGGAGTCCAGCAATCCTCTCGCACATAACTAACCCTGCATCAGGGAAATACACTTATGTTAGGGTTAAACTAAAGACTGTGAAAGTTCGAGTGAGTTTCTCCAACAGTACAAACCAAGTCATCTGCTGATCACGCATAATAAAGAGTCTATAACAATGTTTGCGATCAGAATTATATTTCACAAATTTAAAAAAATTGCCTAAAAATCAAGAATTGTCGATTTAATAAAAGTAGGATTTAGGTGAAGTTCCTTTCGTGTGAAAGATAAATATAGCAATCTCCATGTTGACTCAGCTTGTTATACAGCGGTGACACAAAACGAGAGCCCAGGTCATTTGAAACATATTCAGAGTGAACATAACTTTTGTAAATTATTGAAATCTGTGGGTTCAAATCATACACAAACAGAAGTTCAAAGTTTCTTCTTTTTCGTAGTAGGCTTTTTGGGGGAGTCACCCTGTGAGTTGAAATTTTAGGTAAGAAGCCGGCATAGTATGCTAACTTCTGTTGCAATATTGAACATTTAAAAAGCCCCAACATTTATTTATCAGTCAAGGCTCGTATGACATGAGCATTTCAAATAAAAAAACACAATTAATCTCAAATCAATTTTGGATTTCAAATATAATATTTAAATTCATGCATTTGTATAAGTTAGCAAACATGTGATCCTTTTTTTCAAAGTGCAATAATTTCACACAATTTCAAACATTGCTAAATTGCTCATTATTCAAAAAGCATAGAAAGAAAATTCTTTGTTATTTATTACAAGTAAATTTAATTGTTTTGTTCAAACTATTTTTCTGAGGTATTTTCACTCCGAATAAGGTCCAGTACAAAAAGCCACAATACACAAGGAACTACTATTTCTAGAACTTAGTTGCAACTTTATCATTTTTCAAGATTTTGTACAATCGGAGTGAACCTAACGACACGAAAATTAAAAACCGTTTTTTAAAACAAACTTTTGAAGACAGATTGTAAGTTCATATAATTAATCTGTTTCTTATATGACGCTCATTCTCACATTCAACACTGAACAAGATCCGGGACAAGCAGTCACTCATTTCTAACTAATTTGCATATCTGTCTAAACCCTGGATGAGTTTTCTTGCGAGCATGAAATTTGAATCCAAAAACAATATTCAATTATTATTATTCACAGTTGAAGATATTTGTTTATTAAAATAGTCAAACATTGTCATCATTCGGACTATGAACCAGTCGGCTAATGATCAGCAGAACTAGAATTTAACGCTGAATTAGTACTGGCAAGTTTATGAACAGAATTATTCTTTGTTGAAATTTGTTGTAAGTTCAGGCAAACATGATTAATATAACCAGGGGTGTAGCCAGGACTTTTCAAGGGGGGGAGGACTCTGAAATTTCTAATTGCCAAGTTAAACCCTAAAAGTTAGCAGCCGAAGGTCGAAAAACCTGAGAGTATTGAGGGTTTAAAAAGCGTTCATGCTACAAAAACTTGTTATTTATAATACACAAAAACGCTTTTTTTACATTTCAAATGGGGGGAGGGGTCTGACCCCCAAAACCTCCCTGGCTACGCTTTAGAATAACCAAAAATTGTCCTGCAGACCATAGTTTGTGGCTGTTAGATTTAGAAGGGACTTGCAAAACAATTCTAGAAAATCACACTATTCAGACAAGAACATAAAGTCGACATCAAGACTCTTCGTCGTTTTCAATCTTCTGTCTTTTCTTTTTCCTTATTTCATTCATTGTTTCTTCTATTGAACGAACGTCTCTCTTATTTTCACTCGGAACTGTAAAATATATATAAAACAGTTATTTGTTTTTGAATGCCTGGACTTGAAGGTGGAGAAAGCCGTAATCGACCAGCAGTTATGTGAACCACCCTATGATGGCGAGGAGTCCAGCAATCCTCTCGCACATAATTCTCCTCGCATGCGATTCGGAACCTGCAAACCCACCCATATAAATATGAGTATTAATAAAGCATGATAGCAACTCCTGAAGTATGCGAAACACGATGGCAGACACTGGAATGTAGTATGTGTACTAGGTTAGGGTTAGGCCATAATTTTAGGTACAAATACTACAGGAGTAGTCTCGGGAGGAGTAGACTACTACTACATGGATAGCCCCAAAACTCGTGATAGAACTAAAATAAGGAATATTAGAATAAAATTTTGGCCTAATTCTAACCAAGTACACATACTATGTTCAGGTGTCCGCCATCTAGGTTTACATACTATGGGAGCACCAAAACAACTTCAAATACTTCTCACCTGTCCATATTCAGACTTAAAAGACCCAATAAACATTGAGAAAAGAGTGATTTCCCCCCCTCCCCCCATCAAAATTTCTGTGCTACGTTCCTACTCCCCATTTTGTGGCCAAAAATTCAGATTTTGGATATTTTGATGGATGCATATTTTTTCAATCCTAGCGTTTCATCCAAGTCAATTAATAATCAAGTAAACACTTCGAACAAAACACAGCACTTATCTTACCCATTCCAAATGCTTTATTAGCTTCGGTTTTTCTTGCGGCATCTTTAGCTGAAGTTGTGCCGATTATGTGACTGTATTTATCTCTGTAATTCGTTGACGGTTCTACGTTCGTTGTTTTAGATGTTTTGGCGACATCGAGTGGTTGTTCATGAACTTGTTCTGTCTGCTGTTTAAATACGAACAAATATATAAACAATAGTTATTCGACGATCTGGGGAAAGCAATAACTGATCAGCTGTAAAGTGAAAGAATTCAAATAATTCTTTTGCACATAATTAGGTACTCCCCTAGTCTGTGTACCTGGTTGAGGGTTAGGCCCTAATTTTATTCATATTTTCCTTTATTTTAGTTCTATTATGAGTTTGGTGACTGTCTGTGTTAGCCAAGTGTATATACTCCCTACCCATAGGTTTCAGTCTCTTTATCCAACTTGATGTGAAATAGGCGAACAAAATTAGTTACCTCCATATTGGTGCACACACTTCTGAAACGCCCATAATTATTCCTTGGGTGATTGGGACCCACACAGATATCAGTAGTAGTAGATGAGAATTGCATTCCTAACACTCAGAATGAAGCCTAACAGTCTTTTCACGAATATTATCTTTACAAGTGAAAGTGCCTGTTTTCAGGGTCCTAATTTTGGTACTCCCGTAGTATGTGCAACAAGATGGCGGACACCGGAACGGGGTATGTGTATCAGGTTGGGCCATAATTTCAGGTACAAATACTACGGCAGTCACTTGGCTAGTCCCTGAACATCTTAATAGAACTAAAATAAAGAAAAATGGAATAAAATTATGGCCTAACCTTAAACTGGTACACATACTATATGTTCAGGTGTCCGCCATCTTGTTGTAAATACTACGAGAGCGCCATAATTTTTATGAGACCTCCTTCTTAACAATGCCCAAGACAAGTGAGTGGCCACATGGGTGCTCCCGAAGTATGCGAACCAAGATGGCGGACATCGGAACGTAGCATGGGTAACAGGTTAGGGTTAGGCGATAATTTTTTTCCAATTTTCTTTATTTTAGTCCTATTATCAGTTCGAAGACTAGCCAAGAGCCTCCCGTAGTATTTATACCTAAAATTATGGCCTAACTCTAACCTAGTACACATATTACATTCCGATGTCCGCCATCTTGGTTCGCATACTTCGGGAGCCCCGCCACATGTAATAGAATAGAATCTTCTCGCTCCATTATTATTCGCCTACAAATAGGTGGGTGGGATGGAAATGAACCAGCTTTTAAAAGCCTATTTGTCATTGCCATTTATTTCTTACAAATCTCACTTTTTTAGATTCTTTTGCTTGTTTACTGGGATCCCATTCCTCCCCGTTCCTATAAGCTGATAATTCTTCTTCTGTTGGAGGATAATCCTTCTTGTATAACATGATATACCTGGGAAGTTCAACAGAAGTAAATTCAGGTTTCTCTTGCAACAAGATTTTAATTTGATGAATAAAAGCACTTACCAAATAGCAAGTATGAATGTTAAACTGAAACCACTTTGAGCTTCCTTGACAGCGAACAGACAAAATGTCCAGCCGAACAGGTATTAAATCATAGAGTTTTAAACAATTTACTTAACAGATTAATACGGGGATGCTTTCTGCATTTTGCATCTTTATTTTCAAATTCACAATTTCATAATAGATTATCTTCCCTACCTCCCATCCTCTTCTTTACCGAATGCTTGACCAATCAAACCAGCGATTTCTGCAACGTCATGTCTGAGAATAAAATTTCAATTTTAATATAAATAATTAGAAGTTATGACAGCAAATGGTTTTCAAATTATTTCTGCATATTGTGAAAGCAATTGAGGCAAATTATAAAATTCTCCAATACAATTTTGGAATATAAAAGGATTAATTAGAAAGCTTTTTTCTAAACTGACTCTTTTTAAACTGACTGGACTGGTTAGCTATATATGATTGATCAATATTATTGAATTCCTGTTTTTCGGAAAACTGCAAAAATACTAGCCTGACCTAAAAATTAATGAACTAGATGTACTAAATAGAGTTTTTCATGCATTGATTAGGAAAAGAAATAACCTAAGATCAAAAATTAGTAATTATTGAACCTCAGCCTGTGCTTCAAGCAACAGGAAATTTTAAAAGAAAATGATATCTATAAGGCTGTAGGTACACAGCTATACAGGCCTATCTCGGTTTTTATCTTATGTTAAAGCATTGGTTCTCAACCTATTTCGTAAAATTTCTCTCTCACTATGCATAAAAACATTACTTTATTTATTCAATCGTTGATCCTTAGCTAGTGTTATGTGCAAGTTGCACTCAAGCCTTCGCGCAGTGCATAATGTGTTCATAAATAAGTTTTATAGTAGAAAATGGTACTCCCGTGGTATGTGTACCAGGTTAAAGTTAGGGCAATAATTTTATTCAGATTTCCCTTATTTTAGTTCTATTACAAGTCCGGGGACTGTTTGTGTTGTCCAAGTGAACATACCCCTGCCCATAGGCTTCCCCCTTTACACAACTTGATGTAAAGTAGCCTTAAGTAGGCGAACAAAATTAGTTATCTCCATATTGGTACACACACTTCTGGAGCGCCATAAAAGGAACTATATATATTAGTATTACAACAATGAATACAAAACAAATTTTCTTCCCAAGAACGACCTCCTTGTGGAGGAATTCCTTTCCTATTGGGAAACGTTGTGTTAAAGCAATAACTTGAGCAAGTTGATCTTATCTGTTGAGATTAAACTCGATTATAAAGACTCACACAATCGTTCTCTGTATTTTGTTCATTGGTTCAAATTTCAGCCTTGTTTTATCGACATCGTTTATGAATTTTGAGATTCTATCCTCTGTGTCTTTACGAAACTTTGCTTTGCCTTTTCGTTCTTCATCTTGCAGTTTCTCTAACTTTTTCTTGTTCGCTGTGAGACGACGAAAAAATATGTTAAAGATGTAATATTTTTGAAAATAAAGTAATTTTCATATTATTCGACCCCATAAATCGGGCCTGGTGTAGTTTAGTACCACAAGTACTTCCAGTGGGCCTAGCTTAACAAATTCCGCATATGTTATTCCTAACCCCTACCTGACTATGCCATTCAAAAATCACGGCACTAGGATATCACAATCATGTCATAAAGCTTGTCAAAGTATAGCTACGATCGTTTCGGACAACCATCCATACACTTTGGAGTGCTTACACTACTGGGACGCTGTAGTGACGTATATTTTTGGTGACGTAGTCAGGTGGAGGTTAAAAATTACAAATGCAAAAATTGTTGAAACAGGCAAACTACAAGCGCATGAGGTACTAAAATATACCAGGCCCAATTATTGCATTATGACATCACCACTTCATTTTAATGGAAATATGATAGGAATTTTATATTTATCCCAGGGGAGAGGAAAGTTAATAAGACGGCTCATTCATATGACATATGAAGAGCCTCTCGTTCGTGGTCCCAGTCGGTTTGAAGTATGAGATTAGTTGCCAGTTATTTGTTTCAGATGCATAGTTAAGGTTATTCAAGTATCCTGCCCAGTGGCGCTTCAACAACTGCCAGTTGTGGATTTTGCATATGATACTGATTAAAAGGACCACCTCTACAACAGAAATATAAACTGAAAACCGAATTGCATCGAGGGATGAGCAAAACCAATTTCCGAGTATTTCTCAGTCTGTCAGTGGTGCTTCAAGAACTGCCAGTTGCGGATTTTGCATATGATACTGATTGAAAGAATCACTTATACAGCAAAAATATAAACTCAAAACTGAGTTGCACGGATGGAGGAGCAAAACCATTTTCCGAGTATGACGATTTTGTCCACACAGTCAGAGTGCAGCTTATCAGAGAATATTCACGCACCTTTTTCCTTCTTTCTTTGTTCGTCAGAAACCGATGGAGGTTTCTCCATATTTCCTAGAATAGATCCCAGTAAGTCCATATCGATTTAACCTTAAATATCCAAACGATTTCAGCGAACTTATACTTATTTATAAAAATCGATGACCTTTCGGCATAAATCCAAAATAGGAAATGCCCGTTTTTATTTGGGGAATTCCCCATGTGTTACGGTCGGTCAAAGAAATAAAAACAGCAAAGACAATCGGGTTTTGTAAGATAAAAAAAAAATTGCGCACTACATAACTGAAATTTGTTTTTATTGGTTAATTTTTTATTGGTAGTATTTTCCCATATTTGCTCACAAAGCACAAGGTCAAGTTTAAAAAAAAACATTCAAGTCTTCAGTCGTCTTGTTAGCGAACAGCACTTTCATCGTATCTGAAATTCATTTTGTTGGTACCAGTTGCTGAGATCAACTTAAGAATGTTCGTTTCCATGTTTATTCCAAAAAAAAAGAAGAGCTAACAGGGTGGGTTTTCTTTATCAGCCACGATTATGGAGTCGGTACAATTGGTTAAATCTGGACTCCCACTGAAGGGCGTAGCCAGGAAAATCAAATTGACTTCGACTCAAGATCTGAACTTTCGAAGGAATCTAATTTTGATAATGAAAACTTTGGCGTATGAAAATCTTCTCTAATGAACCGTTTGGAACGCTTAGTCAAGAATCTAAAATGCATGAGGCACGTTTATGACATGCCAATAAATACTGAAAATATAGTGCATTACGGATTCAATTTGTCTTGGTTACTCAACTGCAGTTTGGCAGCCAACTTGGCAAAACGAGATCTCAATATTTTCAATCGCAAAGTAAAAATTCACGTCAATTTATAGAAGAGAATAAATCTGTGTAACAGAAGGATATATAAGCAAATGCAAAAGCAGATCGAAGCGAAATATTGTTCAAATACGGGATTTAGATCCTTACAAAAGATGAACATAACCGGTGGCACATGAACCTAAGATCCCTTTGATATAGTGATGCAGCGGTTCCGAACCGAGTGCTCATGGCTCTTCCAAGTGGGTGTTTTCACTTTGTTCATCATGAATTGTTGTACAATAATAGAATTTGGAATCTACCAATCAAAATACCACTATAAATCCCACTGAAATGATACACAGGGGGCCACAATCCATAAAAGGTCGGCAACTACTGTTATAATGATTGTTGTTGGCTCAAGTTACGCACAGCAAAGCATTATGCGGAGTTCCACGCTCGCCTTCAATCAACAAAGCTAGGAGATAAGCGATTGCTCGATTTCGAAAAATGGTCGATTACTTATGCCTTAGGGCAGGGGTGAGCAACCTTTTTCATTGACGGGCCAAATACAGATTACTGGGTGCAGCCGCGGCCCGCACCTTTATTTAATCTAGACTTTCTAGTAGTTGCAAGCACAAAAATTGTTTATATCTGCTAGTGATCTTACGGCATTATTATGAATTCCAGCAGAAATAGTCAGTTAAAACACATAAGATTCAGAAGAAACTGCTATTTAAATTTGAACCAATTTAGTTAGAAAACACTTTTTTGTAATATATATCATGTATTTTGCAACAGAATTTTCCTAGCCTGTTTTGCTAATATGACTGATATAGGCTTTGCGACGCTGAAGGATAAATACTCGTTTCGCCGGCACACCATTCAGAATTGTTAATTCTCCGCGGGCCGCACAATTTTTCCTTGCAAGCCGCGTTTGGCCCGCGGGCCGCAGTTTGCACACCCCAGCCTTGGGGTACTAGGATATTGTGTACTGAACTGCAAGTCTTTCCTTTGTTTACTTCCTATTTTGGATCCGTATGTGTCAGTTGCCACAAGGTTGCTTTTACAAGATAGTATTATAAAGATGATTAAGAATAACATAATCTCTTTCAACGAAATAGTAAGTATATTTGTGCGATCGTAGTCTTGCATTCTTGTTCGTCTTTCTCCGCCAATCTGCTACGTTGCGCAGTTTTCATTTTTGTGATGCGGTAAAAATAGGGATATCCACGAATAGTCGAGATAAATTGATAAGGAAGGGATTTAAATATTTATCCCAGGGGAGGGAAAGGCCTATAAAACGGCTTAATCATATGGAGAACCAGGGCCTCTCGTTCAGGTGCATAGACTTGATGGCGGAGGAAGCCTTAACCGACCAGCGATTACGTGAACCACACTACAATCCTCATGTACAAAATTATCCCCCAAAGGATTCGAAACCACGCAGGGAAATCATAGGTGCGTTGGCGAGCGTACCCCTTAAGCTCAGCACGATGCACCACGACGTCGAGCCACTCCGATTGGCTGGAATGATTTGCATTCGATTTGAATGGCGCTTACTGAACCATCGCGATTCCATCCGAAAAGGACATTTCCAGCCACACATATGTGTGTCTCGCCCTTTCCATAACCACAAGAAAGAAATTTGAGAACGATAAATAACGAGTGAAAAGTGCAGCAATGTCCCAGATAAAAACCATAAGTTCTCAGAGTGTTCCGTGAGAAAAAACCTAGGGGCCGCGAGCTATCAGTTTACATATTAAAATACCGAACACATCCGGGTCCTTAAATAAATAGATTTTAGTTTGTTTAGGCACATCAATCTTTGAATAACAATGTGTTTCTTGTTTTTATTTTTCTAAATTCATTGTGGGCTCTGTAAATAATAGTCAACCTGTTCACGGGCTCCATAACACCAAAAGTTTGAGAACTTAAACACGCAACAAATGACGAATTTGTCACTTTATTTTAATAATGAAATGACGTTACAATAATATTAATAGTAATAAACAGTACTGAATACAACAGCATCGAAAGCGTGATCACTAGAAATGAAAATTAACACAATCAAAATCATTGATGATAATTAAAGGCAGTTAATGTTATTATTCAACTGAATACACAATTAGTAGGTTAGAAAGCACAAGCTAGAAATCCATGGTTAATGCTGCAGTTATTCACACGTTCTATACCGGTTATTACCTCACTTTTATCCGAGATGAACAAGATGGGCAATAACCCAACTCTCTACCATTTATCGCTTCAACAGAGTCATAAACGCGATTGGTATATTAAATGGACTTGATTTTTGTGTTGTAAAATTACTTGATTCTGAACTATTTAGTAGTATGTGCACCAAGATGGCGCACAACCTGATACCTGACCTGGTACATATACTATGTTCAGGTTGTGCGCCATCTTGGTGCACATACTACAGGCGCACCCTTTTTTATATGATATTTAATATCGCCTAATTTATTTGGGTCAGGTGGTGCCATAGAATTTGAACCCGAAATGTGTAATCTCATATGCCAACGCAGTTAACACTTTAACTGCTAGGCAAGTGGTTCCCAACATTTTTTTTTGCGGCCCACTTTCTGTGCACAAAAAATTCTGTGGCCTCAACTTTTGTATGCAAGAGAAAAACTACAAAAAACTCTTTTGCAAAGATATGCACTTCAACTTTAATAATTATAATGAAAATTACCATTTGATACAAAAAAACGCATTATCATTAATTTCTAATACAATCGAATTCAACTAATTTATCAACAATTTTTAATAGGTTTGTAGACCACCTGAAAATTTTCTGCGGCCCAGCAGCGGGCCATGGACCACTGGTTGAGATGGTACGCTAGGCCAGGGCTACTCAACTATTTTTATCGAAGGTCCGCAAACAAAACTTCAAATTTATTTGGGTCCGGTCTTTCCAGAAATGATATTTCGGCATCCTTAAACGAGCACTTCCTCGACCGACTAATGATTAGTAGCAAATTAAAATTTTTTATTGTGGTGTTATAGTTCTTTTCGTATATATTCAAAACAGAAAGTCATTTTATAATAGGAAATTCAAAAAGTGGGGCTAATGATCCAAAATAAATAATTAGGTGCGGTCCAAATCCAATACTCGAAAGGGTCGGATTCGGACCGCGGTCCGCCAGTAGAGTAGCCCTGCGCTAGGTCATTGTGTAGCCCAAAATATATAATTCCCAAGTAGCGAGGCTTCTTAAACGTTAATTAATGAAAAACGAATTTCTAATTGCATGCAATATTAATCTAAAGCATTTCCTTATATTGATAAACTACAATCATGCATGGCAAATGATTCAAAATTGAAAGAAGTGTAAACTATGAACGAAAATTATATTTACAATACAATTTAGAAAACAGAAAAGCACTTTGGTCCTTCCATTATTTTATGATGAATACAAGGTGTCCATAAAGTCTTTACAATTTCAATTTTGTTATGAAGTCAGTTCTCAATATATCTTAACCAGGTTTTGTTGTTTTTTAATAGTAATTGTTTAAATACTTTTACCTCATTTAATACATTTGTGAGGTATATATGGTATGAATCTATGACACAATATATGGTATCGATAAATTGGTATCGGTAAGACTCCATGGACACTCTATGTAACATGCAGGCGGCCACAGATATATAAGAGGCTGTTATTGATGAAAATACCAGAATTTTCACGGTAGATAATATGGAAAAGTACTTCCCAGAGTAAGGACTGAGAATTAACTCAGAAGATGTGGGTCCCATCAATCATTGAAAAACATTTCATGAAACTATGAACATGGCAATGGCTCCATTAGTGTGTGTGCCAATATGGAGGGAACTAATTTTTTTTGCCTACTACATAAAGTGTGTAAGGGGACTGAAACCTATTGGCAGGGAGGGGTATTAGAACTAAAATAAGGAAAATTGAAATAAAATTATGCCCTAACCCTAACCTGGTACACATACTACGGGAGAACCAAAAACGCTATGAGGGTGAAACGAAATGAATCTTTCCAAGTAATATCTTGGAGTCTATATGTCAAGATCAGGGGTGAAGCCGAGTACTTTTAAAGGGGGAGGGGGGGGGAAGGGGGGGCTAAAATTTCTAATTGCTGAGTTAGACCATATCAGCTAGGGGTCCGGTGGAAAATGTGGGTTTTCAAAAGACTTGAGGGTCTTAAAAGCGTTTCAAGCTAAGAAAAATTGCTATGTATGTCACAGAAAAATGCTTTTCTTTTACATTTCAAAAACGAGGGATTCTGACCCCAGGCCAAGAAGGTAAATATGCAGAAACACCAATTTTTCTCTGATATTTCAGAATTTATTGGCAAAGAAATGAAGTATAGTCAAATGGGATAGCGAGCTACGAATACCTAATCGAAGTTTGGTTAGACCATTTTAAAGTAAACACAATTTGAGACATCCTTTAACTGGATGGCACTTAATAAAATGGCGTACAATTATTCAATAAAGTCAGTATTTGATTTATCATTTTTGGCTAGAAAACATCTGAATCTCATAATGCAAAAATCATATTACCAATATTCAAGAAGGAAATGAAGGTCGCCGAATTATCCAAATTATTTCAATATTTCATTTTTTCAAAATAACTTTTTCAAGTTTAACCTTATTGGATGAAAGTCTTGTATATTAGTTGTACAGTCCTCTCCTTATTTTCGATTAAAATCAATTTTTTTTATTATAATATCTGATTACATACTTACATACAATACAGTAACATACAAATAATCATAAATGTACAAAAATTATCCCAACTTCAAAGCAAATGAAATTGTTTGGCGCAAAAAAGATGTCTGCTTACAATAATAAAGATATAATTAATGATAGGAACAAAATTAAATGTACTTAGAAATCACTTTTATCATTTTGATAAGTGTAGTGCCGTTCTTCTACCATTCATGGGAAGAACATTGACAGAATTTGGTCATGCTTGGCCAATGATTAAATCAAAGATAAATTCTGTAGATGAGTATTTGATTTTGCTCGGCAGCATTTGGTCATGCTTGGCCAACAAAAAATCAAAGCTAAATATTGTAGACGGGTACTTGTTTAGGCTTGGAAGCATTTGGTCATGCTTGGCCAATAATAAAATCAAAGATAAATTCAGTAGAGGAGTATTTGTTTTTGCTTGGTAGCATTTGGTCATGCTTGGCCAATAAAAAATCAAAGATGAATTCTGTAGATGAGTATTCGTTTATGATTGGCCAATGATAAACTGAATACAAACTTCAATGCCCGGCCTTTATCAAAGAAGGACCTTTAACTTCTAGACTTGAGAGAAATTCAAATTGATTTCAAGGACTGGACGATTTCAAATACCTGATGATTTCAGAATTAAATCAAATATTTTTTTTATTCAAATCTTGAATACTTGGAAGATATGTGATTGTATTGAGTGTTTCATTGTAATGAGTCCTTCAGACACATAAATTAGTGAGAACACGTAATCTAACACCGCTGAGTTTTTACACACAGAAAGTAACATGTTTCATCAATAATTCACTCGTAAGAAGAGTCATATGTCAGATTTGGATTTAGAAAATTTGACATTAAAAAATGAGGGATTCATCTCAACCTATAGGTGGACAAAAAAACAAGATGGTGGCGATTGGAATTTCCTGTTCGGAACGATTCAAATAATATACTATTCGATTCAAAATGCCCAGCCCTATTAGTTACATAAAAAAAATTGTTATTTAACAGTAGAAGATGGTTGAATTAAATCAGCAAACCTGATATCCGCACTGATTCAAACAACTGTGGGGACGAAGCCTTGAGTTGTCACTTCGAATTGCCCACTGTCAGGAGTTTTTATTCTTTACAGCCAAAATTTTGGACTTGAGAGCGATAATTGGACCAAATTTTCCAATATAACCTTGCAAAGCATCAAGTTAACTGTGCATTCTGAATAGGAAATTAAAGAAATGCACAAATGCAAAAGCTTTTAAATAAAGATTTGGTTTTCTCAGAGCGAAGTCTAAAATTGTCACTTCAAATTACCCATAGTCAGGACAGGAGTTTTTATTCTCTACAGTCAAGATTTCAGATTTTTAAGCGCGACAATCGAAGCCAAATTTTCAATAGAAACCTAAAAAACATCAAATTAACTGCGCATTCTAACTAGACAATTAAAGAAATGCACATGCGCAAGAGCTTTTGAAATCACAATTTGGTTTTCCAAGAGCACGAAGATAAATTTTGAATGCTTCGAAGTCGGAATTTGAGTCCAAATTTCTTATAGAAAAAGAGCATTTCAAAAGATACCATATATCGTCAACTCATCATATATAATCCGAGTTTAAAACTGAGGGTCCGGCTTATACGCGCATAACTCTGATAGCACTAAAAATTTGGCTTATACACGCATAACCCAGATCGCACTCAAACGAAATGACATTATGCTGACCTAATTCCAACAGCTACAACTCGAACCATGCTAAGTTTGATAAGACACACACGCTTGGTACGCTATGACAGCGAAAACAGTCTGCGATTCGGTGTCATACACGTCAATGCTTGCGTTTTATCGCTATGACGGCAATAACAGTCTGTGATTGGTTATCATACACGCGGATTATATGCGATGATATACAGTAATTAAAATGCCACACATATTCTTAGGCTTTTAGCTATGAAGATTCGGTTTTTGCAGAGTTAGGTGTAAATAATAATCTCCATCTGGTCTTGGAAGTCAGAATTAAGATTTTTACCAGTTGTTTTAAATATCTAGTATTTTGAAGTCGAATGTATATTTTCCTATTTCACAAGTCTGCTTTTCAATAATGAAAAAAATATCGCATATTGGTCCCATTATATATAAGTCAACGGCCAATACAAGCATGCAGCAAGATATATTATCTGTCTGTTTATATACTTTTGGCCTCGTAGTGAAGAATTGGTGATGTTTGAAATCCTTCATTGATGCTGTTTGGCCACATCTTTAGCTGCCAGTATGAGAGGATTCAAACTTGCCAGTGGTTTTGCAAGCTTCAAGAATGGATGCTGTGAATAAGAAAGATGGTTACATGTACATGGGCGCTCCATAAGTATATGTAACAATATGGTATATTATGTAAAAAACCGATACCTGGGAAAATGGAGAAATTACTTAACTAAGGAAAGGGTAATGAAAGAAAAGGGTAATAACAGCTTGCTTATACCAATGACTCATGGACTACTTCACACATAACATGACGTGATAAAATATATGAGAGTATATGTTATTTGCCATGGTACACATACTACGGGAGGACTTGAAAATGAGGTAATGTTTTGTGTGAGTGTGTGGATAATTTTGAGTGCTTTGCAAAATACCAATGCATTTCTTAAAATTTACTTTACTCAATATAAGCTAAATCCGGTCCCCACAAAGTGGATGCTACGAATACAAAAGAAAAGTTTACGAGGCTGTAGGGATGGGCAATGTAGAATAATTTAGGTGCCCCCGAAGTATGCGAACCAAGATGGTGGACATCGGAACTTGACATGGGTAACAGGTTAGGGTTAGGCGATAATTTTTTTCCAATTTTCCTTATTTAAGTCATATTATCAGTTCGAAGACTAGCCAAGAGCCTCCCGTAGTATTTATACCTAAAATTATGGCCTAACCCTAACCTAGTACGCATATTACATTCCGGGAGTCCCATACTTCGGGAGCCCCATAATTTACTATTCTAGAATTCTTGAATCGAATCCAGAACACCGAATCCTATTCTAATTTAATGGTTATTTTAATAGCGGGAATTCCCCACCACAATGCTGGATTAAAATTTGATACCAAACAGGCATTTCTCAGGACAATGAAATTGAAGAATTTTAACAATAAATTTTTTGCCTTGAACTGTTACTACTCATTACTTATCGGTTTTAATCGGTAAGTATGTTGATAGGTATTTGTCTGTCTGTCTGTTAGATGCACGCGATATCTCACGAAAGCAAGATTGAATCTGCTCCAGATTTTGAATGTGCATTCATCATATGTCGGACCAGAAGCCTATTGATTCTGGATGAATTATGTCGTATAATTAGCGAGTTATTAATCAACTAGCGATCAAGTGATCTAGATTTTTGTAAAGCGAGAGAATTTTGAGATCCGCCGAGTGTGTGTGCGATGCGCAGAGCGCAAGTTACAAGAGCGGATGAATCGAAACCGCAGTTTCTGTTTTGGGGGATCCCCTAACTCTCGATCGATAAGTCTTCGGTTTCCAACCGATATTCTCGTTTAAAGACTTGTTCTGAGTAAAGATGAGAAAATAAAATAAGAAATGCTTACAGAAAGGAATTGTAACTTCAGTCGTATCAGTGACCATATTTTTACAGAATCATTCAGAATTAAGTGGCGCATAGCATAGCATAAGAGAGAGTAACTCGGGGACGAGAATTAGAAGCAGAAGGATATTCGTGGGCTCGGGGATGGAAGTGCCCACAAGGGGCCGATACCGGTATGTATAAGTTACATACCAAAATTATTGAATTGTGACGAATATACACATGCCAAAGTGTGATAATTATAAACAATAACCAACCACCAATGACAATCTAATACGTAAAATGGCAAAAACTGAATTTAAACTATTTCATTAAGTTCAGTGGGCCATATTAAATCATTACACTGGCTTGGCCCGTGATCACTTCCTCGTAAACCAGGGGTGGGCAACATACGGCCCACGGGCCGAGTCGGCCCGCAACGAAATTTTGACCGGCCCGCTGACTGTACATCAGTACATTATTAAACTTTTAGTACATTATGATAAATTCATTATGTATTTTTTGGTCTCTATTTTTTGTAAAGTTTGAATTTTACTTCAAACACAATTTATAATTTGCTTTCTTGCATTAACGAATTAATATGTGATTAAGATGTTGAATACTATTCATGTAATAATCCGGCCCACCGAGGACTTCATTTTCCCACATCTGGCCCGCCGACTAGAGGAGTTGCCCACCCCTGACGTAAACCATGAAAATGATCACCACCATTTTTTGTGCTGTTGCCATAAAAAATAAACTACTCACAGACAGAAGTTGTTTAGCAGTGCATCGTTTATCCACATCCATTTCTAGACAACTTTCTAAGAAATTACGGAAGATAGGACTCAGATTTTCTGGATTCTGAATTTCTGGTGTTCCGTTGGTTGCAATCAGATAAAGAGCCTGAAAGTAAGAGGGATAAATTAGTTGACGCTCTGTGTTACTTTGTCATAGCTATTAAAAGCACACGGGTACTTGCCGCCATGATGCTTTATGCAAACTCTAATAAGCTTGAATTGTATGTTCGTGTCTAATGTGATATTGTGAGACTGGAAATACTTGGGCTAATATTTATCAAATTGTTAGTTATATTCCCGCTGTTCCTGTATGTATTATCACATTGCTGACGAGCTCAAAGCCCAATTAGAGAGTATCTAATCATGTTTTTTTTAATTATATTTTATGCTATGCGGCAAAGAGGGCGATTTGCTGAGTACGCCCCGAAAATTAACAGAATTGTTAAATTTCTGTCCCGGGTATTGACATATTTTGTTGAAAATAAACTATTTTATCCCATAGTTGCAGAGCCTTTTGCAGAGAGAAAGGCATACAAAACGTCACAAAAAAAGAGAAAGTTAGACTGAAATAAATAAACTTCTTACCCTGAGGGGGTTCTCATTCAGATATGGCGGTTCACCCTCAATCATTTCTATGGCCATGATTCCTAAACTCCAAATGTCAACCTGAAATATTGAGAAAATGATATGAATGAAAATATAAACTAGAATTCGGTTGGAAACCAAAGACTTATCGATCGAAGGTTAGGGGATCCCCCAAAACAGTGGTCTTACTCCATAGTGACACCGTGTGTCCCATCACTAATTAATTAATAACTCGCTAATTATACGACATAATCCATCCAAAATCAATAGGCTTCTGATCCGAGCTAAGATGAATGCACATGCAAAATTTGGAGCAGATTGAACCTCGCTTTTGTGAGATATCGTGTGCATCTAACACACAGACAAATACCTATCAACATACTTATCGATCAAGATCGATGAGTAATAATCTCTAATCCCTGCAGTTTTATGCTCTGAATTTCGGACCAAGAAATAAACATCTAGTCATTGTATTTCAATTTCAATTTAGAATACAAAACTATATTTCGGAGTGATTGATCCGGTTGTCAACAGAAAAGTGCCAATAACAATACAATTTAGAATAGAAATTGGTAATAAATTGCTAGAAGATGCAAGACCTTAGAAGCAATGTTCCCTCTAATTTTTTGTAGTATGTGTGCGCAGAAATTTTGGTGTGTGCGCACTTTTTTGGAAATGAATAATATTTGTGCAAAAACCAATGAAGAAATTTTGGCGTTCTAACCGGGTAATAAGTGGGCCAACAACAAACTTTCTCAACCCGCCAACCGAGCACATTGTTACATTATATTGAAATACGTCTGTGCGCAGTAAATCTATGCGTGTGCGCAGCCTCTAAAAGCTGTGTGCGCGCGCACATGCGCACACCTTAGAGGGAACACTGCTTAGAAGCACCATTTGTAACAAAAATAGCAGCTTCCTCTGAGCTCTAGAATGTGTATGAGTTTAAAAAGTTTAGGACAGAAAATAAAATGCTATCAGTTATTTTTTAGACATAGTCTGTAAACAATTTATAAAAAATATATTTGGATCTACTTTATGATGAAGAAAAGTCGAAACGCAATCTCTCATTCTACTTTTTGCTTCATTTTTCGACTTTATTTGAGAATTATAGAAACTTTATAGTTTCGCTGCGAGTTTTCCCACTTTTCAAATATTAGTTACTAAGCCTTGCTAGAAGTGAAAATGGAAAACATTCATCTCATGTTATAAAGTTTATTCTACTTTTTGCTGCACACTACAAATTATATCTCACCTTCGGTCCATAAGCTTTCCTTGTTACAACCTCAGGAGCCATCCAGTAAGGAGTTCCCACCATGGTCGAACGTTTACTTTGTTCGGGTGTGATTTGGGCACAGAAACCAAAATCAGCTGCAATGAAAAAATGGATTTTTTTAATATTTGTGAAACGAAAAAGTTCTGTTTTCCACTTATGAATGTAAAGTTTGCCCGAATCCGATTCCAGTTCTGACGTTAAATAAATGAATCCCAAACTCTCATTAACAAGATTTTGACACCCAAGTTCAGGAAAATAGAAAAAACTTTGACTGGGTTTTGTCAAAAAAAGTCAGCAGGCTATGAATTATACCAAATGGCATATAGCTGCGTTTCACCCAGTTATTTGTATCTGGCCCCCCCGTAATCCGTGGTTTAGTCTATCAGTTATAAGCGAAATTTTCACAACAAGAACCCAAGCCATGAGTACATTTTATCCACATCTACTACTTACTTAATTTGACACTTCCTTGCATTCCCAGCAATATATTGTCACTTTTGATATCTCTGTGAATCACATTTCTGCTGTGGAGAAAATCCAATGCTTGGAGACACTGTTTAGGAAAAGCAGAAGAGCAATTGTAAAGTGTAGTAGGCTCAATAATGAGAGGTGGCTTAAACTCAGAAAATAGGTTCTTCTATGTTTTTGTAAGGTTTTTAGTGGTATTTCACTGTTTTTGCATGTTTTTGCGAGGTTTTCAATGGTTTTTGACAGGCTTTCACTGCATTATATTTTGTCCAATCTGGGTTACTTTTGTTTAAATCATTTGACAAAAGTAATGAAACTTCTAGAACGTCTCAGGTCACCCTTAGGTAGACATTGGCAGGTAAGATTTTGAAGTTGAAAACAGATTTTAGTACTCTCAAGACTTATTCTGAGCAATCTTGTAGAAAACACATTACTGACCTCTCTACAAACAGCAGCAATTTGTCCTTCATCCATGCAAGTCTCCGTGACAACATCAGTGAGTGAACCTCCTGCTAAGTATTCCATCACGACCCACAGTTCATCACCCTGAATATTAAGTATATAAAGAATGATCCTTCTTCTGCTTTTGTGGAGATAAGTGAAGGTCACTATCCTAAGTGATTCCAGAGTCTTGCTGCACACTAACACAAATGAGGTCAGATGAAACGTCACAGAAATCTATTTGTATTGGCGTGCGACAAGACTCTTGAATCACTCCATATAAAGAATATGAGGATAAATATATAGGAAAAAAGCTAAAAGAACACATATTTTGAAAACTTGGTTGTGCCACACATTAGAAATACTCATATTATCACACTTCTAAAACCTTGGAGTCCGAATCCAAATTGTTCCATTTTTCAAAATAAGGATGCGGCCAACACCAGGCATTTTTCACAAAAAATAGAATGTTTAACCCAAAAGTGCAACCTTAGAAAACATATCTTCATCAGATCAGTTACATTATATTTTCATAGCTATCACAGTTACAGTCATTAAGTATTTCACTTGGTGATACATCGCTCTGATTTTCAGATTTTTAGTGGATCATATTATGCCTGGATCATGATTCATGTGCCTATTCTTAGCATTTGTTATTGCTGTAGACTGTAGTACAGCAATCGGCAACCTGCGACTCTTTGTTCTTGAAGCTCTGGCTCCATGGTTACACTTTTTAGGTAGCAGTAGGGATTCAATGAAAGGGAAGACATAAGCCAAATACACAACACCGTGGTTCCCAATGTATAAGTCGCAAGTGGTAAAAATGTTTTGCATCTAAAGTGATTCTGTCAAAACATATGTTTTCTATTCATTTTACAAATTTGTTTAATTTTGTCATAGACTGAATTTTTGTAACTTTCGAATTTCATTTGCCTCTTCTTAGTAATAACTAGATTATTTCATCTTAAATGTTTTCCCGGGAATTTTGATAGCCAGTGATCTCAGAGTGGAATGTTGCGGCTACGAGTACGTTTAAGTTTAATGGAGAGACGCTTTCAATACTGAAGGTTGCCGACTCATGCTGTAGTAAAATGATATCTGATTTTCAAGATAAGTAAATATTGGTTCAAAAGTTTTCCTAGAGACATCTTGATTATTACTCACTTTTAAATAAGAATCCAGGTAATTGACAATATTCTGATGTTTGTTCTCGCGCATGACGATAATTTCGTTAATGATCAATTCTTTCTTAGGCTGCTGTGTCAGATTCATCTGCTTTATCGCCACCTGCTGGCCAGTTGATATTTCTTCTGCTGTGAAAACTGTGCCTGACGCTCTGAAGAAAAGTGAATGAATGGTAAAGTTATGGTACTCCAGAAGTATGTGAACAGAGATGGCGGATACCGAATCGTAGTATGTGTACCTGATTAGGGGTCAGGCAATAATTTCAGGTACAAATACTACGGGAGTCACTTGGCTAGTCACCGAACTCGTAACAGAACTAAAATAAGAAAAATTAGAATTAAATCATGGCCCAACCCTACCATGGTACACATACAACGTTCCGGTGTCCGCCATCTTGGTTCACATACTGCGGGAGTACCAAAGTTTGAGTAACCCAAATTGGTGTCAAGGCAATAAGAACAGACTTGTTAGAATTTGGAAAGCGTATCGCGGTAATTATTAGCATGTAATAATTACTAATCAAGCAATGTCAAACGCTTTTTGCTACATTTCTCCCTTTTGAAACCCTTTCCCTCCAACAAGACAAAATGGAAAATCCAAGAAATTTTTAAATTGACCAAGTAATCTCAGCAGACAAATAAAAAAGTCTTTTAAGTGCCACAGTTTTTTGGTCAAAATTTGGTCTCGGGATTTTTTGTCATAATCAAAATATCCGTCGATACAGTATTGAAAAGATCGAAATACTAGTATGACATAACAATGTGATACCACTAATGAAAAAAAAAATGCTTTATGAATTAACCAAACTCGGTGAAATATTGTGTCCTGTAGGATTTTGAGGTAACTTTAAAATAGAAAAAATTATAGCCTTTTAGAGACTGAATCCATCTTCACGTAGTGTCAATTTGAGGTCCATTGGTCGGTACTATCGTAGTGTTTGTACCAGGTTAGGGTTAGGTCATGATTTTATTCCGATTTTTCTTATTTTAGTTCTATTACGAATTCGGGGACTGTCTGTGTTAGCCAAGTGAATATACCCCCTGTCCATAGGTTTTCAGTCTCTTTACACAACTTGATATAAAGTGGCCGAACAAAATTAGTTACCTCCATACTGGTACACACACTTCTGGAGCGCCCATTGGTCATTGAAAAAATTGATTTGACAGAAATTTAGAAAAACGATGCATAGGTCCATGTCCAAAAATAAACATAAAAAACTACTCACCCTTGTCCAATCTTCTCAAACCTTGCATATTTATTTTCTGGGTTTCCAACACTGACAATTGTCCCTGAAAAAAATGAATAGAACAAGTTTATTGGTAAACAGTCCATGAAATGTACCGAAATAAATTTCAAGTTTTCAAGAATACAAGTACTATGGAGCAGGGTTTCCCAAACTGGGGTTTGTGGACCTTGGTGCCGTGATGAGTGGACAGGGGGTATGCAACAATATGAAAAGAGGGGGCTCCTGAAGTATGCGAACCAAGATGGCGGACATCGGAATGTAATATGTGTACTAGGTTAGGGTTAGGCCATAATTTTAGGCATAAATACTACGGGAGGCTCTTGGCTAGTCTTCGAACTGATAATAGGACTAAAATAAGGAAAATTGGGAAAAAATTATCGCCTAACCCTAACCTGTTACCCATGTTACGTTCCGATGTCCACCTTCTTGGTTCGCATACTTCGGAAGCACCAAAAAGAGTCCGAAACATATACAAATAGTAAATAATCTAATCGAATGCCAGTATTTAACGTTAGCATGTATTGATTCGGACTTCCATAAGTTTTATTTCGTCAGAGAACATTATCCTTCCCTATTGGTTAGGCACAGATGGGGATCTTTTCAAAATAAGATTTACGAACCTAGGTCTGCGGCCAAAAAAGTTTGGGAAACCTTGCTACAAAGGAATGTGCATGGATAGTTTGCTATAGTAACACAAAGTGAGATAAAGAGTTAAAGTACTAAAGCTTAAGAAATGAGGAGATATATTAATAAAAAGAATGTTTACCATTGAATAAAACTTGAAGGATAGAACCGTATAAATAATGAATATTTAACAACACATAATCTTTCCCACTAGTTAGGAATAGCTGTTCCGGTTCTGCATAAAGCCACAGGAATAATTAAATATCGCTACAGCTCATCGGAAACCATTAACACCAGACATCAAATGTTGATGCCAAAACCAAATATTGATCAATAATTAAACAACTATGCTACAATATACAATACAATTTGCAAGGCTAATAATTGTTTGTTTTTCGGTTTTAATATCAATAGGGCTTTTTCAAAGCAAGGTGGCACACACTCGTTCAGAAGTAATGGAAGATATGGAACAACTAAAAAAATATATTTCTTTCAATACATATTATTGCGCTTCAGAAGTATGTGCACAAATATGGAGGTAACTAATTTCGCTCGCCTATTTTACATTAAGTTGTGTAAAGGGACGGAAGCCTATGGGCAGGGGTATATTCACTTGGCTAACACAGACAGTCCCCAAACTCGTAATAGAACTAAAATAAGGAATATCGTACTAAAATTATGGCCAAACTCTAGCCTGGTACACATACTACGGGAGTACCATGTTTTGTTTATGTATCGAGTTTGATAATTATAAGAATCAATCCGAAGTAGGCCGTAGTGTTTTTCATTTATAATGCAACGTGTGCCGTTGTGCCTGAAACAAATTGACTGAAACATTCTAAAACGAGATTCAGTCTCTGGTACACATAACACTCGATTAGTGTTAGTACTGGCTTATCATCGTGTTTGCATTCATCTTGAATTACCATTTTTGTATTTTTAGTATGATGAAAAAATGAATTGCTTAAAGCAAGACTGTTGAATATCTATGCAAAAGTGCAAAAGAACATGTAACTAAAATATTAGGCAAAAAGTTATTGGAAACGTTTAGCGAAAACATTGGTTTGTATTCCCAAGATATGATCAATACTTTCATTAATGTGATAATGGCAAACATGATTGGCAATGGTTCATATGACATTTCCAAAAACAATAATTGGTTTATAATTACTGAATCTTTGTTGATAACATATACAGGACTCAAAATGAACACAATTTTGCTAAATCAAGGAAGTCTAAAACAAATTGGATATAGAAATACATTTAAAATTATTTATATTCAATATGGTTAATTTTTGAATTTAGGAATAATTGCTTTTTATTTCGAATTGTGCGCAATTAACATTTAAGCTTTGGTTAACTTCTGATAAAGAAAATTAACGAACAAAGTCATCTTAAATTTTCTGCACATAAAAATAAATCTCCACAAATACACAATGACACAAATACACTATATGCTCTGTTTGATACCCCAAAATAATAAACTAAACTACGCTATATTCCTATGCCTCATAATTCAGTTGTGTTCAAATTTTTCTGTTGAACGTGCGATAATTTAATCCATATTTGATATTCCATATTCAGTTATTATTCAAAACGGAGAATTACAAAATTTGGCGATACTTGAAGTAAATATGAGCTTTATTATACTGTATTTACAATGTGGGCAACAATAAAGTCTATGAAGCTGGTTAAAAAGATGTTCAGAATTCAAGGTATTAAATAAGTGTGTGTACCAATATGGAGGTAACTAATTTTGTTCGCCTACTTTGCATCAAGTTGTATAAAGGGACTGAAACCTATGGGCAGGGGTATATTGACTTGGCTAACACAGACAGTTCCCGAACTCGTAATAGAACTAAAATAAGGAAAATCTGAATAAAACTGTAGCCTAACCCTAACCTGGTACACATACTACGAAAGTATCTTCAATAATATAAGAGAGTTTATGGTATCAACTATCAATGATGACAAAAAAATATTTTACATAGCAGAATTATGAAATACACATAGCAGATCAAATTTAAAAATTGAAATATTAAAAATTTCCGAACAATGTCACAATGGAGCACATCGCTGACTGCACTATTTAAATATTGTTTATGAAATGTTATTCATATTATTACATCATAAAGCAGCATGAACTTAAATAAACTCTGTATATCCTCTGTTCTAGAGATCAATATCAATCTCCATATATGGAAATGACAATTGTTTGTACAAAATAATTTTATTATTTTAGCATGATTCTATAAGAGTGATTTTCAGCTTTTCGATGGAATGAAACACCATGAAACATGGCACATGATTGCCACCAGGTATATTAATGTCGATGATGAATAAAGCACAACCGGTGTTGGTAAAAATATGTAATTTGCAACGTTTCGAATTTCTATTCAGAAAAACCTCATCAGGGCATGATATGGAAAGCAACACTATCGTATATATAAATATACAGAGAGAAGAGCAAAAAGAATATTAATCATTTTTTCTAAATAGACATTCGCAACGTCGACAAATCACATCGTTTTGCTATAAACTGGTTGTGCTTTATTTATCATCTCAATGTAACCACATTCAGAGACTCGAGGAACCTTTGTGTAATAGTTTGATTCTGTCCTTTAATTCCTAAACTGCATAAACCAGCGGTTTCCAAACTTTTTGTTCGTGCGGCGCCAGATTATCAGAGAAAAAACTAACGACGCACTTACACAAAGAAATAGATTGCTTTAAATAAAACTCAATTTTGTGATCGTTAATGTGTATTTTAAGCTTTTTGAAGTTTACTGGCATAAACTATAAATATGCATGAAAATCCTAATACTAGTAAACCAAAATGATCTTCAAAGTGTAGAAGTTTATTAAGAAGTATTTGATCATAATATTTGAACATTTTACATATCATAACATAGACTCTCCGATTTAAATGGAAACTCAAGGAACCCCGGACTGTACTCTAGTGCAGGGGTACCCAACTATTTTTAACGAAGGTCCGCAAACAAAACTTTAAAATTATTTGGGTCCGGTCTTTACAGAAATTATATTGCGGCTTCCCCAAAAGCACACTTCCTCGACAGGAAGTAATGATTACTAGCAAATAAGATTGTTCATTATGGTGTTATAGTTCTTTTCATATATTCAAAACTATGAAAGTCATTTTATAATAGGAAATTCAAAAAGTGGGGCTAATGATCCAGAATAAATACTTAGGTGCGGTCTAAATCCAATACTCGAACGGCGCGTATTCGGACCGCGGTCCGCCAGTTGAGTAGCCCTGCTCTAGTGTGCCACACTGACGCGATTGAAAATCTGTTTCACACAATTGTAAGTAAAGCATAATACAGGGGTGTGTACGTCCTTTGTTACAAGAGGGCCATATACAAATACCTGGGTGAAATCGTGGGCTGCACCTACTTTAACATAGGCCAGGGGTTCCCAAACCAAGGGTCGCGACGCCAAATTGGGTTGGAGTGATAATTAGGTAGGGTCGCAAACAGGTCATGGGGTCGCTGAGGTATGTCAGAGGATGGATGTACAAAACATCTAAGATTTGACAAACCATGTTAAATTTAGCAGTTCGTACCATGGCTTACTGTAAAACAGACCCATATGCATCACTATATGCTTATGCTATAGAAAATGCAGGTGAATATTGTGACATCACTGTTTGGTTTTAGCTTATTTTACTAAATACCACCACATGACCAAACTCAAACGTCCAGTGAAAGAAGCTCTAAAGTTTCATGAAAAATATATATATTGACCTGGGGTCGCACTGGACACTTGAAAGTTGTCTTTGGGGTCGTTCTGTGAAAAGCTGACATACGCTTTCTAGTAGTTGCAGAGACAAAAATTGATCTAATGTCACAGATAATAAATTAGACTCAGGTATAGGATTTGCAATGCAAAGGGATCGGGATTACTCACACATACCAGAATAAACTAAATTGAAAACTTGTTTCAAAACTCGTTCGCACACCATTCAAAATTGGCACTTCACCGCGGGCGGGGTGCACAATTTTTTTTGTGGACACAGCTTGCACAACCTTGACAAAAAAAAAAAAACAATCAAATTACTGTTTATATGCAACTTACTTAATTTGGAGAGAATCTCTTCGTCTGAAATTTTTTTCTTTTTCTGTTTTTCTATTGTTTGTTTGTTCACACCTGGTTGCGCATGACCGCCTCCTGTTGCAGATGGAAGATTTGGGACACCTAGTGGTTCTATCACAGATCGAGTGTATATCTGTGAAAAATGATATAGAATTAAATTTCAAACTAAAAAGTTTTGAAATTCAGAGTTTCAAAGTTAAAAGTTTTAAATGTCAAAATCGCAGTTTCATATTTTGAAATAGGATTTTTCGATAATGCTCCATTAATTTTACTTTTGCAAAGCAACAAACACTTTTAAACATTTTAAATAGATTGCAAAATTGATAAAAAAGTGAAAATAAGGCAATTTTTACACGAAATTATCAAGATCTATTAGCAAGGCTCAGGTAGCTTAACAATGCTCTAAAATTCAAAATGATAAACCTTCAAAACTGTTCACAACTGGTGAGTTTCCAGATTCAAGCTCACACACTATAGAATGGATGTACATACATGTATATGAGTCAAAGGAGGAAGCGTATAAGTACACAGGAGTGGACCTATGCAATATATACAGGCATATAAACCAGTATGCTGCAATATAAAAGTATGTGTTTGGAATTTATCAAATGCCAAAGACTAAAAGTATACAGCGTTCGTAGTAAAATTGTGAATGTATACATATTTACAAGTTTTGAGCTTACATTCTATTATACAAATTTACCGAATGTACACACATAGGCAAGTGTGGAAGCATGTGTTTGTATCCGCGAATCGAAGTTTTCATTTCAAGGTTGTATTTTAACATAATAAATAACAAAAATTCTACCAAACAACATAAAATTTGAATGTAAAGCATATAGAAATATTATTTATCATATGTGCATTCTTGAAGGACACACATGTAATAATACAATATTAAATTTCATCTCAATTCCAACGAAGTCAAATTGACACTGAAAAACTGTAAAAAAAAAATCACAAAAAACGTGCAAACGAAAACAACACAGACAACTCACAGATTTAGTATGCTCAGGTCTAGGAGCAACAATAGGAGGAGGTTCCAGGTCGTCATCAGATTCCTCATTCACAGAATCTTCATCAATATCCTCTTCATTTGCTGTCAATGGAGCCGTCGATTCTGTAGTGCTCCAATTATTTGTATCGGACGTCGTTTTTATTGCTGGAATGTTCGCACCCCCACTTGACTAAAAAAATAAAATTTGAGGGTGACAGAGTAAATGATTTTCATATTATCACTAGGGAAACCAGACCAGAAAACTTAATTATATGGCGAACCAAGGCCTCTCACCCAGTTGACAGTCCATGTCAGCATAGGAATAGTTAAAATGAACTTTGGTGAAGGCTGTCATAACCGACAAGTGTTCACATGAACCACGTTGAAACGATGAGGAATCTAGAAGGGTTATACCTAGCAGAGCAAGCTCTCATTTAATAATGGCAATCTCAATTTTTAAGAAGATGCACCAACTTTTGAGCCAAACTAATGATTGAATAAAAAGTTGAATTTGCATGGCATGCATGCCTGGACATCATTTTGCTGAGATTTTTAAATTACATTTAATTATTTATTCAACAAATATCAGAACATTTCCATAGTATGTCTTCTAAATGTCTGTGGTGCCATTTTGTATAATTTAGAATGAATTACATAATAAATTTGGAAATACTGTCACTATTGGAATATAACTACCGGTAATTAAACAAATGTTCAAACTAGAATCCAAAAAGATATGAACACAAATTAACAGGAAACACAGGAGTAGCAAATTTGATTAACTTCCTTATACTAAACAGTGTTGTGAAACTAAACATATAACCACTGTTGAGATTCAAAAATTTAATAACAGTTGATATGCAAAAATCGGAAAGCTAATTTGCATCGATCGATGTCAAGTTAATATTTCATTAAGACAAATTAAGGGCTTTGACCCAAAAGAGCTAAACCTGGAAATGGTGTTTTAAAATAGGTTTATAAAGGCCCTTTTTTTGAATTTGTCAGGAGAACGATTTTTTAAACTGTAACATTTTATTGAAATACTGTGGTAAATGAGATACCAGCTTTAACAGCACCTAGTTCTTTATAATAAAGTCTCTCTACGATTTCAATTTTGGGGGCTCCCGAAGTATGCGAACCAAGATGGCGGACATCGGAATGTAATATGTGTACTAGGTTAGGGTTAGGCCATAATTTTAGGTATAAATACTACGGGAGGCTCTTGGCTAGTCTTTGAACTGATAATAGGACTAAAATAAGGAAAATTGGAAAAAAATTATCGCCTAACCCTAACCTGTTACTCATGTTACGTTCCGATGTCCGCCATCTTGGTTCGCATACTTCGGGAGCACCCAATTTTGTTATGAAGTCAATTCGCAATATATCTTATCCAGGTTTGTTGTTTTTTATTCAGTAATTGTTCAAGTATGTTTACTTCATTTAATACATCTTTGAGGGTCAAAACAATATATGGTATCGATAAATTCCCTTTGCAATTTTAAATAACTTTTCAGACACCCTATACTTCATGCAAATAACATTTCCAATGAATGTCAACTTTAGCCATTTTGTTTTGCAACCTTTGAAATAACCAGAGGAAAGAAAGGCCATTGTTTTACATATGCTGAATAAGCTGTCTTAATATGAGATTGCAGGATAACGCTTTTCGCAAAAAATGAAGGCGAGAAAAATATCCGGAAAACAATTCCATCATTAGCTTATTGCCTTAAAACCATTGGAATAACCAGACAAAAGGCCATGGTCTTGCATATGCTTAAGATATTCTGATTGATTTTAATAATACCCCCCAAATTTTCAACAAATTTCAATATTATTTTTGTCTTGGAGAGTTTAAACCCTTGAATTAACCTAACGAGAGACCATTGTCTTGCATATGCTTAAGCTGTCTTAATTAATACCATAGAAGGAAAAGAAATTAAAATGTCATGTTTCATAGCACAGTCACAACGAGATGAATCATACCACAACCTCAGGTGATGGGAATGTTAAACAAACAGTGAGATCCCACATAGAACAGTAATACAGAAGAAATATCGCTGACACTGATTGTAATACAGACATATAACGAGATTTTTCAAAATGACGTACAAGATGTGTGGCAAATTGTGAAAATAGGGCATGGGGGGAATGATTTTACATTTTGGATGACATGACAAGGCTCTCTATGTCATAAGTAATTGCATAAAAGGCCTGGAATTCATATAATACTGAATTTATGGAAGTTAATATTTGTAAGACCAAGGCGATATCATGCTAGCATAGCAACAGAATGACATACATCATCATGGCATAAATGTGGAAAATCATACCCATTTTTTCTATGTGGCAAATTTATTGAATCGAAAATACTTTATCATCAAAACTTTAATTAGTTTCATCAACTCTAACGTAAGCCAGCCAGCATTTTCTGGTGGACCGCTAATAAATTATGGCAGAGGTACACAAAAATATAAATTTTTGCCAAATAATTCGCCTCACCTAAAAAACTTCGCCGACCACGTTTATCTTTATCAGATAAAAAATTAAATTTGTTTAAATTTTCTTTAAAAACTAAACCATAATACAAACCTTTAATACTGCAGATGATTCGAACGAACTATTCTTTGTCATTTTCATATATTTATTTCCACCTCCTTTCTTTTTTTCTGTCATGTCATAAAATTGTAAAACCTGAAAATAAGTTGAAACAAGTGTTAAATTCCATACAAATTTGGCGACTATAGACAAAAACAGTGTGTTTTAAAGAAACCTACATTACTACAACAAATTGGCAACAAATGACTTGAATATATTAGAATATTTCACTTTTATTCCACAGGAGAAAAACGGTGAATCTCATCTGGCTACCAGTACATGTCGGGTATGGTAACGATTAATCATTAATTTGTTCCAGATACATAGACTTGAAGATGGAGGAATTCGTAACAGATGAGCAGTTAAGCAAATCATTGAAATCCTTTAACAGTGAATAATCCAGATGTGCCAAAAACAATGTGAAACCGCCAGGCTTGAGGCTTTCTTATATTATTGTTCACTGGTTTTTGAAATTTGAAATAATGTCCATGCTCTTTTAACAGTTTCAAAAGCATACACAATTGATTGGGATTTCCAATTTTAGTACGCTCTTACAATATAAAATATTGAGAGATCAACATTATAAAGTTGAGTTAAATTATGTTAAATATAAAAAGTTTCCAAAGAAGATTGAGAATTCCGAAAAGTGAACAATACCTTGAGGACCAGCTGTGGATTCTTCTTTTGTTCTGTTTTGCTGATATTTGATGTTTTTAATAATCTTGACCATTGTTCAGGCATTCCCTGAAAACAAAAAATTACACAAAACACTGTGAATGTCATCAAGATTATCCTGAATTTGGCATCAACCGTTAAAATCCTCGCAGGCTTGAGAAATACAACAGAACGAAACTTCATCTTGTCTACTTACCGTACATCCTCGTATATAAGCAGAGTTTTAAACTAAAAAAAAAGCCGAAACTAACTAGGGAGTTTGGCTTATACGTACATAACTTTCGCGCACTAAAAATTTGGCTTGTTACACACATAACTTTAATCGCACTGAAGCAACCATTTGCAGTGATGGGTGGCATGTTACAATTTGTAAGGTTCAAATGTGAATTTTTATAAATTCATGTTTTAGGGCCGTTTTTAGGGGTATTGGCTTAGATATATACCGTATTGGAATATACGATAGATGAGCAAAACACAATGGTTTAAAGTACAGACTTTCTGAGCTTTATGTACTTCGTATCAGCAGTGAAAATTCCTGCCTTAGAAGCCAATAACTCAAGTCAATAACTCTGCTTATAGCCACAAATCGCTATCCATGGTAGTGATACATAGGCAACATTTGGTGAACTGGAGAGAAAACAATTTCAAGCATTCCCAGTGTGAGATGATGTAAAAATGATAAAAAGTAAAGAATTTGATGTCCATTTTGCTAAGATTAGCTTCAAATGGCATTTTCTTATTTTTACATCTTGGTATCACGCTACTTCAAACATTATAGATTGACTTGGGCAAACTACGATCCATAGGCCAAATCAGGTCCGTTGGATCGTCTGAGGATGCCACAACCAAACTTGAACAAAATTTCGATGTTTTAGCTAAAATAGCTCCAGATATTTGTTAAGAATGCGAATAAATTTAATTTTGGTACAAGGATAATTGTTTTCCCTTTTTGTCTAGGTAGGCACAAAATATTTGGTCCATGGTCCCAAAATCTTGCCTACCCCATGTTATCAGTGTTCCCTCTAAGGTGTGAGCGTGTGCGCGCGCATTTACTGCGCACAGACGTATTTCGATATAATGTAACAATGTTCTCGGTTGGCAGATTGAGTTTGTTGTTGGCTTACCTATTACCTGGTTAGAACGCCAAAATTTCTTCATAGGTTTTTGCACAAATATTGGTCATTTCCAAAAAAGTGCGCACACACCAAAATTTCTGCGCACACACAAAAAATTAGAGGGAACATTGCCTGTTATAGATTAATAGATTTGAATATCTCGAAAACAGCTGCGATCATGATCTCAGAACATTGACTTCAACTTACAGTAAATTCTCCTGTTACTGCATCGAAACCGACATGCACTGTATGTTCAAAATCTTGAGGATATGATATTTCTGGTCGTTCACGGTCTCGTTTCCGATCTAAATTATTAAAAGTTTGATAAATAGGCATCGAAAAATGTGTTTAAAGATGATACAAATGATAAGTATATAAAAGATAATACCATGTATTATAGATATCAAATATGATATTTCATTTTGACTAGGCTAAATCATTGAAATACCCAACATAACACGAGCGTATCTTATACAGAGATACAAGTTTTAGTTCAATTTACAAAACAACATGCCTAATGAAGTTTATTGCACAACATTGATCCATCTATAGCAGGGGTCACCAAACTACGGCCCGCGACGTCAATTTATCCGGCCCGCGGCGTCATTTTATCCGGTCCGCAATAACACGCAAAAATGGCTAAATTTTTTTCCAAGAAAGATTTTCACGAGCATCGTCGTCCTTGTTTATTTCGTAACATTGGCCAATCGGCAAGATGCAGAAAAGTGACGTAATAACACTTTTGTCACCCTAACAGATTTTCAGTCGTGGTTGTAAACAAAACTTCGTTTTTGCGACTTTGAATGCTACCAGTACGTAACGTTTTCTGCGATACACTTGTACACTCGTAGCGCTTGCTTTCGACGAAACTGTTTGTTTTTTGTGCTAAAATAAACGTCGAATGTGCATCTTGTGCTAACAGTACTGTAATCCCTCGCGTACCGCTCCAATTTCAAAAGCCACACTAACTTTTGTACTGCTTTAATGCGGATATTCATGTAGGTATGTTACAAAAAAATTGAAGTTCATCCGATTTAAATAAAAACTAACGGAGATATCGGAATTTTAGTACCGCCCGACAGCCAATTTTTTCCATAATGATTGTATTACTTTTTTGATAAGAACTGTACTAAATATGGAAAAATAACACATATCAATCACTAATCTTTCGATGTGCGTCACATCTATGGTATATTGAGATAATTTCAGGATTTTATTCTGGCAACGGTCATTGACACCGCCGAAAGATCGTCGCAAATAAACGCTGGAGTTGTGCATGATAGTTTGACAGTGGTTCATTGTGGGTAATAATTAACGATGTTCTGATTGTACGAACTTCATAAAAATTGGTACGTATCAAGTTAGACAAGAAATACACACGTCCATATACATTTTATTGGTGTCCATAGACAATATCAATAATTTGCACTACGTATAACTGGAGCGTAATTTTTAAAAGCGTCGAATGTTGGGAAATTTATGCGCATGAAATTCAAATACCAGATAATAGTTGTTTATTTTATCTAAATTATGTCAAAATTTCATAGAATTCCAAGCTACAGCAGGCAGTCGTCGAGCGATATTTCAACACGACGTAACGGTACTTAGCAGACGTGATGCGTACATTTTTTGTCGCGGATTTTGTAACATTTCTAATTCATGACAGCAACGTTTTGATAACAGCTAAACTCCTAGGATGTTCTCGATCTATATTCTGCGATATTCCCAACATTTGTGAATTTATTGTATTGCATTGACAAAAATATTCATCCGGCCCGTTTCAACACAATTTGAGTCATACCCGGCCCGCGGTCAAAAAAGTTTGGTGACCCCTGCTCTATAGACATAGAAATTGACATTTCATAAAACTTATAATGTTAGTGTACAGAGGTGTTAATTTGAAAGCAAAACAAAATAACAGTCAAAGTTTGAGGTAGATAGATAGTTTATTTTGAAAAGCTCCTGAACACCCAAATTGAAGATGGTGAATTGTAAAGGCCAAGCATAACCTTATCATAAAACAAAAGAAATAGAATGCACTCGCAAATAATTCTGTAATTGAGCGGAACAGCAAAAACACAAACTGGGGTAAACAATGGAAACTTACTTTTATCTTCACCTACAAAAATACTCTTTAGCTTATTTTTCTTCTTTTTATCTTCTGGAAGGGACGGGAGAGGTTTCGTTGTAGATTGACTTGCAAAATCTCCTTTTCCATGAGCGGCACTAGCATGTCGGACAGGTGGTGCTGGGGGCCTGTCCTCGGAGTCATCGGAATTCATTGACATTTTGATTTTAAAATGTTCAAAAAAATTCTATGTTCCAATATCCAATATGTTTTTTTCTCTTCCAGCACAGTACGGTATTATGAAGAAACGTTAAAAAGAGATCCAGAGTCCAGTTGTAATAAAGTAGCAACGTCCTATTACCGTACACTACCCAGTTAACAATCTGAAAAACAAAGAATTGCCCAGTTAGTTACGGTCAGTGTCAGGGTGTGGTACAGTACCGTAAGTGCAGAATTGAGACAGACAGAACTAAGCCAAGGCTGATGCTCACGGCGATAGTCAATTTAGTCTACTATTTAACCTTACGTCTCAGCCTTTTTATTATACCGGCGCTATAAACAAAGCCAATATTAACTTTATATCGATTATCTATTGGAATTTGGGAGAAATAGACTACAAAACAGGGCATAACAGGTGCCAATTTGGCAAAAACAAGAATAAAACGGGCCCTGAATCGCGAGGAACTGGAGTCTGGAACTGCAGACGGCAGGTGCACCTCCCAATATAACGTACTAAACACCGCCCACTCCGACCGAACTCATTTTTATTAAGGTTGATTCTGTGGGCACAGATCTCGAGTTTATTTCAACTCCATAAGCAGCAGTAGACGATAAAATAATAGATTAAAACAAAAAAGAAAATAACTGATTATAGAATCGGGAGAGCAAACAAAACCTTATGTAAGGTTTGAAGCGTCCAGATTTCAGTTGGAAAGGTATTGATAAAAGAAGTATTACGTGTTCGCTCATCCAAAATGAATATGGCATTTTTATTGTTACATACAAACAACCAAGTTTTGAACATCGACATGAAAAGAATATTTGTTTCGCTCCGTTATCGACGAATATGACAATGCTATGACAAGTATCTTTATTATTGTTCAAAGAACTTGTATAGTAGAGGTTACTGCAAGTGTTGAGCTGAAAAAATCGTAACAACCAGAACGCAATTAATTCGTGAAAATGTATTATATTTACGGCACGTCCACATACGCTTTCCTCGAGTTGTGTTTTCCCCTAAAAATGGCATATTTTCATATTAAAGTTCGTCACCACGTTACAAATGAAATTTATCCAGCAGACCAGGCACTTTTTTTACTTAGACATATCTTCAAGCGCGATTGTAAACATTGCCTTGTTACTTAACGACCTTAAGATCGGTAAGTATGTTGATAGGTATTTGTACGTTTGTGTGTTAGATGCACGCGATATCTCACGAAGACGAAGTTGAATCTGCTTCAAATTTTGCATGCACATTCATCATATCTCGGACCAGAAGCCTATTGATATTGGATGAATTATGTCGTATAATTAGCGAGTTATTAATTAATTAGTTATGGGACACGCGGTGTCACTATACGGTCATGAATCGAAAACGCAGTTTCGATCGATAAGTCTTCGGTCTCCGACCGATATTCTCGTTTGTTTGTTTGTTTGTCTGTCTGTTAGATACACGCGATATCTCACGGAAGGGAGGTTGAATCTTCTTCAAATTTTGCATGTGCATTCATCTTATCTTGGATCAGAAGCCTATTGATTTTGGATGAATTATGTCGTATAATTGACGAGTTAATATTTAATTGGTTATCGGACACACGGTGTCACTATGGAGTAAGAGCGGATGAATCAAAAATGCAGTTTCTGTTTTGGGATCCCCTAACTTTCGATCGATAAGTCTTCGGTCTCCGATAGATATTCTCGTTTATGTAGTTTTAGGTTTTGATTATATTTCCAAAATATAAGTATAAATAAAATGAATGGCCAGAATAGACGACGCTGATATCAGTTTTCATTACTATTTAACAACAGCTGTCTGATTCATTTTAAATATAATGGTATTTTTGAAGCGCTCAACCTGTCGGCACACGCCGGAACTTGAAAACCCTTTCAAAATAAGCATGGAAAATAATATAATGATAACGTATGGACGTATCCCCAAACTTCGGCACCAGAAAATTTATCTTCATACTTTCGCAAAATAAATTTTGAGAACTTTAGATCTTATAAACTGGTTTACAATTTTGAAACCAAATTTTGTATCAGAATTATCCGTTCACAAATCTTAATAGCTAATTTTAGCCTAGTCTCTACCGCATAGTCTGCGAGCGGTGCTCTCGAAGTATTCGTACCAAGATGGCGGACATCGGAACGTAACATGGGTAACAGGTTAGGGTTAGGCGATAATTTTTTTCCAATTTTCCTTATTTTAGTCCTATTATCAGTTCGAAGACTAGCCAAGAGCCTCCCGTAGTATTTATACCTAAAATTATGGCCTAACCCTAACCTAGTACACATATTACATTCCGATGTCCGCCATCTTGGTTCGCATACTTCGGCAGCCCCCTGCGAGCAGTGGGTGATCAATTTTTTTGTCACCCGGTTCCACAACAAAAATCATATTTCTTCCCGGTTCTATTACAAAAAGTCATTGAGTGTAACCAGTAATGCTAACCGGTTCGCTGATCTCATGAAATTCCGTAAGGCGGTTCTATAGAACCGGTGCGAACCGGCTAGATCCCACCGCTGTCTGCGAGCCTTATTCATGACAACTGCAACTAAAGATCCCCAGGGGAACTACGAAAACGAAGCAATGTTTACAACCTTACTTGAATATCTGCCTGATTGGCAGAAGTGTCTGAGCGACCGCAAAAATTGCAACCTTTCTATTCTCGATCCACTGCCCTATATATTCCTCAACCTTCCTAACCTCGTCTCACCATTCTCTCCACTAGATTATCACTTTCAACCTTCCTATCCTCCACCCGCTGTCTTCTCTCACTCAACCTTCTTGTCCTCGTCCCGCTGTTCTATCTTTGACCCCTGTCCTATCTCCCTAAACCTTGGTTCTCGACCCACTACCCTTTTTTCTCAACCTCCCTATCCCCGACTAACGCACTGTCTTGTTTCTCTCACCCTACTATCCTCGACCCACCGCCCATGTACATTGACCTTCCTATTCTTGAGCCACTGTCCTATCTCTCTCTCCCTCCCCATCCATTCTATTCTCGACCCACTACCTATCTTTCTCCCCTTGACTGACTGCCCTATCTCCCGCAACCTTTTCATCTTCGACCCACTGCCCTAGCTCCCTCAACTTACCTATCCTCGATCCACCAATCTACAGGCTACTACCTCGTAACTAAACTAACCTTGTTTTACCCCCGCTCTGAGTCCGACCGTCACGCCAAACCTCGTCTGCTTGTGATTATGCAAACTCTCAGGTTTTATACGGCTCAAGTATACCAATGAGATGATTGAAGCGTACGTCGGCGAAACAAGCTTATAAGGTTGACGGCATTCGTGACATATTATTATGGGAATGTTTGAATATGAAACAAATGTTTCAGTGAGTGTAAATGATGACAGAAGTGTTTGAAATCTTCATTAGGCACATATCCACATCATTTGCCAGGCCATTTAAATGTAGGCTGAATCGCAAATGGTAATCAATCACCATAATTGGTAGCTCAAATATTTGCTACTTGTTAAGCCACTAATGTTCCCGGGAGCGCAAGTACAAATGAAGGTACTTTGAAAATATTAACAAATGTACACACTGAACGTGGAAGCATTGACGCGAGCAATAGTCAGCAACTGTTTTACCCAGGGAATCCGGTTAAGGGGAAATGGAACGGTCTGCTAATACGCTAGTTTTATCACGAAATCCGTATAAATCAATTGACCTACTTTTTGAAGAGTTCATAATCTTTCAGCCCCCACAACGGGTCAATCTCCAAATATGGAGAAGTCACGAATTTCACATGTGAACAAAGAAATCTCTTGAAAAATTAGGTTTCGGCGCGACGCGGTTGAAATACTGGAAAAGGTACGACAAATCAAATAATATTTAAAGAATCCTTGTACAGTGATTCGAACCCTCACGCAATCCAACTAGAGTCCAGTAGTTCTCAACTTTTTCTTCTTTCGTGGCGCACTTTCGTTGCGTAAAAATTCTGTGGCCTACCAATTTTCTCATGCAAGGAAAAAACTACAAGAAAACAAAACTATTTTTGCAAAAATAAATACTTTTACCCTAATAATTAGAATGAAAAGAAGCAGCATCATTCATTGCTACTACAAAATAAATTTGACTATGATGACACAAATGAACTAAACTTTTCAATACCCATGACGACAATCTTGGTTAATTACGACAATTTTCAACGTTCAGATAATGAAAGGAATTCCGGCCTAAAAGAAAATGGCGGTTGCTGCGTTGGATAAAGGCATGGCTGCCATAACGTCCATATTCCTAAGATTTGTCCTTAATCTGAAGGTCTTCGTCTTAGAAAATATTTTTGTCCTTTTTCTAAGGAACGTCCATATTTTAACATGTGTCCGTATTTTTGTCCTTATTTGATGAGTAGAGGTTTCAAGCACTTAGATTGGTCAATTCGAATGACTGATTTGCTAGAAATGATATTCAACAACCTCATTGATTGCTGCGCGCATTCATTACGTAATAACTGCAAATTAATTGACACAGTGACAAAACAATAGCCTACAGGCAAAGATCAGTTCGTGTAGCTTGAATCAAAATACAATTTAAAAGTGAGATGGAACAGATTGTTTCTGAGAATAAAGAACTGCTGGAGCAAATCCTTTCTGGTGCAAAATATGTGTAAAGTTGGAACGTGAATTCCAATCCACTCAACGTTGTTGTAGTGGAGTCCTATTTGCACCCGCACCCGCCTTGAAGAATTATGCGCAATCTCCCAGCTTCTAGTAACTGCACAACCAAAGTAAAGAGGCAACGAGATCCTTAGAAAACGAACTGTATTCATCAATCTCCACATATGAGTAAAATGTTGCTACAGCACAGAAACTTGAAGACCAACGATAAAACTAATTTATAACGACACGGATGCACTATAAACAACCAATGAAAGAATGACAAAATAACATTCACAATGACAAGCAATAATAACCAATACTAAATAGGACCTAACTGAGCTAAATTAATATAACAGATTTCACGAAACCCGCACCCCTAATGTAAACTATATCCAAGACAAATCTCAATACTAAACGACACTTTTGCAATCCCACAGTGCCGTATAGAACAAAGAGTCAGAAAGCGTTATCTCAAAACCCGGGGAAAAGTTTCACTCCCTATTTCTTCACTATGGCGCAATAATGAGTCACCGTCAACAGGAAATCAAG